ATGGCATACAAGTTTCCGAAAAGTGTCTATGATATAGGGATGCCTACTTAGCTCGGTATCCTAGATCTTGGATAAAACATCGGTACATATTATTCTCCGGCAAAGCTACTCCGTACAGGTATTCTGTCTAACAGTCCGAGACAAGTTGCCAGTCTTGTCAAATTCTTTCCACCTGCATCTTAATTTATCTTCAACTAATTTACAGCGCAGTATCTTCCTGCACCTTACCGGTTACCGGCTTGCTTTGAATGATGGCTACTGTTGTGCGACAAGAACTCACATTCTTCCTCGATCCAGACGCATTTCAACGTCATGACTATCAGATCAACGATTCGGTACAGTACATTTATCATGTTTATGACAACCTCTCACAGACACCGTACGTTAATGGGGATGGTATCAACGCTAGCGATATGAACACCTATTATATGCATCCCCAACATATCATTACATATTCCAAGATGATCAAACACCTCAACTGGGCCAATTGCGAGCCGACTTATTTCATTTTCATTATATGGGAATTATGAAACTGCGCGAGAAGAAGCGAACCGGAGAAGGAGACAACGTCACGTTCCTGGTCAATCTCAGCCACGTCTGCCGGAAACAGTTCGAATTGCAGAAGTTTCTGTCGCTGAGCTCCACCGATTAAACGTGTTTTACTTTTCGAGGGAAAGACTTCTCCACATGCTTTAAGCACCACCGAGCAACCCCCGTGTTCTACAATTCAGCACGGGAAGAGTGGTTTGTCCTAGAATTCATACCCGACAGCGCAGTGAGACGGGTCTTGACCGGGGAAACCAATTGAAGAGCAACTTGGGATATCATACATACTATTTGTAATGCAACCAATCAGTTTCTCAGACCTGCTTTTCATACCGAACCGTGTCATCATGTTGCAACGTCCTCCTATCGTCCAGGGGCAATTTCCACACCTTCTCTCATCCACCTCAAGAGTCTTTTAAGCTTGGTTTCCTGTTCAGGACTTATTTCCGACATGTGAAAAATCGAATTCCCACAATGCGCGGCCGTAGAGACATGCAAAATAAAAAATAACACTTCTTCAATTTACATTTACCGATGAATCTGAGCATATCCTTCCAATTCCCGTTTCTCAGTCTTCCACTTAAGAAGATCGAAGCTGCCCTCAACTCAGCATTATCAAGTCGGGAGGCTTGAGGCTTCTGTCGATCCGAGATCCTGCGATCCAGAAACTTCCACTAACTCAACATTTTCGAGCTGGGGAGTTCGAACCGAAAGAGCATTGGATGCAATAAGACTTTCAAATTCGGAGGCAATCATCACATTCTAGAGTGTGCAATGGCCAAATAATGCAAAGCATAGATTGCCCGAGTGAATGAGGCGGTTCACCTTGATTTCTAACACCTGGAGATTCGATGCCTGCCGTAGAAGCTTCCCCAAGGATACAAATTCTTCTTACCTCTTTTCCCTTCCCTCCGACTCCTGGACAACTAAGCGAAGCTCTTGTAGTGTCTTCAGCAGTGCTTTACTGGCGGTATGCGATCTCAACCACGCTGCCAGGAGAGCAACAGCAAGCTCGCACTTAAGAGTTGATTCGTGCCCGTGACGGCCACTATTCTCATGTTCAACAAGATATTCATCGGCTCTGATTCGTCGAGGGTCTCTAAGAGGAGAAATTGATATTCTTTGTCACCCCCTATGAACTGGAACGCCTCATAGATCTTGTTGCCTAGGCCACCTTTCAGGGCAAAATGTCTTGCTCATTTATAGTTATAGTTATCCTTAGAGGGTGAAACAATAATGTCTCGACATGGTGGTCACGGATTTCAGTAACAACCCCTGTTAGGTCACAAAAAGTGCTTGAGGGTGACTGCTGTGCTGAAAGTCGGGTATCATCTTGGTCGTTTATAGCGTTCAGACAAGCCGAACGACAGACATGAGTTGACTCGAGCCAAGAACACAAATCGGCGCAGAACGCTCACTTTAGATACTCAAGGGGCCTGGCTGCATCGTCACAGTCAATTGCTGGGAGGTTACCCACACATGATCGTAATTTTATAGTCTCTTGCAAAACCGGCTTCCAGAAAAACACATTCCCAGGTGCTCTCTCCCTCAGTAGATGTCATCGAGTTTTACAATGCGCAATAGACCGCCAAATATGCCCGTGATTGCGACCTTTCTATCAATTGTAACAGTACGAGGCCCAAGCCTGACATATTTGTCAAAATTACCTATGTGTACAGTACCACGGCCCTTGTGACAAAGGGATCCTTTCGAATTGCCCTCGCGCCACGCAACGCATTACCTTCTTCGACAAAGGAATGGACTTCAGTGCTCTGCTGATGGTAGATGTCGCCACGAGGACTTCAAATTCATCCTACAAGAACACCACTATCTCATCTAGGTATCGATCCCACTTTTCAAGAAGATATTCTTGCAGCGCATCGAGCATCAAAGGAGTGATCGATCGTGGGCGTCCGCCACGGCCATTGTATGGTGCAGCCGTACTGCCGAAAAGGCGATAGTTTCCTCGCGCGGACCTGACGATGCGAGAGCTACAAGAGGCAGCTTTCGCAATGTCAGTATTGGTTGGCGATCCGTCAACAATTATGTCTCGGATCTGCGTGCGCTGCCAATCTGAGATATTTGGTGCCATGGATGGTATATCTGACGGACGGTATATAGATATCGCTTGTCTATTGCAGTACTTACATTATTGTGCCTTGCCCTAACATTAGTTTTTGCGGTGTTGTTGGAGCAGAGGTCGCAATTCGAAGGGGTAGTCTAGAATATTCCTCGCGGGTACGCCCGTTAGCAGCATGTTTCCATCCCACATTCACATGCGCAACACTGTTCAGGAACGAATTTGGGCCAAGAGATGAGAGCATGCAAGAGAAACAATTTTCGTTCGAGATTGTTCAGTGTCTGATTCGGTCCATCGGGATGTCACTGGGATCCCTGCTTGTCCATTAATCACCTGCAACAAGGACGAATCAAGGCTCTTTTCATTGTCTGTTCTTTTCAGCAGCTGGTATATCCATAATCTCCTCCTGTGGGGCTCCCAGATCTGGTCCACAGGCTCCCGTGCGCCGACAGTGAGTTCACCCGCCACGTTGTCGCGGACATCACCTCAGGGCCGTCGAATCGAGTCGTGGCCATTCTAGGCACCCAATGAAGCTGACATGAGGCATTCTCGACACAGGGATCAGGAGAGGTACGTTTGCTCACAAGCGCGGCAAAACTTTGCGAAACAAGGTGGATGGGGTGTATGATCATAAGACAGTGAAGAAGTAAAATCCGGGATCAAGTAAATGAGAATGCTGACGTGCAGATATTAAAGCAACCTGCTGGAAGCCTTCGCAGCCGCTCACCTCGCCACCACGAGGGAATTCGACAGCTCACCCTCCTTCGGGGCGCGGGTGACGCCGCCCTGTGCTCACCCCCGGCTCGCGCGAGCCAGGTGAGACCGCACCAAGTGGCTCACCCATCGGGGGGTCGAAAAGCCCTGGCGCCTTGGCCTCCTTGGTGCGACTTTGTCCCTGCTCGCCCTGGTGGATCGACGGCCGTGTTTGGCTTTTTGGACCCATCGTTGTGACGCACGTGATGGCTCAGGGCTCATCCAATAGAACTCTAAATGTACTCAAAAGCAGCGTCGGTGGACGCACAATTCTGGGTTAGCTTCGACTGGTACAATACGAGGAAGTAGCTGCGGAAGAGGAGATAATAGAAGTGGCACAACAGGAAGAGGAGGAGGTTATTGCTGACAACAGCGTGGTGCTTGATCTTCTCCAACAAGCTCGTAAGCGTCGCCAGCGGCTTGCTGCCACCGCGGCGTCATCCACACGAGGCAAGAAGCGCACAAAACTCACCTCTGAGCTTGATGAGTTTATGGACAGGACCAATAAGGCTGGTCTGGATGTTGAGGATCCCCTGGAGTGGTGGATTCGCCATGCATCTGACTATCCTACCCTCTCTAAGATGGCCTTTGACCTGTTCAGCTGCCCGGCAATGGGCGCTGAGTGTGAGCGTGTATTCTCACAGACAAAGAAGGTCATCACAGATGAACGAAATCGCCTCAATCCAGATACGGTAGCGGCGATTGAATGCCAAAAGCACCTGCTTCGAACCTGTATGTTGCCCTAGATCTATCACAGGTTGCCCAATTAGGTGTACCCGTCAACCAATACCAACCAGCCAAGCAAAGCAAAAGGCAGTAACCAACCAAGCAAACCAAAGGGGTCAAACTTTGGTTTACTTGGTTGATGGGACACACTGCCTGTGTACCGCACGTCGAGATCGATGGCTCTTGAATAAGGAGAATGTCGAGGTTTCGCGTGTTGGGATCGTTGATTAGGGCCTCCATGTCCTCTCGTGACTTCCAGATGTTCAATTATAGCATACGGAGACCTTTGGCTGTCATTGTGAGGGGAAGATAAACATGCCCTTGACAGCTCCTATCTCCCGTTAGGTGGGCCCCATAGCGGTCACGGTTACCCGGAATCCCGTCCAATTTGGGCCAAGGGACCGCCTTGGGACTCGGCTGGACTTGCCAAACCAACTTGTTACTCTCCCAACCATGTTTCAGCCCAGGCCTACTGCCTAGTTTTATGGGCCATCTCAGGGAGCGTGATGACACATCCTTCCTACTCTCTCCTGCAAAATCGGCTTCACCCTAATTGCAGCTCGAATTATTCTCCGCCCGACTTCTATTAGTCATCATTCATGGTCATCTCATCAGATATCTGCCCTGCATCGCGTTGTTAGCGCCATTGTCAACGTTAGCTGCCTACGAGCTGTATGGCTAGCTTCACCCTGGTCCTGTGTGGCTGTGGCACAAAGCTAACCACACCGGGAGTCTTGGAGCCTGCACAGCCTCGCCCTTGGTGCATGTGACAAGGTTCTCTATCCCGGCGCCCTCTTTTACAAGATCATGATCGACTCTGCAAGAAAGCAGCCAACTCCACAACCTTCTGATCGTTAACATCGCGTTCCTTTGTACCGGCGCCTATGCAGCTTCCATGGCAGAATCAAAGGCTTCGGTAACATTGTCTTCGAAACCACATGAAGCTCCACGATCAGACGGTCAAAATGAGTCGACTTTCCTACGTCGGATCGGAAGGTGGACAACGGCGAACCTGTCCGGTTGGAAAATGGGTATCGTCATAGCCGCATCGACAACTACCATTGCCCTGATCGCGAATATCGGATTTACTCTCTGGGGTGTTACGCACTCAGAGCCACCCATGGCCGGAGGCATCGGGACACTGATAGATGGCTCATGCGACAAAGTCAGGAGATACAGCTTGTGGCTCCATCTTGGAATCAACGCACTTAGCACGCTGATGCTGAGTGGAAGCAACTATACACAGCAATGTCTGGCGGCGCCGACCAGGCATGAAGTGGATGTCGCACACAGTAAACGAAAATGGCTGAACATCGGCGTGCTTGCTGCGAATGCTTGATTGAACGCTTGACGGGGAGGTCGTACCTCAGTGAGAATCCACCCATTGAAGTCTCAGACTCCTGAAGGTTAGTAGTTGTGTTGGAATCATCGCCGAGCAGAGTTTGAGATTCTTGGCTGAGCGAAAACGTCGTAGATATTTCCTCTAATGTAGCTTTACCCGTAAAGCTGTAGGCCTACCCGAAACTCACATCGACAGCTAGTGCCGTGGTTTGACTGTGATTTGCTCTCTCTTTCGCCTGCCTGATTGCCTCGTCCCTCTACTCCTTCGCCCAATCTCTGGCATTTCTATACGCAGTAGCGCCTTGTCGAAAGGTTTTAAGGTCACTGGTCATGGCCCATCCCTTAAGTTAATGCATATAATACTCAGGCCGACCTCCTAGACTAATTAGCTTTACAGGATAACTAGTGTACAACTTGAGAGTACTACTATGGTAAATTGACGTAATGGTGTAAGCTTTATTGTCAAAGACTAGTTCCTCTAGCCCGTATGACTATAGGCTGTACATACCTCTCGCTCCCAACGCGCCATCGTATGTAGCCTATTTTCCTGCGGCTAATAAAGATCCATCCGGCCCCTTCGCTACTAGAAAGAAATTCGGTACTATAGGAAGGTCATCTTGTGTAGAAGGAATAATATAGCCACTTAGCTCATTACGGATACGTCGATCGAGTTGCTCTAGGCGTGCGCCGTAGTAGATGTCCGAGCTTCTAGGCAAAATTGTGCCGTCCGTTAGATGGTCGAGATTTGTAAACGGGATTCCCCCCGAGACGCATTTACTGTCACTAATATTTCCTTCGATGATTAGAATCACCGTAGTTGTTACTTACTTCTCTTTAACAACGTCTACATCTACTTATATAAAGTTTTCATGATCTTCCTGCGTAAACTTAGAAGGTGAAAGAGAGCGTCGTAGTAGGGTTAATCGTCGATTAATCTCCTAGTTATTTGGCTTCGTAGGAATTCGGCCATCTAGGTATTTATACCTATAAGGGAAGACGCTACCATTAATGAGATTCTATAGAAAGTTACGATTATACGGCTCCGCGCTCTTAGTCGTTGTCGTATTTAAGGTCGATTAGGTATTCGAGGCGGATGTAGAGTCGCGTTTTCGACTACGCGGACCGGATTGGGTTAAGCTTATCGAGTAATTCAGTAGGTTAATAGGTTCTAGAAGCTAATAAAAATATTAGCTTAGGAGGAAGGAGATACGAAGTATTATATACGCCTCTTACATCCGATAGATCTAGACTACCTACTCTAGGAAACTATTTTAGCTCCTTTAAAGACCTTTTCCGGTAATGATAGGGGAAGTCGGTAGTAGAACGGATAGGAAGATGGCTCTTCAACTTATCGAGAGTACCTCGAGTAATCGGGCGGCGTATTCTTTGGGAGGGTAGATGGGAATTTAAAACGATTCGAGTATTCCTTCGATCTAGCTCTTCCAACGCGTGTTTAGTTAAGTTAATTCTTGATAGATTGTCCTAGAACGCTGGTGGAATTTAAGGTTTGCTATAGTGGCTGCGCTTTGTTCTTTTGGAGACGTGCAGCGATGTTTAGTCCGGCAGACGTGAAAGCTCCTCTAAGTTTCGACGCTTGCGCGGGTTAAAGAATTGCGGCATATGGCAATCAGGTTCACATGAGGATGAGGATAGATCAAGCGTAAGGGCGCTCGGCGCTTATATTCTGCGCTTCCGGCCATCCCTCACGAAAATGTTTCGAGAGGTTGGAGTCCGCACCATTTCGGAGGTCTTACCCCGCCTTTGTTGTCTTGGCAGCCGTAGATGACACATGCCAAACCTAAACTTTGAAAGCTTTTGCCAATTATCATTCTTCCAGGAATTGGCGATTGAGCATATACAGTACCGCCACATTGCATAATGTAGTGCTCCTACTATTAGGCGATTTTAATATAACCGGCCAAAATGCTCAATGCTTACTACTCTGCCATCTTCTTTTATCTCCCCTGCAACGAGGAGTGTATATGTCCCAGGATTCGACGAGGCCAGCACCTATTCTCCCTGCTACGCTCTTTTATGGCTTGGTCATCATAAGAGGGCTCTCGGGGTCCCAACACACCATTCCATAGTATTGTTTTAGCTAACCAAACACCCTACCACTGTCACGCCCTTCATCGAAGTAAACATCTCCCTAAGCTCAACTCCACTCAACAAGCCCATGCATGCTAGCATTGTTCAACTAAACACATCATCCTCTACTCAATGCCGCCAATGACTGATGTCAAAGCACTCCATGGCTAAAACGGTACCAATGGCTAAATGTTTAAAGGTATGCCGGGTGAGAAGGAGGAGCTGATTGTTCTGCCTTCACGGCGACTAAAGGGTCCACTATTTCGGGCCGACCACTACCAGCGCGATGCCAGTAGTGGATAGTCCTTGCAAGGCCGTCGAAGGTCGAATAATATGGCGGAAAGTCGTGGAAGCAACCAGTCGGCGACTCTTCACCTCGTGATCAACCATGTTTAACCATTGCACATAGTTTCTCTTACTTACCTGATAATAGGAACGTCGAGAGTGGATTGGCTGGTGACGAGAGGGCGGTGCTGATGTGGGTCTTTGTCCCCGTTTGCCTACGACAAAGGGAGTGTGAGGTTTACTGCATGCCCGTCTCCCCTTCCTTCATCCCATCGTTGGGGACCCATCAGCTCGTCCCTCGATCCATGCCCGCTAACTTCCGCGCGGAATGAGTAACACTATGCTCTCAGCTGGCCAAATTCCGTAGGCCAGGGCTATCCTATCCAATATTATGGTCTCTTTATTAAGGATAGACGTCTGCACGACTCTAGACGGATCCTTGTCCATTAGTCATGCCCGACGTTGTCGCCAGTCCGGTCGGTCAACCCCTACCAATCTCCGCCCAGCCAGGCAGAAGGGCAGCCTTTGTCCAACGCACTGCTCGCATGAATCTGCCTTGCTCAACCAGCTTTCCAGTCCGCATGACCATAATTCATCCGATTAGCCCCCCACCAGCCAGAAACGCCCAATCCATTTCCCAGCAGTCAAGGCATGAGACATGCACGCCGCCGGCACACAACAGGGAATCTAATTCAACCAAGGAAGACCAATAGCTCATCCCCTCTAGGGACTCCTTCTGCGCTGCCTTCGAGTCATCGAGGCACCATTCAGTCCAACCGCTCCGGTCATTCGTGTAATCGCGTCCAGTTTCACACGGGTCACGCAAAGGGGAGGGCGGTTTCGGGAACCACCGTACAGTACAGTAGCAGACAGAAAGAGAGGGACAAAGTTGTCAACGGTGGCCATCCGTTAGACCCTGAAAATGCCAAGCAGGAGCCTTTTTGGGCTGTTTCCTATACCTTTGTATCACGGCCCTTTGAGAATCCATCGAGCGGTCATTTAGGTTCTAAGGTCAGAAATGGATTCCTATTATACACCCATTTGGGCCCCTGAACTATTCCTTTCGGTGCTCCTGGGATTCACTTCAGGTTCCTGAAGAGGGTCTGTTCAAGGCGCCCTGTGTCTACTTTAGGTTCTTTTGGGTTCACTTTGAGTTCGCAGGGTTGATCACGGGACTCCAGTGTCATGTGAGCTGCTACAGCGAAAGATGTAGCTTAATTAGTTTAGGCAGCAAGCGTTTTAGATTGGTTTTAGCTCGCTAGTACAGGGAAATTATTGCCGGCTCTGGGGAACTAAATAGCGTCCCCTGGCCGTGTCCTTTGGGCGTGCTCACTGGCTGCTCCCCTGCAACGCCCTCGCGCTCGCCTGACGCTCTCCCCGTCCACTCCCTCATGCTCGCCCATGCTCCCTTTCCCATACGAATGTGGTAATCGGTGCAGGACAGTTCGGGGCATATATAATATATATATGCATAATGCTGGCAAACTCGCAGCACTGATTGATTAACAGTCCTTTGGGTTTTGGAGTACCGCGAATTTCCCAAAAAAAGAAAAAAGGAGAGGGGGGGGCATCCTCAAACGTGCCCTAGTTAAATAACAACTTGGGGTGCCACACTGCTCTGAGGCGGGCGTTGCCGAGCTGAGCTGAGCTTCGTCCACCGCCGGCAAGGAGTGCAGCACACCTATCAACACAGGTAGTAGAGCAGGGGCAGTCTATATGGGAGGAGGAAGCATGCAACGGTCTATCGTATCCGGCAGCCAATGTCTGTGGGCTCGGCTGGCTCGACGGACCGGCCGCCGCGCCACCTCCGCCAGGCCCAGGCCGATATGGCAGGCGTGCGCGCCGGCGCGCAGCTTCCACACCCGCCAGAGTCTTGCCGACAGCAGCGCACAGGCAGCGACGGCGCGAGCTCCGAACAAGCACGAGGCATCCGTCGTGGACGCCCTCCGTGATGAGGAGAGCGGCGTCTTGTACACCAACATCGGCGACACGCCGCCGCGGATCGTGGGCAGCAGAGGCGCCTATCTATACACGGCCGACGGGCGGGAAATCCTGGATGCTACGGGCGGCGCCGCGGTGGTTTCCATCGGGCACAATCATCCGCGCGTGAAAGAGGCGATCATGCGGCAGTTGGATCAGGTCGCGTATTCGTGGGCGCCGCTGTTCACGACCGAGGCGGGAGAGAAGTTGGCCAAGGTCTTGGTTGACTCGACGGGGGGAAGGATGTCGAAGGTCTTTGTCGTCAGTTCTGGTGAGTGATCAATTGTGTCGAGAGGGAGGTGTGATTGAAGTTTTTGTGGGGCGGGGGAGGATTGAGAAGTAGTTGGTTGCATGGTCGCGTAGCACAAGGGAGAGACGTGCACGGGTTGAGTCTGCCATGTCCTAGCTAATTGACTGACGACATGGTTTTCTTGGTGGTAGGAACCGAGGCGGTCGAGGCAGCTTTGAAGATTGCGCGACAGTATTTCCTGGAGCTTCCTGAGAAGCAGCCAGAGCGAACACGGTTCATTGCGCGCCGGCAATCGTACCACGGAAACACGTTGGGCTCCTTGTCTGTGGGTGGCCATGTTGCCCGAAAGCAGATCTACAACCCGATTCTCAGCACCAACACGTCGCATGTTTCTCCCTGTTACCCGTATAGGGGTCAAAAGGACGGTGAGAGTGACGAGGCGTATGTGTCTCGACTGGCTCAGGAGCTGGATGACGAGTTTCAAGCCGTCGGTCCGCATACTGTGTGTGCGTTCATCGCTGAGACTGTGGCTGGCACGGTAAGAGACGATCGGTGTCTCCCAAACTTAGATGTGCTGACCCAATACGTGCTTGCCACCTAGACCCTCGGTTCTGTGCCCGCGACACCGGGTTATTTCAAAGCCGTCAAGGAAGTGTGCAACCGGCACGGCGCACTCTTCATCCTCGACGAAGTGATGTCCGGAATGGGGCGGACAGGCACCCTGCACGCCTGGGAACAAGAGGGCGTGGTGCCCGATCTTCAAACCGTCGCAAAGGGACTTGGAGCCGGCTATGCCTCCGTCGGCGCCCTGCTCATCAATAAGCGGGTCGTAGAATCCCTGAGACACGGCACAGGCATCTTCTCGCACAGCCAGACCTATCAAGGCCATCCCGTGGCCTGTGCAGCCGCCTACGAGGTCCAGCAGGTAATCCAGGACGAAGACTTGCTCCAGAACGCTCGTGAAATGGGTGCCTATCTGGAAAATACCTTGAAGCAACGCCTTGGAGATCATAAGAACGTCGGAAACATCCGAGGACGTGGCCTCTTCTGGGGAGTAAGTCCACATGCACCACTTTTCAACTCTGCGTCTGTTGGGGGCAGAATGACTCCCGTTCCGATGACAATGCTAAAATAACATGGTTTGAAATAGGTTGAATTCGTCTCTGACAAGCGTACAAAGCAGCCATTCCCTGCAGAACGAAAAGTCGCATCCCTCGTCTCCAAGACCGCACTTGTAGATCACTCACTCAGTCTGATACCCATGTCAGGCATGGCGGATGGCTATAGTGGCGATGGCGTTCAGATTGCGCCGCCGTATAACATCACGAGATCTGAAATCGATACGCTCGTGGACAGGTTGGAACAGGTCGTTCGACAGGTCTTAGGGTGAAAAGACGATACAGTGTTCTCGCTCCATCGAGAGAATGGAGTAAGGAGCACCAAGATGGAAATGTTAAAGCCCGATTCCGTATTCCCACTGGCTCTAAACTCGCCTCTTGTATCCAGAGTGGTATATCGCACCCCTGTATAGATCGAAGAAGAAATAGTCGACACACTGACTTGAAGAAGTATATCCAGCCAAGGAAAACCTTCGTACATATTCACTGGCCTTGTCAATTGTGTGATTGTTCTAGCCTGTTTGAAATACGACCCCTACCACTGTGACGGGCTGCGTACTCTCCATACTCTCACATACCATTTGCGTGACTGACCAAGAGGTAACTGCGGCAGACGAAGAGGTCTGCATCCATATGTGGTCAAGCAAAGGATGACTCTGGCCTAGTAAGTACCGCTGGAGGTGCTTAAACTGGGATTTCGAGCAATCTGGCAATCCAACACCTCTTCGGTTGTGTCGGACCACATGGAAGATAAGCATTACGTCTCACATTCCTGAAATGGGTAGATTGTTGCGACATCCGATCGCCGGTTTCGTACATGAACGGAGAGTGGAGTACAGAGTACGTGTCCTCTACAGGATTCACAGACGGCAGAGGATAGACACTCCCTCAGCGTGTTCATCGAAGGACCACTTGTTGCGTGGGGAAGGATTAGACCCTCCTCGACGGAGAAGAACCTGTACTGGAAATGCCGCTGTGCACCGCTGTGCATCTCTGTTGGGAAGTACCGGTAGAGCGTCCTAGGCGACGCCACTTCATTAGTCATATATGCACCTGCAAAGAACAGCCGTTGATGTCTTTCCATCAGTTTACCAGGTGGTCCTGCGCCCGGTGCAAAGTAAACCCACTTCAAATCAAAGTGGAGTGCGGACTTGGAATGGTTTTTTCCCTTCTTCGCGAGTCAATCAGTAATTTAGTATGCAATAAAAGCAGCAGGCATATCAGCTTCGATCCGAACTAGCATGGTAGCAGGATCTCGGACTCGTTTACCCAGTTAGCCGGTTTGCCGACGGGCTCCATGGCACGCCTGAGTGAACATGCCGGGATGCCTGATCTCGCGGTGCTGGCTAGGCACCTGTACATTAAAGGACAAACCACCGCCATCAACGAATAGCCCAATTGAGGGTCTGAATCCGAATCCAGGATTAGCCAGTAAGCAAGTTGGGAAGTTGCAGGCCCTCATAATTGCCTAGCTCTTGCAGAGAACGAGCCCGGGGCGCAGGAGGATGCAGGAGGATGCAGGAAGCCGAATCAATCAAAAGGGAGCGGTGGATGAAGCTTGATTCAACGCGCATGGTTCCTTCGCGCGCAACGTCCTGCTACGGAATTCGAACTCGGTGTGCAACTCCCCTCTAGTTGGCTGTACGAGGATAGGTCGCCCGATAATTAACCAGGCTTCCGCGGGAGTCCAGTAGCCATATGTGTATCTCAGTATTGTAGTGTGCTGTTTTCAAACAGGTAGCAGCCGTAGTTAATCCTCATGTGAGGAGACGGAAGAAGCTCCGTGGGCGGCCTGAATGCCAGAAATGCGCCGACAACTGTGGTCGGAGAGTATCATTGTTGCGAGCATATCCCTTCCGCTTGACGCGAACTTGATTCGAAACTCGAATGGCTCGGTGAACATACCATCCCATCTGGCTACGGCTTCCAATCCCCTGTTGATGGAAAGAAAGAAAGGTGTTCATGTGGCTTTTCGCCTGTTGTGGACGTTCAATGTAAGTGACCGGGGACCGCAGCCTTATGGGGGCCATTGTTTCACTCACCTCGGCGATCAAACCACGCTGAGGCTAGCATGAATCATGCTACCTCGGCCGATAGGTGTGAACGTACTGGATACTCCATACTCGCACAGAACTGCATGTGATCACTCCTGTGAGCCGGTGGGCCTGATGGGTGAATCCGGTCCCGACTTGCATAACTTGTACCGCATCCATGTAATTTTTGAGCTCGGGCTGATCAACCGATCAATGCGACAACCCCGCTGCACGATATTTTGTTGGGAGTACGCGACTCTCTCGACTCAGAACTCTAAATCCTTCAGCCTTATCGGACTTTGCATCAACGCGGAGGTAAGGCCCGGTTTTCGAATAAAGCTGTGTGGGAAGTGGTACGATAGGCCAAACTGCCTTTGACGGTGCAACGCTGTTGATTGATGTCAGCTTTGTTGAGAAGTAATCACCGTGTGAGAGAAGCTTGCAATATCTGCAAGACTCTCTCGGCCGAAGGGCGCAGGAGGTTTTGGTTTACAAGCAACAGCAGAAGTCTAGAATCTGCCGGCTTGAGCAGATTGTGCGTTTGCGTCGATACCAGGAAACCTCCAGTGGCAGACCATGGACGAGACATGAACAACCCGAGAAACCCAATGGTGGGGATCGGCAGCAAAATTGGACGAATTTGTGTTTAGAAAGTCATGAAATTGGACAGAAGTGATCAAATTCAACCAGATCGCTATGATTCACTCGCCAAGGCGTTACTATTCCTTTCTGATTCTCGTAACCTAGTCTCTTCGTCGTGGACGCGGAGCTGGTGAACGACTTAGTCCCAGTTAATACATGAAAGGTAGCGAGGTAAGGGCTCCTACGTAACTGAGCTTTATGCTAGGCGTTGAATCCTTTCGGGTCGTCCAAGTTGTCTTTAGTACGGAGCACCGAGTGGAACTGTTATTGATGGCCAGCCAAAGTACAAAGCCTTTATTGTGCCGACCGAACCCCAATGCTGTTGGGCACGGCGTTCCCACCCCCATGTGATCCTGCCTCTGGTGCTTATGTTGAGGCTGTCGGCAGTAAGTGCTCTTACTAAAAACACAAAACGTCAAGTGATCAACTGGGGGCCCCTTTGAGATGATTGTCGCGTCCTGAACGTCGAACCATTGCCTTGTGCCAAATGCTTCTCCAAAACATTAGAAGGTTTTCACACCATAGAAATTTCTGCAGGATCTTCGAAAGAACCTTCCACTGTGCCATCTCGTCAGGAAATTGATCGAATGCATAATCAATAAGCCTAGACGTTGCAGAGAAATTTTCTGACATGGCCAGAGCCCCAGACATTGCAGTAAAGGTCCAGACTAGACATTCTCCATGGGCGTCAACTAGAGCATCTTGTAATGGTAGATTGTCACCGCCCACCATCATCTCTTCCACCTCTTGAAGAGATTCAATGTGATCTTCGCCCATGATCCCACCCTTGAAATGTAAGGTATATGAGCAGGCGATGAGTCCATAACATAGGTAACGTTCTATGGGGGTGATCCCCATGACGGAGAGGTATCGAAGATCAATGACTGAATGGAGCAAATTCCGCCTTGACTTTTCGGATTTACGTGGACTCGTGATGGGGCTCGATACGGTTCCGTCTTTGATGAGACTCGACAGGTTGGCCAGGATGTCAATGATCTGTAGGGACAATTCTCCTGAAATTGCCATATCGTTGAAGGCAGGAGAAACTTTGGAAAGTGCTTCACAGACTTTCGTGTTGAAAGGAGGTGATGAATAGACAGGTAATTCGTTTCGAAGAGGCGAGTCAATAGCCAACTGGGCGAGCCCTGCAGTAGCCTCATTTTGTTCTTTCACGAATTTCCACAGTTGATCATAGCTGAACGCGTCAAATTTAGAAGGATGTAGTAGATCGCCGAACTTACGATTTCATAGTGATGAGGATCAATTTCCCCCAGGGGGAGTCACCGCTGATGTCAGATCTAATTTTTTGGATCTTGTCCATAGCATCAATGTGGTTCTTTGCACCATCGTGAATGCCCAGCAAGTACTGAACCTTGGTTAGCGAATACAGCTAGTAGATGGAGAGAATGAGGTTACATCTACTGTGGAAAGGGCTGCAATCGTCAAGATTGTGGTGTCATCTGCGCAGGTGTTCTCCGATGTCATCCTAAGGCCAAGTGTTGCAAAAGCATTTGCTCGATGGTATGCTAGCGCCTTGTCTTGTTGCCACGGTATGCCCTCCTGCAGGAGCCAAGATGTGCGAGCAATACATACCATGGACTCGAAAAGGGCACCGTGATGGAGAGCATAGGGGAAGACGAGTGAGTGGTAGGGGTTGGGATGCCCCTCAATCTGTAAAGCTGTCCCATGCTCTATTGCCCATGTTTGAACGTCTCCCAGTACAATTAGTGCAAAATAGGTGCATGAACATTGAGAAAGCTTACAATATTTGATCATTCGAGGTACAATACCCTGATACGGGATTGGATAAGCGTTGGCCGGCTCGGCGTTGAAGACATTGACTGAAAATCTAGGAAGCCTCCTAGGGTTTCTGATCAGTGTCACGTCTTCAGGAGTACGCTTCCGTTTCTTCCGTGAGACAACAAGTCCTTCATCTGGTGGGAGATCCCATGTTAGAAGATTCAGTATGGGCTGTTTCGATTGCACATGATTGATAGGCTTCTGCTTCTGCTTGTTGGATGTGATTGTTCTGTCACAACCTGATCCAGGCGTCAAGCCTGAGTTTCGACTTTGGGTGCGGTTCCCATCAGATGTAGTCACTGATGGTGATAGCAGATCCTGGATCCTCATCGATCTTGACATGCCTTCAAATCCAGCATGCAAGACTTCAACATCTCTGTTTTCGAGAGAACCAACGGTCAACAGGTAACTGAGACTCAGAGAGGTCAATGTGCTCGAAAGATAGGCATCTCGCTCGGGTCACGAATTGATATCGAGTTAAGAGCAGCCCACCGGCTCAACGCAACCCCTTGTCCTTTGGCCGACTAGAGGAATAGGATCAAGGTATTAGATTGTCCGCCTCAAATCAGGAAGCAGGAATGGAAAAGCGGCGAGAATTGGTCGGCGTATGTATGAAGGGACATACGAGTTTTCGCACCCCGATGACCGTCTGCAAGATTTGGTGGCTTGCTGGCACACCACGAATCATACCCAATGATTGGATGTAGACAAGGAAGCGAGACGGGTTGGAACTGGGGAGAAATTATTGCCAAACACTCCACAGACAGTTGTCATATGGATAAATCCCAGATTGAGAACGACCCAGGTCCCAGCGAACTGGGCTCCTTTGGAGTCCTGACGCCAAGAAGTGTAACTGATCAAATCGGTTAGAGGTTAAAATAGAACCGCGCAAGCATTCAACAGGTTGAGACAATGCTGACACTCGCTTGCTGGTGAAGGGGAGCTCGACCCGCGCCAGGCTTCCTTGGGCCGACTGAGTCTCTTTCTCCGTGCGATTCCATATCCAGTTACTGCGCATGGGTGGGAACTCGTGCGGTCAAGTTGCGGAATCCCTTAGGCTTCTGACATAATCCATAGAACCAACGACTTTCCCGCAGGCACACAATCTTCCTTATTGGACCGCTGTCAGTGCCCTTGCCGGGCTGCAGGCTATTCCTCTGCTGCTAGTCAATTGCAGAGAAATGAGACTAGGGGGCGCGTAGCAATTACCGGCAATAGTATATTGGGACCCTGGCATGATCATTAGCAGACAGGAATGCTTGCGGCACTTTTTAATCCTTCTAGGGTTCCCGGTTTGCGCCTCGCACACCACGTTCTGAGCCGCTGTACTACGAATACTTGGTACCTCGTACCTCGAACTAGGGCTAGTTCAAGCCGACCGACCGACGCACCGTGGGTGATGGGACTGCAGGCAAAGGATGTTTGGTATGGACATGTTGCACCATTCGGATGATAGCCTTCATACGGTAGTGGACGGGCCTAAAGGAGATGGCTGCTTGATAGTGACTGTGCCCGCTGCACTCGCATCTGCTGCGATTGAGTCGGACTTGGACCGTGCCACCGGCCAATCTGTCGGCCGACCTGGTCCAGATTGCCTCATATAAATCACTTCAACTATGGTCCCTTGCACCTCAGGTGACCTACCCAATCCAGCGCCTTATCAGGGCGGCCTTGCCACCACACATAATGGAATCGCCTTATGCCAAACGAGGTACCGATTGCTCGAGTCGGGCCAGTCACTTCTCTCGCACTCCACACATGGCGGCCTAAGCCCGCCACCAAACCTCTTTCCATAATTCATGTAGGTATCTGGACTGCCGACAGCTTCTCGAAGCCGGCCATGGTTTGTTCCTAATTTGGAAGCAATGGTTATATTGAGCGGTCGCTCGGCAGTTGCTGGCGTCGCGGAACGATGATTGAATGAGAAGAGAAGAAATAAGACCGCACAGGGTCACTTTGAGTCTGACTCTGACCACAGTTCTTCGACAGGGAGAACATAGGGAAGAAGTGAATAGTAGATCACAGAAGGGTGGCGGGACAGTATAACATCGGTGACATGGTGACGAAAGCTCGATGATATTTGCACACTCAAATTATCATTGACCGCGGATTTCAGACTTGTTGAATGACAAGACACCATGATTCATATATGAAGACAGATTTTCTTCTATGCACCATGGAAGCATCTATACCGCCGACTCACTTCTTGTCCTTGTTCGACGGTCCTCCAGTGTTGTTTGTTGATTCTGCCTGCTTTGTAGCTTCCTTGATTTCAATAATCTGTGAAGTTAGCAGAGTGGCTCGATCCCTCGGGAACGAGATCATACATTATTGCCTGCAAAAATCAGTGTTATCTAGTAAAAATGCCTTGATTGACGTACAGCTTGCACAATGTCCCCATTCGCCATCCTTGGTCAGGTCTACGCTGCCGCCACATTCTGGGCACTTGGGCATGATTCTGGTGCACTTCGAGTCCAGGATGAGTAGGCGAATGGCTTGTCGACAAGAGGAAGGGTCTCTAGCTAGTGATGAGTCAATCGCAGCGTATGGGAGCGTAAAGAATATTCTCTAATGGGATGCTGGATTGCCTTGATGCAGATGGGAAGGCACTTGGTTGTGAACGCTGGGCAAGAGCCACCGGACTCTCTCTACGGGCACTGGTGACGTCAACTGCCCTCCGAGTGCACCTTCCTTGGGTTGTCCCCTTCTGTGACAGCGGAAATCGCACAGCTGGGAAGCAATAACAATACGAGGTGTTCAACGACACAGTGCGGAGCTACTTTCAAAGCTACTTCAATTCCTATACACCGAATCTAAAACGGCTATTTCCAACACCTTCCAATTGTATTGCCATATACTCCGAGGGATTCATTATGCAGAGATGGTGAAGACTTCTTCGTGGCAGAATCATTGGGATGCAATTCACTCAAGCTGTCCCATACCTCTCCAATCGTGGCCCTATCTCGTGGTAGGGCCGAGTATTGGAGCCCATACATCTCGTTCCTCCCAAGAGGTGGAACAAAGCGTCCCGTCAGTAGCCTCAGCATCACCTTAGGCGACAGATAATGCCGCCGGATACGTGCCCACAACTGAAAGTACTGCTCGAAGATCTGCCTCAGAGACAGCGGCGTCGACGACAGACAGATGTAAGCCACACTCATCGAAATGGATCCTGTCTCGCTGTCTTCGCTGCTTGCGTCTTCGCCCTCATCTCGGCCCTCTTGCTGAGTCTCCTCCTGGCGAGGCACGTGAATCTGCTCCGTATCGAGTAATTGGAAGTGGAGGCCTCCAGGCAGCCTCTTGCAGTCTTTGATCCTGAGCATTAATGCAAACAACGGGAAATGGTTTAGAAACGCCAGGCAGGCGTCTAATGTCGCCTTCAGAGAAATGATGGCCATTCTTGCCGAAGCAAATGTCAAGTAAAATACCACGACTGTCGGGAGCAGGAAGAAGAGCAATGTAAACAAAATGGTACCGAGCAACAGCTGATCCAAGTCATAATCGCAGTTGTCAATTCGATTTCGCAAGACATTTCGTTTCTTCCCTCGGAATAGATGGAATAAGCTGATGATAATGGTGAGCTGCCAATTGAAGATGCGGGCACTGGCAACATAGAATGAATAAATGTGGATAGTCATCAGACTGAGCAGATCAGAAAAGATCGCAATCGGCATACTGGCACCGGCGAATGACGAGAAGCCTATTAAATAGACAATGATTGGAAGTCTGGGAAGAATGACCAGGAGTAACGTGGAGGACCAGTATTCGATCACCCACAAGAACAGGTCACCTAAAAACGCAGCCAGTTCGGTGTTGAGCTTGAGGCCACCTGGGTACGACATAAGCCAGCGTATCATCCGTTTGAGACCCTCAATCATATATTGATCAAGCACATCGCCGATGAACTGTGCGGTAGTCCGAGCATTGTCGTTGATAAAGCTCCCGAGAGCAATACCGATGATGACATCATTCGCAACTAGCCAGAGTGAATTGTAGAAGCGGATGTAATCACTGTTAGTAGTTGGGAACGAGGACCATGTCGCATGCCGTTTCTGAAGCAGTGAGTACTGGGTCGGATAGTACGAGAATTGCTGTAGCCGCAGGTGAACTTGCTGACAGCAGGCAGATATGTCTTTCAGAGCGAATCCACCCTTGACCACAGTCTGGCCCTGCATGAGTCGTCTCGCCTGGAAGGGCAGACGCCATTCTAGGATCTGGAGAACCGCCTCTGCCACAACTCGATGCACGATGATGGCAACCTTGAAGAGCCAAAGCAGAGTAGGGTATGCAGAAGTCATGAATAGATTCCACAGATTCCACGCAGCAAAGGCATAGAGTGATTGTGCCGACTCGACAACCCTTTCGCTCACAGACAAGCTTCGCTTCCTGCGAGGTCCCACGAGGGGGCTATTCTTTTGCAGAAGATCAGCTACCTCTTGAGCGCAGTTGATTTGGCGAAGAATAGTGTTCAGTGCAACGTCCTTATTCGTGGCCGAATGCCGAACAACCGTGTGAAAGCGAAGCTTTGTAACCAGCCGAGTTGCTGACTTGCGCTCCTGATGTTCTTCAGCGTCGATCTCGTCTCCTGACTGAGATACTACCATCTTGGAGGTGGCGGGTGGGCCGAATGTGAGTGAGATTGGCTCAAGGGACATGTATTGCAGTTGAGTGGGATTCGGGGGATCGAACAGGATGATCTGGACAGATAAGCCGGTGTCCGTTGGACAGTACAGATATGGCCTCTTGCTGGTTGGCAGTATAAAGGCACACAATTTCGAAGGGTCAAATACTTCTGGGAGATCTGGATGGTTGAGCGTGCCCAGGACGTGCATGTTTGGCTTGTCACAAAGCTGGAAGATTCGAGTGACAGGATACAAGCTGTTCCTGAAAAGCGTGCCCATTCTCAGAGCCGTTTCGACGCTGCGTACCTAAGGACATCAGACCCCAGGACAGGTTGTTGAAGTAAATGGCATACCTCGACATCTTCCAGGATTGTAATGACGAACAAATCCAGCGCGGAATTCCTCCACCCAACTATCACACCGGGTGTGGTGGAGCGAGTGAGATTGTTGGGCCAGAAAACTCGTAACATGCCATCATCGTTTTCGACCATTTTGACATATTTTCAGGTCTTTAGAAGGAGCCCCGCCTTCGAAGTTGCTCTCGTGCAGATATGCCGTGTATCTGAGACCTTGGATGCTTCAACACTCAGCCGCGATTCTCTTTATGCTAGAACAACCCACCACTACAGACTCATGTGCTGCAATCCGATCGAGAGGGATCGCAATCAGAACGAAGAGGAGGGAGATGATGGCGAATGCCTTTGCCGCCCTGGTCTATCGAGACATTAGTTTGCGAAGAAATCAGCTTCAAGTAAACATACAATCACGCCGTGGTCCCAGGCGAAAAGAGAGAGTTCGTAAAGCCGAGTGACAAGATCCCACCGAGCAGTGATATAGCCGGCAACGAATATGCCAATGGTCAAGGAGGAGAAAGGGTGCATGCAAGCGACTGAACGAGGAAGAGTGACGAGCGTTCAAATGCGCACCAAGGGAATTTATCAGCTCAGCATGCTGCGTCAAATCTTGGGCCAGACTCTCGAAAGATATCGAGCACTCTTCATGGACCGCGCAGAGTCCAATTCTGTTTCTGATGAAGTCGCAGTTCATACAACGTGCTTTGTCACTCGAACTTGAGCTGAGGGTGATGTTGTGGCACAGGTACGGCGGACCACTGTACTACATGTCACACTGCGGGAGCAACCGATATGATCCACCTGTGTAATTTACCAAAGGATCATGCTGCCATGCAGAACTGGTCTGAATCAAAAGCTTACAGCTTGATCCCAACGGAGGCATGATGTATGTATTACTCCACGCGGGTATGATGAATGAGAGGGCATTGTAATTGATATGTCACCAGTTCCACCATAGTGAGTGCGACAATATGAAACCTAGGCCTTTTGATCCACATCCTTGGTGTGTTTAGCCCTTGTTGTCTGCTTGACCATGCTCCCTATCCATGCGCTTGTCTTGGTCCTCTGAAGTTCGAAGTATCGTTGTTTGGGCTATTCTCCGTCAAGACCAATTGCCTTGATACCCCCTTGTCAGCTATCAGATCCCCTCCGTGTGCTCGACCTGTTTAGCTGTCTGATCTGATCCCGTTTGTTCCCGCTTCTTAACAATCGTTCAATTCTCGTTGAGGGCAGTCGGCGGCATCTTTCTGTGTCCATCACTGTTTGTTGGCCTTGTGTTTGGCGCAAAAGTTCTCTTTATTAGAACAGCGAGAGGCCTGGTAAAGCGGCATCTGTCATATGCTTAATTAGCATAGTCTAGTTGACTAGTTAAGCACCTCTCTAGCGTCGGGAGTAGCCGACGCTAGTGGGAAAGGCAACGTCCCTCTCCCCTCTCACCTCACTTCTCATGCTTGCTTGTAGCTTGTGTAGCGAGGGTGGCCATGATTTGGCAGCATGGTCCTGAAGATCTGCGACTTGATGCAAGCAAGATGATCAGAAGGCCCTCCAAAGTATGACAGATCTTTATTCCTCCTGCAAACGATCTGCGGGGCTTGCAGATAGCCGAAGTTGATCCCGGCCTCCGAATTGGGGCCAAGTGAGGCTGAGGCCCAGTTACACCGTACTTGTGTATACCTCAGGGGAACACATCATCCCTCAAACATTCCGGTTACGACAGCGACGACGACGACGACAACAATACATGATACAGACTATGAATAAGGTGGCACATTATTTGAAACGATATTTCCCGTCGCTCCAGTGACCTCCAGTTCCGCCGGCAGCTTGCAGCTCTGTGGAAGGCGGCGGAAAATCAGAGACGCCGGATTGATTATTCACGCGCAGCGCACAGCCGTGATCGCGATCTTGGAGGAAGCGCACCTGCCTGTGAATGACTGGCTTCTTGCTGTGCGCAACGAGATCGACCCCGAAATCGCACTAGTGCGAGTGCCAGTGATTGATCTTTTCTTTTTCGATTTCCAACTACATAAACCTGCCTCGCACTCCTCTCGCTTCTTATCAGCAACATCCTCACTCTTACGGCTACAACTCATCTACAAGTTCATTCATCTCCTTCTGTGTCGCTCCTTTGGACCAGACCCTCGGTGAACTTGGATACCCAATACCCATCACCCAATACTCCAATACTATTACACTTTACCTGCTAACGCCAACTCTTACCTTCCGCCTTGATCATCATGAAGACCATCGCTTTGTTCGGCGTCGTGGTCGCCTTCCTCTACTCCGCTACTCTTGGTAAGTCCAGCGGATCTTTTGGAAACCGTGGTCAACTAACATTTGGCAGCTCTTGCTCTCAATGTCGCTGATCATGAGAAGCTCGTTGGTGCCCTCGTTGGTGAGTTCCGCCACGCTTGGCCTATCACCACCATAACCAACAAGACTAACAATCTCATAGCTCGAGACATCTCATACGAAGCTGCTCTGGAAATCGTCGATCTTCTCCCTCGCCGTAAGTTTCAAAGCTCTTGGTTCATCTCTTAACTAACATTAACCCAGACGAGATCACCTCTACTGTCACAGTCACTGAATGCCCCCCACCCTATACCGGTCCTCCGTCAAGCTCAACTTCTGACATCCCATCCACCAGCACTGCTTCTACCGCTCAGACCAGCAGCACTACTGTGACTTCAATCCCTTACACTAGCTCTACCGATACTATTGTCTCGAGCGGCCTTCCACCCAGCAGTCCACCAGGATCGACCTCCATTCCCTCGACCTCGATCACTGTGTCCAGCAGCTCAGCCCCTCTTTCTTCAAGCACTACAACTGTGACCACCCATACTAGCAGCTCTACTGCCACGACTCATACTACTGCCACCGCCTCCACTGCCTCGGTTCCACCTGCTGTTCCTGGCAACGCTGCAAACACCATGCATGCCAATGCCGGTCTCTTGGGGCTTATGGCTTTGTTGGTCATGGCCTAAATACATACAGTCAACCCAATACCCCGACACTCACTGCAGCTATGTCTGCAATGATAGTCAGCATGATCGCATAAGCATGCAATAATTCCAATACGACATGAGCTTTTTCGCACCCGCAATTACACACAATGTCCATGACAGGAGAACATATCACATACCCATGCCCTGTTTTCTTTCCATGCTAGGCCTCTTGTTGGCAAGGCTAGAACTGAATCCATGTTGCATGCTATGCTAATGGTATCTTGGATGCGTGGAGGATCACGGACATAATTGTGCAGTTGTCACCTGGCGATAATTGAATGGTGTCCTTGTCGGTACACTCTGCTTCAAAGCGGGTGATACCTTTGGTTCAGCCATAGTGCTAGATAGTGAAAATTGTACCAACCCAAAGAATTCTTTCTAATTTTGTGAGCTTCTGTTGATGCCATCGCTTAGATGTGATCATGGCACAACCTCAGTGCCCCCGCCTTCACCCTCATCGTGCCCGCTTTTTAAAAGGGTTTTACATTATTGAAAATTTCTCTTTGTAAAGTAGCGGTCCGGGTTCCTAATACGACACAATCGCAGGGCTAACAGTCAAGGAATTCAGCTGACTTGATGAGACATTGCACAACGTTATCAGGGAGAGAATGTAATCCGGTCGCTTGGTTCGCATTCATTAAGAACAGGATTCTGGTATGAAGTAGGGTTATAGCACTTGTCCAACAAAGAACGCAAGCCCTGATTGCAATTGAGGGTATGTCCCTCGATCCCACGAAGCCCCGCAAACGCCAGTTCCTGTATGGTTGATCCATAGAGTACCTAGTGCCCTGTCAGAGCCGTATCAGTGAATTTACTTCTCGCGCGCAGCCTCGCTCCGAACATGAAGAGGCCATAGTGGCCGAGGACGCCGAGGAACGACAGGCCCGCGAGAACGGTCACACCGCGGTGGATTCCAAGCTTGACGTACATGGGACGTGTACACTGCACAAAGCCCGCGGCCAGCAACGACCGGGTGAGGTCATTGGCGGCGAACAGCGAAGCGACATACCGCGGGTATGTCGGCGGCAGCCAGCAGATGATGCTCTGGAAGACCACGAAGGAGAACGCCGCCCAGATGGCGATCCCGGCGGTTGGGGCGATCCAGTGGATGTTTGCTCGTGCCGTCCACGCGAAAACCAGCAGGCCCGCTGGCACGCCCCAGACGCCGACCAGGCCGGCGTGGAGCCATGCTTCTGGTTCGATGGGCATGCCTTTCTCGGCGTGTTGCTGGCGCGCCCGCGGGATGAAGTAGTGTCGCAGGTAGAGCGTGTAGGCGACAACCCCCAAGGCACAGCCCACGCTAAGGGTTGTGAAGATCAGGGTCATCCCACCCAGCGGCATGGCGTAGGCGCCCAAGTAGACGATTGGGAAGGCTTCGAAGAAGGAGTAGTAGGTGGCGTAGACGATCGCGCAGTACACGCATGCGTAGCTGATGGCCGGGTCCTTGACGGAGATCTCGACGGGCTTGTAAAGTGCCTGCAGCAGGGTGGTGCCGAAGTTGAGAGGCTTGAGTTCGGATGCGGCCAGGTAGGATGGCTTTCCGGTCTTCGCGCGCAGGCGTTTGGCTCGGCGGAGCAGGATCGTCGGCGCCCAGGTCTCCGGGAGGAACGGCAGGAGAACCAGCACGATGCCCGCCATGATGACCATCTCCCATAGTCCCCAGCGCCAGTTGTCGTTGATGGCGTATGCGCTCATGACGGGTCCGAACGAGGGGCCCGAGTACATCGCCGCCACCCACCAGATGTAGCCGTACGGTGCATCGTACATGTCGCAGATGTCTTCGATGGAGGCCGCTCCGCTGGCCAGCGCGGGGCTTCCAAAGAGGCCTTGGAGGAAGCGGAGCACCACTATGGCGGGGAAGTTGTCGACCACGGCCAGGATAATCGAGACGAGGAAGAAGAGGACGAATGAGAACAGGTAGGGAGGATTGCGTCCGACGAAGGGGATCTCGCTGACGGGAGAGAAGAACATTGGCCCGATGCCGTCTAAATGATTCGTTTGGTCAACAGGGGATGGACTAGGTAATCGAAAACACCACTTACATCCAGCAATGTACATTGACAATCCGAGGCTAGCCACATCCTGCGAAACACTGTATCTGGCCATGACGACCTCCGCAGTGGGCGCGATGATAGAAGCTCCGCTATACACGACAAAGGTGTACAGGACGATGATGAGCATTGTCCATTTCTTTTTCAGACTGCTCCAGTTGCGGGGGTTCTCGGGGTCGTCCTCGTACCAAGCAACAATGACAGCGTCCGTTCCTCCGTGCTCAGAGAGACGGCGGGATGCTTCGTTTGGTGGCAAGTCATCAGCAATAGAGGAGGTCTTGGAGGGCGCTTTCTCCAGAGTTAAGTCCGCCTCAGGCACCGCATCACTGGTAATGGTGTCGAATCTGGGGGTTTCGAAATCCGCAGCTTCATCTGGGTAGGGAAGCGATGCCTGGAAGCCTAGTGCTCGTAGCAGCTGGCCTGCAGGTGTGTCTCGAATAGCTTGAAGCCGTAAAGGCATGTCGAGTTGAGGTCAATGGAGAAAGTATTGCATAAAAGAATAGTTGCTGATACAGCAAAATACCTTGAATGGAGTTCGGGAAAAGAATATTTAAATGCTCAGTGCTCGTGGCCATCGTCGTCACAGCCTGCGGATTCTTCACGAAATCTATATCCATGAGGTGTCACTGACCTTCACCTACCTGTTGCGTAGACTTCCAGCGAAGAATGGGCTGTGCCCACTTGGGCGGTTTATTCGCTGCCGAAGGCTGAAACAGTCAAACCATCGAATCATGGTACCTAGCTAGATGCTGGCTGCACTAACCCAACCGGCTGAGAATGCAAACGGGCTTTGCTAGGATTTGATAAGCACGGGTGCCGTCCATGGAAGCAGGTTTGTGTGTTTGCTTCGGCAGATATGTGAGTTTCTGGTGAACAGGCAGGCTGCATTTCTAGGTCATTGAATGTGTTGCTCGACCAGAGCTGTTTTCTTGTGGCGCCGCGTCGAGATTACATTAGCACTATTTGAGGTCCAGATTGGTGAAGATAGCTGGAATTCTAAGTAGACTGTAACCTGTTGATGGGCATAGCTTGGAGTTACCGAATGCGAATGGTGTCTATCTTGACGGGCGGAAGCGTGGAGCGCGTCAGAATCAAGTTATGTGCAGAACAGTTTCCTTTCCGAGGTCGACACCCGATAATTAATTACGCGGTTAGCATCCGAGATGTTTGGTAAAACCGCCGTGAATTTTTCATACCTGTAGGCGGGACGCAGAGCCGAGCAGCCAGCCCATTCTGCTTCTCCATGGACGCCCAATCATGGCTGGTTGGTGGCGCGCTGAACGAGTCATAGCAGAACCTAGGGAACTAGTGGGTGCCCAGGCCGAACGGGCGAAGGAGACCTGAGCCTTGTAGCCTGTGTGTGCTTCGACCGTGTTAGGTTGCTCGTCTCTAAGTAAGGATGGAAACTGTCTGGAAAGGGGCTGTAGGCTCTTCTGACAAGGCTGGTGCTGGTAAAGACAAAAGGCTGAATCACATTAACTTGGCAGGATGCCTATTCTACGTAGATGGTATTGGGGAGTGTGGTACACCGTGCCGCCGGCGCTGTAGATAGTCCATAGCGCCGAAACCGCACGTCAGTCCGTCGTTCGCTGCAAGGATTGGATCAAGATTATTAGATATAGATAGTCATGCTGGGTGCATCCATCAATTAAGACCTGGGGATGCATTTTTTTTCTGGCCAAGGGTAGATTGGTGAAGACGCCAGTTAGTTCATGCTCTCCGTATCAGTCTGCATGACTCGCCAGACGCCGACAGTCTACATCAGTGTCAAGACGAGATGCTCATACTGTGAAATCACAGTCTAGTCGTACCTTCCACTGCCTTCTCAGAAACCTGTGCCTTGGTCGGAATCTCATTCACCTCAGAGACTTCGGTGTGCTCAATATGGTGGCCAAGGGCCTTGGAGGTTGCAGACTCGAGTTCGCGTGCTCTCTCGGCTTCCGACTCGAACACTGTGGGACGTTAGTCACATGCGGGAACTGGATGAGGTGGAATACTCACAGAAAGTCAACTCTTCAAGGGTCTTGCCAAATGTTTCCGGGAAGAGGAAATAGATGAAGCAAATCTCAAAACAAAGGAAGCAGACATAGACAAGCAGGTATTTCCACCTGATATCTTTCAATCCGATCGGGTTCACCTGTGCGCCAAAGGTGCTGGCAGCGCGAGAGCAGAGTTGGAACCATGTAATACCCTTGGTGCGGGCGTAGTATGGCCAGAGCTCGACCAGGTACACGTACGTAAGTGCGTTGTAGGCAATGTTGTAGCACGGCGTGTACATAAAAATGAAGAATATAGTGGCAATGCCGGCAGCTTCGGAGTTAGTGATCATCTGTCGAGCCTGGGAAGCAGTCCAGGCGCTATAGCAGAGCAGAAGAGAGACCGTGCAGAGCAGGTACATCCGACGTCGGGGGAAGCGAGGCGTAATGCTAGCTAGCGAGAAGCAAACGACAAAGCCCCAAGCTTCACGACCGACGCTGAACTTCAACTGGGTTTGACTATCGTCGATGCCAATCATGGCAAGGATTGGAACCAGGTATTGAGAGATGAGTGCGTTACCACTGAACTGGCAGAAGACCCCCAGCATACCCGAAACAAGAGCACGACGCCGCATGGCGGGAGACTGGAACACCTCCAGCCATCCACGCTTGCGCTCGTTGTTCTCAATCTCCAAAGCTTTCTTAATCTCGGCGAATTCAGCATGAGGCAATGGGCTGGAGGCGTCACCCTCGGCATGATACTTGATGAGAAGCTCGAGCGCCTCTTCCTGTCGGTCCTTGGACACCAGCCAACGCGGCGACTCCGGGATCAGAAAGACAGTCACGATCTGGATCAGTGAAGGCGCGGCTTGTAGTATCGATGGTAGGCGCCAGCTCCAGTTACTCGGAATCTTCTGAGTTTGGATCACAATACCGGCACCCAGGAGTGCGCCCACGGAGTAGAAGGCATTGAACATCGAACCTAGGAACTGGCGCTCCTTTGGATGGCCGAGCTCACCGAGGAGAGCCGCACCAGCAACAATGGCGTACACGATGCCGTGGCCCAGAAAGATTCGTGCGAAGATGAACATTGCAACTGTGCAAGGGACTTGTTAGTATGAAGAAACCGAGAAGACATAAACCTGCTTACTGTTGGTAGAAAACCCTTGCAGCACCGAGCCGATGACCATGATGATTGAGCCAAAGACAATCGAATAGCGACGGCCCACCCAGTCTGACACCAGCGGAACGAATGGGATGGCCGTAATAGCACCAAGACTGTAGCAGGAGACTAGAAGTCCGAGAATGGCACCTTCAGGTTTGTTGAAGTGGTCGTTCCAATAACTGAGTGCTTGAAGACCCTGTGGTTCAGGAGTTAGCATATGTCTGGATGATTGGCAGGAGGCATGAAATCGGAGAGAGGCTCACATTCATCATTGACGAATCGAAGCCACTGGTGCTTTCAATGAACATGGCAAATGGAACCAACGAGAGGTAGAGGCTGCGGAGGTTCCTCTTCTGGTACCATGGCACCTTGTCATTCTTGACGATGCCATCGATGATGGGGCTGCTGCTGCCGCCGCCTACCATGGTGATTGTCTTTGTAATTCGAGTTGATGGTGAGTGAAAGACTGAGCCGGATCCAGGAATCCATAGAGCCTCGAGCAGTCTTTATGGGAACGGCTCCTCGCAGTTCTCCATCAGCGATCACGCTCATTGCAAGAGAGCGGTCGCGTGTTGCGCTAGCCAGCAGCATGGTTGAATCGTGGAGACGGACCATGTCGCCTCACAGCATGTCTAGATCTCAGACCAACGTTGCATTTCACCTCGTTGGCGCATTGGCAGCTTGGCAGCGGGATGATTGGGATGGGCCGGCAATTAGGGCTACCGGATTTGAACCGGAATCGTTCTATCCACTGGCTAATTGTGGTGAAGCTCATCAAGCTCGTCAAGATCATTGGGCATTAGTCGGCACTAGTCGAGTATAATAGCCGAATAAGAGTCAGGCAAACCTATGTTTCCTGTCTCGCGTGATTTCAGGCCAGGATAAACACTTGATTATGGCCTCCCCACAGCCTCCGCAATCAGAAAATGGGACAGATGGGGAAGTGAGGTCGGGGCACCTCCCCGAGTCCTGGGGCTACCGCATGGCCATCAATCGGTATTGGCTCGCATATTCGATTTCGTAGCGACCTTGACTCGGTTGCCCGGTAGCTCGTATAGACCAACCAAACCTTTTCTCTGTCCTCCCGCAAGCATTTGCCGAGGCAGGCCTGGGCTGGCTTAGCAGCTACCACGAGAGATGGTCGCTTTAGTCAACAACATGCGGTTGTGCTAATTGTGAGTCTCGTTAAAGCACGGCAAATGCGGGGACTGTACGGAGTAGCTCGTAGTGTAAAGCTCGTCAATATCAACACTATACATATGTAGCTAGCGAAGAGAGAGGGAGGAATGGATGAGGCGCCTTCCTCCGTCATCCTCTATCCAGGTCGCAATCCCGCTGCCCAAATGCCAAGCCCTTGGCATACACCAAGCTAATAGAGCTTACTCGCCGCGAGATCACATCGCTACCCCTTTCGTGTCGGAGGAATTGGAACATTTGCTGGGCATCTAACGTATGGTGAATAGTCTCTTCGACACGCCCTCAAACGGTGCGTAGAACAGTCGACACTCTGTACGAAGAGGCGTCGAACAGTTATTTAGTGGCACACCTTCGGGGATGAGCCGCGAAGGTGTGCTCCCTCACGTCTCTGGTTTCCGTTGGGGGAAAGGATTGCCAGGGCTGTCCGACCACTTCTGATAGCGAACCATGACAGGACAAAGGGTTCTTCTCGTAGCACTTGGGTAATAGGAAGGGAAACTGCACCAATGTGCGAACCACAATCAGCATTGCCCTTTGCCCAGGCCTCTTTCCACCCTGCATATCACTTGGCCTAGGAGAGGATGCGAGGGTGGTAGTACCCTCACCAATCACAACGCGTGCACATCTGCACAAAGTTCGCTTTTGGCTGACATGTCAAGGAGATGAATGTATTGGCCATTTTGTTGCTCGTTGTGTACTTAGTGAAGGGAAATGCAACACCCTCGCTGGAGGCATCTTATTGACATCCTATCAAGTTACCTATTTTTCATCCAACACTCTCCCCTGCTGTTGTCCTCCGACAGCGACCAGTTCATGTCGGTTACGAACCTCCCAAACGCCACTCCAGAAACCCTCTTTCCATAGTCTCAGGATTTCAAACCCAACTTCGATGGCAATGAGCACAATGATCGTCCACTCCAGGAACAACCCGTGCTTCTCGCTCAACCTCTCGCGTAATACCGTTGCGATTTCCGCAGCATATGTCATCTTCTCGTTCAGAACCTTGATCCGAATCCCTACGTCGAGCGCTCGTCCAACCTGGTCATAATAGTTCTCGAGGTTCAATTCGTGTCTCGAATCCCAGAACAGGTCCGGGAGGGAGTCGGTGAGTTCCGAATAGAGATTGAGTTGGGCCCGCAGTAGCAACAGTTGACCTGTTTTGCGCAAGATAAATGGACGTGAGAGCTTGAACGGAAGTCGAGAGCCTTTGGACAGCAGGGCTGGAATGTCAGCAGTGGAGGTTAGGTAGGTCGAGAGACTGGTTTCCAGAACAGCAAGCTTAGTACTCCTAGCGAAGCCCGAGGAGAAAGCTATCTTGGTCAAGACAGTATCAACACTCTGATACTCTGATTCACGTTGATGGTCTGCATCAGCCAGAGAAATGGGCTCAGGTCTCTTGGTCCCAAGGATTATCGTATCCCCGCGAATAGTGCTATGCTCCCGGGTTGGGTCTTCAATGTAGTCCAAATCCTCAGTCTCAACAGGTTCCTGGTGGGGATTTTGAGCAGCAGGGAGAAGGGTCCTAGTTGCAAAGTAGGAGGTAAATCCCTCGGGAAGTGCCCAGGTCACAACGGTCCCCGAAGGGAAAATGAATATATCTCCCACGTCCGTAGCTGGAAGCTCTCGAGCGGACGGGTTGGTAGAACGATATATAGAAGATATGGGAACTTGGACGTGAATGACTTGTTGTGATAAGCCTGTGTCCAGCGGATCGGGCTCAAAGCCTTTACTGCGAAGGATCTCGACAACCTTGGTCAGATCATACTGCTCGGCCACAGCATAGGCCGTCACAAGCTTAGTCGAGGTAACTTCATCCTGGTTGCGATTTCCTGCCTTTTCCAGTATTCCTGCTTTTGATCTTTGTGCCTCTAGCCCAACCCTTCGAAGCGAAGTCTTTGTTCCAGGAGAGCGAGCGGTCTTACGTTTCAGTGTCAGCGCGGAATCGACAGACTCAGGGGCGGCATCCTTTGTGGTGTCTGATGCATGGGATTTGGCGCTTGAAAGTGCGGAATTTGAGGAGAAGAAGTCACGGCGACGAGGTTGCTGGAAGATGGGTGAAGCGTGAAGTGGTCGAAACGTAGGTTGTTTCAGCACGTCGTAGGCTGTCCTTCGGCAGCTCGAGCAAACAAACTGATTTGTTGCTTGGAGAGATGGCCGGCAAAATGTTAGTCGCATTGATGCAGCTCCTCTTCGAGTATTGGGGGGTGGGTTTGGACGGCCTGTTTGTCCTGAGTCCAAACAGAGGTTTTGCTACGAAGCACGGTTACTGCCAAGGTTTGGGGAAGCCGTCGCGCCGCACCCGCTTCGGGAACAAAGGTGATGCCGCCCTGTCCTAATGCCTCACCCCTCGTGGCGCAACCGGGGTGAGCAACGCCTACGGGCCACCGCCCGTGGAGCTACTGTATTCGAACGCTATCCGAAGCGGACCCGAGAACGCCCAGGCGCTAGTCTAATACGTACCTAGGATACTATATAGTCTGACGAGTTCCTCGGACCGTCTTAGGAATGACCATGTCCCCTTCCCATCACACCATTCGTGGGGTGCGAGGGGCCGAGATCCAAAATCCCAGGCGATATGCCGGTGGGTTGGGATTCAACCATTCTCAGACTATAATTAATTAGCTACGCAAAGTCTTCTGCTTATGGAATGGGCGTAAGGTCCCCCCCCTTTTCTAGTGTCACTTAGGTATCTCCTCATTCATATTCTGTACCATAGTTATATAAGACTGAACTGTGACCGATAGGAACATTCGGTCCCAGGAACACTAGACATGGTCAGTCGCGGAGGGTCACTCCTTCAACCCTAGGGGTGCAACTGAAAACATACTGAAGTAATTTGGCATATTAGGAGCAGTCAGGGATAGGTAAGCCTCCAGTTTTTCCTTCCGCTGATCTTCAAGTGACACTCCTCCCCTGGCGATCAGAGGTAATCGAGGGCAGAAGGATATGTCGAAGGCGGTTGCACAAATGAAGATGTCCACTTCGAGTAATTCGCCGGTCTCGAGGAGGATACCGCTTTCTCCTAGCCTTTCAATCTGGCCTGTCACAACCCGGACGTTGGGCTGTATGAGAGCCTCGAGATATCCATTTCCGGGGGTTGGGCGTCTGCATCCAACGGCAAACTCGCGGATCACGTGCTTGACGAGCCGAGCATCGTGGCCAAGCTTGGCTGTCATCTCATTGATCGAGTATCGCCGTGCCTCAGCTTGCTCTAGACTATCGTTGATGACCTAGTCTATGGTTAGCCTCAGATACAATATCGATCCTTGAGCCTCCGGCCCACTGCTCACAAATTAGAATCGAGAATTGAGTTCGCTCTCGACCTCCTTCCGATATGCTAGGTAGGCGTTAGGTTCGTCCTCAAAGGACTGTTTCTGGGCCTCTGTGACTGTCGTGAGACCATGTCAGATCCAAGTGTCAGAACTTTACTGGCACAAGCGGCTACACTTGAAGTTCGATCCTCCTGGACCTGCTTTGTTCTAAGCGTGCCTTTGAAAGACTGCAGCCCTGGGATGTTTTCCTATTTCCAATTGCTGTAGTACTAATGAGCACACCAAAGGACGTCTTCGTCAGTGGACGGTGAGGAGCATACTTGAGGATACCGGAGCCATTGATAAGGAAGTCACACCAATTGTTAGAGATCAGGCCAGTTGAGAGGTCTTCGATTTTGAGGAGCCATCGATTGGTGTTACCATTTCAAGATGCGCCAACAACTTGGTTCCGCAATTTTATGTATTTGTATAATCCATATTTCAATGCAACAGCTTTAAAGTATTCCAGTATCTCTGGTGTGGCGGAATAGCTGTGAGGGAGATATTCGTCAGCCTGGAAAAGACTTGGAGATTGGTTTCGTTCAAGTCACAAGGTACTCCATCGTGTATATGGCTCCCACGTACACTGATACTTGTGACTGGGAATATCGCACGCACAGCCGGGATACCTGTACTCACTCGTGGTCAGCGTCGGCAAACTTGAACAGGGACTGCACCGACCTGTTTTCAAACATGGTGCCATAACACTGCAAACGAAAGATCACTGACGTTAAACGTAAAAGAGATGCTGTATAGATGTTTGGGAATGCAGCATTGGTATTGTACCCAAGAATCGTGCACATGGAGCAGCGTCCAATCACCTCTCGCAGGACCGGTTTCGGTTGCTGTCTCAAATATGTCCCTGTTCTCCACCAATCTCCAACCATCTCCACAGACGAATGGTGCCCTTCCCTTCCTCCCTACCCGAAGCACTCTCCCGCAGACGGCTTGCGAAGGAGAGAGCGCGGAAAGGCCATGCTTGGAAACCTAAATTAGGGGTTGAGATTGTGGAGTGAGTATCTGTCTCCATGCTGGAGTACTGATGGAGCGGCATCCTGATACATAGTCAAGGTCTAGAAGTGATCATCAGACAGCTTGATCGGTTGGGGTGTATACGCGCTCCATCGACTCGGAGTACTTGCTTAGACTTGCGCCGCTGATGTTGACCACATCGAAAATGTGCTTGCCTTTGTTAAAGATACCGGCCCACAGCGTTGCAACCGCTGTGGCGAAATGACGAATCTTCTGCTTCTGGTCTTTACGATCCGCGATATTGGTTTCAATATTGTTCTCGAAAAGGTCCGTCTCTATCAATAGGATGTGAATCATCTGGACGAGGACCAACTCTCTTTTGTTGTTGGCGCCAAAGTGACTATCGACGGAACAGGCAGACAACCTCGTGATGACGATCAATGAGTCAGTGCTACAGCCTCTGGAATGCTTTGGAATCATGGAAAATAGGCTCCAGGAGGTCATTTTGCCTAGTTATTATCTATATAAACTAGAACGGTGACCATAGAATAGAAGAAGACAGAAGTCTCAACTACGCTGACTTGCCTGTATCGATTGGCTCGTACAGTTGTACAGTCTAAATCCCCCAACATGAGTCCTGTCATAAAATTGTTATTGTATCAACATTTGGAATCCTTGGAAATCAATGAGTGATTTGAAATCATGGAAAAAGGGCTCACAGAGATCAAATGCCTCATGAATTTGTATATAAACAAGAACAGAGTCCATAGGATTGAAAGAGACAGAGAAATCTGATATATGCTCGAGTGCTTGCCAATAGCGGCGTAGACCAATTCGCCAACACTTCTCTCCACAGACTTGTGGAGAAAAAGGACGATGTATTTACGGTTGCAGTGGAGCGCCCAATCAGCAGCATTAGCCCAAGATGTGGGGACAGGCTGACCTCCACGGCCGACTCTATACCTGCCAACGTCCTCTTCGTGCTCCAATAAGCTGTCAGCCTCCTGCAACTTTCGAATCATATTGAGGTCGGACGATGAGACACATTCAACAGGGTAGTTTATGAGGGATCTTTCCGGTGACGCCTTGCGAGAAAGGCCTTAATTCCAAGGCTCAAAGTCCCGATGAAATCCATCCGGCATTTCCGAGCAGTACAGCTGGAGGCATTCGTAAATTGCTCATTCATCGATACAATGCTTCATTAGCAGTGGTGCTTTTTCCTTGTATCAAAAGGTAGACTTGACGCACCTCAGCGGCGCGTTGATCCCAAGAGTCACCCTGCACCTCGAGCTCGTCTCGCGTGTACCCTGTGACAAAAACGCAACGTTCGACGTAGAGTGATCCGGGGTGAACCATGCGTCAATTCCCAAGACATGGGTTAGGGCGTTTCTTCATTAGCAATAAACAGGGAATGTCAGTTATACCCCGACACCCTCCTGAGCTTTCCAGAGCTGAGAGAAACCAAGAACGGACCGGACAGCCACAGAGTGGAAGAACCTGATTAGCTCGTAGCCCATACTTCTTATGAAATTCGAATTTGTAAAGCTTCGACACGATAAAGTTGCAATGCGATGGCCTAGGCAGAGATTGCCTTCAATATGCAACACATAGGGCGCCTTTTCTCACTTTCACTGCTTGTTAGCTACCCAACTCGACAAAAAGTTTTTGGAGAGACCGCCACCAAAGTGCCGGGCGTACCTCCTAAAACCCAAGTTTTTTCATGATTGGAGTATGAATGTTCGAGTTGGTCGATGGAATGAGATTGATTTGTGCTGACTTGGCCAATTGAGGCACGGCTGTGGTGCAAGGCTTGCAAGACTGGCTCACACGCAATCGCAACAGCAACAGTATCTGTGGGTGATTCATCTCAGTCTACCTTCCGCCAAACCGACCAGCATCCTCAACTGCGATATCGGGCTGCGGATTTGCAAGGCCTATAACCTGAGGTAATCAAGAAAACATAGTTCCAAATGGTCCCCGAATGATCTACATTGACCTTAAGATGCCCGAGGCTAGGGCGAAAATGAATTGGAGAATTGGAGGCCTACTAGTAAGCGTTTCCATCTTTCTCCATGCCAAATACCGCCAACAGCCTGCGGGCTCTTTGCCTGCTCTTTTGATTCGTGGCACGGCCGCTGCAAATTGCACGGCATGAATGCACCGTTGTAAGATGAACTGATCCATCTGCTAAAGCATAAACATCGACTTGCATTAAAAGCTACTAAGTGCAAAGAGATGCTTTGGAGGCTGCCTACGACGATTGTCACTTAGTCCTCACATCTCATAACACAAACCCAAGCGATCTAAACCGGAATGACCAGTGACGGCCTTTCCATCTAACTAGATCTTCAGGGCAAGATCGCGATAGTAACTGGTATCGGTCAGGATGGACCTGCAGACATTACAGACAACTGGGGAAATGGCGCTGGAATAGCTCTGGCGTTGACTCGAAACGGCGCCCAGGTGTTTGGATGCGATATCAAGCTTGATGCCGCCCAGCGAACCAAATCTCGAATTGATGCCGCGGTACCCGATGCCAAAGTCGAAGTTATGAAAGCAGACGTCACGTCATCCTCATCCGTGGACAGGTTTGTGCAGGAATGCCTCAACAAGCACGGTCGAATCGACATTCTCGTCAACAACGTTGGCAAGAGCGAGAAAGGAGGCCCCGGCAGACATGATTGAGACGGTTTGGGACGCCCAGGTCGACATCAACCTTCTTGCTCGCCACGGCCCATCTCAAGTGGCGTTTGACCTGATTCACCGCCCAAGGACATAGCCAAGAGACGTTCTAATAAATCAAACTATAAGTTCTATTCAAATTAGTTGAAAGTTCATAGCTAAGGTGTTCGCATAATAATGGACAATTAAGGAGAAAGACTTGACGGTCCAACTAAACTGGCAAGAATATGAAGACCTCTACTCTCTTGGCTATAGAGTTCTTATAGTAGCTGTTAGATGATTGACCATAATCAAAGATGTTTTAGGCCAAGTGCAAGGCTGTGGTCGACGAGGCTGAAAGACTTGGCAAAACTCCTTGGCGGGCGTCACTGCCAGTGCTGCATGACATGCTGCGTGACTGCTGCTCCTCCCTAATTGGGGTCAACCGCAGGTACGCCATCGTTGTCGCTGGCGAAGCACGAGCAACTAAACGAAAGTCTTCTTGGCCTCAGAAGCATGCCTCTGACTTCTCGGTCGTGATAATGCGACCTTGTTAGCACCTTCACCGGATCGAATGGCTGCTGGTGATGGCTCGGACGAGCCAGTCGAGAAAGGGCACTCGACCCCCAGCCATCCACCCCCCCCAGCCCGACTGCTCCCCCACTCCGTGAGGGATGACTCCGAAGATGAAGATGAAGTTGAGGATGGAGAGGATGAAGAGGAAGAGCCAAAATTGAAATATGCGAACCTGACCAGAAATCTCAGCCCCTTGTATCGCAATGGCGATGCCACCAGCGCTTTCTTGGTCGCGGGGGACAAAATGGCAAGTCTATGTGCCTCTTTCCTTGTCAAGCAAGGTCGTCTTCTAACGTGTGATACATAGATTGTTGGAACACACAATGGGAATATTGTAAGTCGACTCATATGCTCCCTCGGCCACTTTCTCACGATTCCAGCATGTGTTCAGTATGCCATCGTTCAGTCCCCTGCGCGTTTACCACGCCCATACTGCCAGCATCTCTGCTATCTCTATATCTCCTCTCCCTGTGCCTCTTCCGGGCTTCCGTTCAGAGCAGACGTCAAGACTGGCTGCAGACGCAATGTCGCAAAGGGAGTCATCTCCTTCCAGTTCTCCAGCACCCAAGGGAAAGCAACAACAACTAAGCTCTGTACCGAACACACCTTCCAACCAGATCTATATTGCGACTTCTTCAATTGACGGAAACGTCTGTATCGCATCCTTGGTTGACCCGAAAGATGTCCAGCTTCGTAATTTTGGCAGACCAGTACAAACTGTGGCGCTTTCGCCCGAATACAAGTCGGATCGGAGCTATCTGTCAGGGGGCCAGGCCGGCAGTCTAATACTAACAACTGGCGGACAGGCCGGCAAAAGTGCAAATGCAAGCACAACTGGAGCTGTGGCTACTGCATCGAGTTGGCTTGGGTCTATCGGACTAGGTGCAAATTCAGGCACCGACAAAGCCTTGCATAGTGGAGAGGGCATTATCAGTACAATCAAGTGGTCTCTTTCTGGGAAGTATGTGCTTTGGGTTAATGAACAGGGAATCAAGATCATGAGGTCGAATTTGAAGCTAGAAAGTGGAGAATCTGGCTCTGAATGGAAGAGATTGAGCCATATTGACCGTCCGACCCGGCCAGGTTGGGAAGACATGGCCGGAGTATGGAAAGCACGCGTCGAGTGGGTTGATCGTGAGAATATTGAAGCTGACGATGATTCTCCCATTTCGGCTGTCATGAGCTCCTCAAACGGTTCAGCCTCTAAGCCTGTTCCCAAGAAAGCAAAGGTCGAGGAAGTATTGGTTGGTTGGGGAGACTCAGCATGGATCATACATGTGACTCCAGCTGCCTCCGATAATGAAGGTGGGAACAGGATTGGAAGCGCGGTAGTGGCAACGATGTGGGTGTTTCTCTCCTACACATGAAACAACTGACGATCGATAGTATACGATTTGATGACTGTACAATATCTGGAATTTCGCTATATACCCCAACTTTGCTCGTGATACTGGCATATATGGAAAGAAAGGGCAATCAGGCAAGAGCCTCAAGCGCTGACCGAGGCAAAAAGACCAGGAGAAGACACAACGCATTGGAGCCAGAGTTGCGCTTGATCGACATCAAAACCAAAGAGGAAATCGACAATGATACCCTAACAGTGAGTAGGTATGAGACTCTTTCGGCTTCGGACTATCACTTAGGCTTCCTTCCTCCCGTCCGCATGTCTGCTGGCGCTGCACAAAGAGGATATTTGGGGACAATCGGGTCTGGCATCGGTACGGTTGGCACAAGTCTGTACACCGGCGTGGAAACTGTTGGTCAAGGGGTGTGGGATGCCACCATGTACGGGCCTCGGATGCTGGGTGCTAATCGCATGTTTAGCGGTGCTGATAGCATCAGGAGCGGTATGAGTGGCCCCGATAGAGGCAGTGCAAGAGAACGCAATTACCTAACAGGCTGGATTCCTGGGTTTGGCTCGAGTGAAACGAATCAGAAAGAAGACGCGAACAGTCTAGCCACTGCCCAGAGCATGAAAATCTTCATCTACAGCCCATACGACTGCATTGTTGCAATTCGCCGGAATCTACATGATCGTGTGCAGTGGCTCACTAGTGTGAAAAAGTATCAACAGGCTTGGGAATTAGTTGATCAGCATCCGGAAGCTGCCGGCGTCGCTTCGGAAGCCTCAGAAGCCTCTACACCACCGAGTCCGTCCAAGGCTAGCTCGGTATCACAATCAGCAAACACAGTTCCTGCAAGTCCTACCCAGGTTCGCCAACAGGCGACACTGGCCGAGTTTTTCGCGGACTCAGCGTCCATGACAAGCTCCGCTCAGGTCAAGTCAAGGGGGAAGTTCTCTATCGCAGAAAAAGAAAAGCGCAGGATAGGCGAATTGTGGCTCAAGCAACTCGTTGATGCTAAGGTCTGGTCTGAAGCAGCTGAGGTCGCTGCAAAGGTACTGAACACAACCACCCGATGGGAACACTGGATCTGGGTATTTGTCAAAAGCCACAGATTTGACGAAATATCACCTCACATTCCCACTCTCGAACTGACTCCGCCACTGCCTTCATCAATCTTCGAAATTGTTCTCGGACACTATCTCGAAACTGACAGGTTCCGATTCAAAGAGTTGTTAGATCTGTGGCCATCAGATCTTTTTGATATCAGCAGCATCACAACTGCTATCGAGGATCAGCTCGAGTCAGGGACGGCACCCAAGGGCTCTGAAGATTGGAGACTTTTGCAAGAGGGCATTGCTAAGCTGTTCCTGGCCGATGGTCATTACAATGAAGCTTTGAAGTGTTACATATATCTGCAGGATGCGGATACAGCTTTGTCGCTAATCAAGGACCACCATCTTGTCGAGGCAGTCGCAGATGATATACCAAGCTTCGTGCAACTCCGAGTGCCATCCAGTCAGTTGGGGTCGATTTCTATCGATGAACTCGATGAACTCGCGGCAGATCCAATAAGCGTGTTGGCAGACGAAGCCACTCATGGGGTCGTGGAGCCAGACGAAGTCATCGCTCAGCTGGACACTCCTGTTCTAAAACCGTTCCTCTATTTCTATCTGCGTACTTTGTGGCGTGGTGAGAGTGAGATCGATTCATCGCAACGACCTCGTGTTGGACACTCTGCTGCTGCGACGGCGCTCGCGGCAGATACGGGGAAACAGCTTGCTGAACAGTTTGCGGATACTGCAATCGATCTCTTCGCAGAATATGATCGTGCTCTGCTCATGGAATTCTTGCAGACATCTACGGCATATACTTTTGAGAAAGCTGTCAAAGTTTGCGAGAGGAAACGCTACATTGAAGAATCGGTCTACCTTCTTAGTAAGACAGGACAAGTGAAGAAGGCTTTGTTTTTGATCATCGATGAACTCAAAGATGTCTCCAAGGCCATTTCTTTCGCAAAAGAGCAAGATGACAGAGGACTATGGGATGATTTACTTGAGTATAGTATGTCACGACCGAGTTTCATATCAGGTCTACTGGAAGAAGTCGGCACCGCCATCGACCCAATCACATTGGTGAAAAGAATACCTTCCGGACTGGAAGTTGAAGGCTTGAAGGATGGTCTGCATAAGATGATCCGAGAGTATGATCTCCAGGACAGCATTAGTTCTGGCGTTGCAAAAGTGTTGAGCAGCGAAGTCGCTGTTGGTATGGACACCCTCAGACGAGGTAGAAGAAAAGGCATCAAATTCGACATTGGGTTCATCCCTCAACCAAAAGGACCACCGGGCCTAGATATGGAGTCCACGCAAACTCCAACCGAAAAACCCAATCACATTACTGAGCCGGAAATCCAACCAGGCCACTGCGCCGCTTGTCATCGTGCGTTTCACCAAGACGAAAGTGAAACGCTTGTCGGTTTTGCTTGCGGCCATGTATATCACGTATCACATCTGCTCCATGGACCGGATTCGGAAGGCGACGAGTCTACCTTGCCTCGGAGTGTTAAGGACGTTGAAGAAGACGTCGACATTAGTGAGCGCTTCTCCAGGTCTGTTGGGCCTAAAGTCACCAATGCAAGATTGCTCAAGGATAAGATCCAAGGGGTTGGTGGATGTGATATATGTAAAGGGAAAAGGCAGCGGGCTGAGGTGGTCGGTGGCGTGTGAACACGGGTTGCCAGTCGAACACGAGCTGGTCGATGCCTTCGCCGCATTTAATCTGGCAATCGCAGAGCCTGTCTGCTGCAAGGATTTCCAGGCCCCCCAGAAGATCGAGATTCAAGGAGGGCTGTCTTAAAACACCGTTAAAGCGGCATTGGATCCTTTCCCAGGGCCGCCGACCTTACATATTCCGTTTTGAGCTTCATATACATGCATATTTTTATGTTGAACCCCAGGTTCTCGGCGACCCAATCTCCAATCTGCGGCTTTGGTTCCCAGACAACCTGGGACCGCTATACCATATGCGACCGTGATGCCATCCGACGCCGTCCCCCGTATTGGGAACTCAATAGTCCCCTGCATTGAACACTTGCCTATCTGGTCACAAGATGGAAAGGGGGTCAGAATGCAGTCCATCATAGGCTATCGCAAAGTTCAATCACGCAGCCAGTTGGTTTGTACAAAGGACTTCAGGCGCACCGCCAAGAACGTTGACCTTCAATATGTGTACCCTGCAGAGGGCAAAACATCAGGGAGTATGAAAAGTACAGAATCTAAGAGTGCGATACGGAGTACGGCATACCGGTATGCAAGAAACACTGGTCCAATCTCCCATGAAGCTGTCATGTACTTTGCTACTGTGCAACTATCTTGTTGGGTGCCGGGGGGGAGATTTTGCGACGTGCGAAGGATTGCTCTAGAGTACCTGCGGTGGGATTCTACGAGTTCCGTGATACGCTAACCTCTTTTGTTCCGGGAATCCTATCTATAATTGGCAGATTTGTTCATTGAGTATATATGTGCGGCTAAGATGGAGAGGCCAGTAGTTGCCGTCCCGGTGGATGGTCCTGGTCACGGCTGGCAATAATGTTATGGTTGGGGAGACCAGCTTTACGTAGATATATTTGAGCTAGACTGAGTGGCCAATACCCCCTAATCGGTGGCTTTCTCATCTTCCCTGACGGCCTCACTGCCTACCTAATATTCGTGCCTCAAGTGAGGTCACAATTAGTGGTGTCGACCAAAAAGCCGCTATGCTGCTATTCAGCCCATCAGGCTTGGGAGTGACACGGTGTAATGCCCAGGATAGGACAACGGAGGCATTATGTGTTTGCTGTCTCAACTATCGATTATGGCTCTGAGATGCCACCTCAAAGACAGTCTTCCAACGCTGATTCACTCCATGCCGGAGAGAAAGGTCCGGTCCAACACAATGCCGTGTAAAGCCAATTTCTGAGGTAATCACACGAAGTCTCTGCAAATGGAGGGGCATTTGTAATGCACTAAGACTGAATAGAGGCAATGGTCGTAGAAATATATTTTCCCGAACGCTTAAATGTCATAAGCAACCGCGAACTAAGGCACTGGATTGAACTGGGAAGGTGGGTAGGGTGTCGGACGGCCAAATCAAAAGGAGTTGACTTATCTATTCTTTGTTGAGTGTCCCGTCCTGTTCTGTCTTCTAGTGTATCTCGTTCATATACTTTAGGTGCAGGCCTTTTGGAAGATGGCCAGGGGCGGGGGAAATCGATTGTCTGGTTGAAGCGGCCTAGTTTGCGTCTGCTAGTGGTTCTTATATGACGAAGCTGACCTAGGGCATCCCCTTGGTTGACGCCCTTCTTGTTGGGAACACTGGAATCGATCCACTTTTCATGTTGCAGAAACAGGAAATGGCGGTATTGTGAGACATTCAAACTATGAGCACACTCATTTTCATCGAACACAATCCTAACATAGCACTCCGGCAGAGAGAGCTTGTAACGGCACGAGTGAGAGCTCACACGGCCCGTATATCGCATGCCCGAAATCGAACCCAACGAACGCGATCAAGCTCGACTTCTGTCTCCAAAGAAAATGAGAAGGAAGAGGAAAGAGCATCAACACCACTTAGCTTCCCCATGCTCTTAGGCAATACGGATCCTTTCAACAGTTTTGACCTCGAGATCACTCCTGAAATATACCGAATCCTCACATTCAGCAGAAATGGCGCTCTTGCCGCCCACTATATGCCCCTGGTTATCCGCAAAATGTCAGATACTGGACAACTTGGTGATTTTGGGAAGGCCGATATCTTGCTCGGTTGGCAAGATATTCTGCTGAGCTTGCAGGATGAAGGCATTGCCCTGGCTCGGTTGACAACTTACAGCCAGTACTTGAATTACTTTGTGCAAGACTCTGCAGAACTGAAAATGTCGGTCACGTCAATGCGTCGGCGGAGCCTCCATTTACTGCGCAAGAAGTTGGAAAGGTATACGGATAACTTGTCCGTAACCGAAAGGAGCAGTTTGCAGCGACACATATTTGGATTATTTGACGCAGAATGTTTCTGTGGCAATCCAGACGTGGCCAATGTACATGGTAGAGCCTTGCAGCGGTTAGCCCTCAATAGTGATGGGATCAACTTTTCGATGAGCCTCAGGTTATTGTATATCATTTGCCATACGGCTGCAGCAACTGGACGAAGAACTCTGCCATCGATTGCCGAGTGGATTTCATGTCAACTTGAACTATATCTCGAGAAATCGGTCCCCGCTTGTCCTCTTGGAGTCTCTGGAGAGAGTGTGCTTCATGAGATCATCAAGCTCCCTCGGCTGCGGAGCATCTTTATTCGCCGTAAGTATCTGATGAGTGCCACGATGGATCTCATCCAGGGGCATAACTCAGAGGTAGCCAGAGGAATGGACGACAAACAAGCACTATATGCCTACGTATTCACGTCATCAATCATAGATCTAAGCCGCCTCAACGATATGTATCATGATCTCAACGAAGGAGCCTTGATGGGCCAGAGCAGGTCCACCGAGAGATATACAATGGCTGCCATCTCACTGGCTCTCAACTACCTGACGCGGGAGCTCTATGGAGATCTGACTATCAATGACATTAATTTCCACGACTACTCTTCGACAATGCTAAAGACGCTGAGACTCACCATCGCCTCTGCATACAAGGAAGGCGACGATCAGGACAGGGCGGAATTGGCACCGGCGTTCCTTTGGGTGTTTTATGTGGGTGCTACCTACGAACATAGGAAAGGGTATATCACAGCGACGATACCCTCGCTTGACATGGTGTGGTTCAGTCCGCTGCTGATTTATCAAGCCAAATTATTGAACATCAATACCTGGGCTCAGATGGAAACTGTGGCACAGCAGTTTTTCTGCACATGTTTAATCGAACCAAATGGCTCAACCTGGTTCGAGCCGCTGCTCGAAAAGTATGACGTTGAATCACATTACGTTAAGCTTGCGCTAGAGATGTTGTGCCCCGGTATTCTTCAGGGGCCATGAATAAGATGTCTTCTCTTTCATGCCTTGTGTAACACTCCCACTGTCGCTGGTTGCCAGAGGGACAAGAATATCTATATCTCCACTGAGGGCATATACATAGTATGTCCTGTATTTTCACGAGTCAATTTAGGGTGTTACAAGAGGGCAATCTTTGGTCAGTTCTGTAACAAAGATAACTCATGCCTTCAATCTAGATATTCCGATCTAGGTGAGACATAGTGCAAGGGCAAACTCAAAATGCTAGTCAGCTGTAAGGATCAGGGCGTTAAAATCTCACATGCAAGCAAGACAATTCATCCCGCACATCTAGCCAAACAGCTCGATGCCTCCACGCAACTTCTTTGGTATTTTGTGGTATGATGAACCCATAGCTGGAGAGAGCGAGGTGCTTGTCGAGCATAGAGAAGTAGCCTCTGTAGACCACAAACGAACAGGTTGACGAATTAATGGTTAGCACTTCGGCTCCAATGTTAAGCTTGCATGTACTGCTTGATAAATTCTGGGCCGCTCCCCAACCCAGCCAGAACAATGGGAGTTTCTCCGAAGTTTTCACCAGCTCTCTCATATTGAGTCAGCTCATCTCCAGCGAGGCGAACGATATCACTAAGCCATTCTTCGAAGAACCGTTGAATATCATTCGGCAAAGTAAGTTGATGTCCTTTGGCTTGTAATACAGGATTGTAGATCTCCTCTAGACATAAGAGAAGACTCTCTGTCTCCTTTCGCGGTTTCACTGGGTTGAAATTCCTTCGCAATCTCAAATTGATCCTCTGAGACTTCGGAGGACATCTTCTTCCTTCATGTCAGCGATTGAGACATTTTGGCCACTCCGTCGAAAAGTGCCGATGTGTATAGTTGGTACCGATGTAGTCGAGCGTCTCTAATTCACTCATGCATACTGTAACCGGTCGGATATCTTGGAGGTCGACGGTTGGTGCCATTGACGAACTTTGTAAAGCTGCAACATCTGTAATTCCACCACCAATGTCAACCACGATGCATCTTTTGCCGGCAGCTCTCCACCTCCAACTAGACTGGACTTCAAGGCCTTCACTTGAAATTTTTCATGGTGCAGGACACAGTATATTACAGCAGACTTGGCTTCCGACAGAATAGTCGTTAATTTGTCCAGAGAAGCATCATCAAACGCTGTCGTTGCTGATCCCCCAGTCCTTCTCCTTATGGCAACCACCCTACCGACCTGCTCAATGGTAAATCCCGGATCTTCTCCCAAAAGAATTTTGTGGCTTGTAGACACGATCTTAGAAGTTGAACCAGGAGATCGTCAGCCGAGCGAATTTCTTGTAGTGTTTCCTCATTCGCCAGCACGGTGACTAACTTTACCTTTCTAGAAGAAGAAAATGTTTCCGCCAGACTTTCGTTACAGTAAAGGGCTGTTGTATAGCGAGACCTCTGGCCCACAGTTCTCATAACGGGTCAGTTTCAGAAATTAAGCATTGATTCAGAAGATTGAATTCATGGAACGACGATAGAGTACTATTCTGCATGCTGGAATTAACTGCACGTTCGAACATAAGACTGCACTGTTTCTCCCCTAAGGTTTGTAACTCCTCGCTCTCGACGGCTGTAGCGACAGCTGCGCTTCTCCCTGACAGCTTTGATTTTCCATGGTTACCTCTTTCGACTGACCATCAAGAACTAAGTTTGCCTTTACGTTGACGACTACCCAACATGGCGAAAGGTTGAAACTGATGTCCCTAGACCCCTTACCTGGCACCAAACATGACACGTTCAAGCAGTATGATATGCTTCTTAATCATTCAGACCTAGTGTTGGTCTCACGACAAATGATTGCGTGATTTGCCATTAGAAAACCATGAAAAGCTGGAAGCGCTAGCTTGCGGCTAATTACATGGTCGTGGTAACCATGGAATACTGCATTCCTAACCAAAGACCAGTTCCTTGAGAGATCAGATATTTGTTTGATAAACAAAATTTTCAATCGGCATTCCTTGGTTTTGTTGCATCTAACTTTTATTTACCTAGTTCATCGCTCGTAGCAGGGAATGAACCACTCTTGCACGAATGAACAGAAACACTGGTTCTTCCTCCCCAAAGTTGGATCTTTACATATCCTAATTCAGGAAGATGGTCCAAGTCAAATTAGCTGGCCCCCAAAAGCAGTGTTGACACTTCTGGACTTGGTGAACCAACATAAAGGTGAAAGTGGAAGGCTTCATCAAGGCGACTTAACACTCCTCGATGAACGGGCACATAGGCTCCGCCAAAATGTACCTATAGATTGTAAAGGTTCCAGATTCCGGTGAATTACTAAACGACACACAAGTTTAGAGCAAGTTAGGGGCGATATGGAATACATACAAGGGCTCGGGCAATGAAGAACTCAGTCATCACTTCCTTATACCTTCAACGATCTCAAGCTCTGGACAAGGTAAAGATCAAGATATTTATGACTAACTTGGATCGGTAAGAGACATAAGTCGCATGCAAACAAAGGCAATAAACCCGAGCAAGAGCAAGTGAGGCATCAGCAAGATTACAAGATAGGCAAGGTAAAGGTGGTGGTCATGGGTCCGAGCGGGAAGGTGAGCGGAAGAGTCAGGATGGGAAGGAGAGGTAAGGAGATAACAATGGTAATGATAAACCTCATGACAACGAGAGGGAGGTCTGGCTTGAGGCGAAGGGCAGCAGAAGAGTGGCTGGCAGTCAGACTGCGCGGGGAATGATGTATCAGAAGGTTTCGGCGATGCCAACCCAAGCAAACGCCGGAAGATCCTTGAAGAAAAGGTCAAAAGAGCATAGGATGGGCCAAAATACAGGGGCAGGCGTGTAGTCCCCGGCAGGTAGGTACAGGTCCACCACATGGTTGGGTTGGGAAGCATTCTACTTTGTCCCGGATTCTACTCTTCGCCAACAGGAATCTTCCTCTTCAGCACTCAATCACTGCTAGCCTACATATACAGATTATCACAAGTGGAAGGTGCTTTCACAACTGAGGAGCGCAGTGCGATCTATCCGCAAAGACTATGAAATACCTGAATCACAGCCTGTTGACTTGAATGACGATTTGCAGTATCACGAGCCAAGTAAAGGGTTCTTAGCACATGCCTTTATGTGCACTTAGGATGAGATCCACTAATAGTGGTCGAAAGTACTGCAGCATGACACAATCCGCTAGCACTGGCCGATCCAGGAGGTGCTCGGCGTTGCATCAGCGTGTTGGCGCCTCCAACCGATGATAGAGAAGAACAATCACTTCAGAGACACGAAGCGCGATAATTGTTGACGGGCACTTCGAGAGCTGTAAATTCTTCCATTTATCCAATGTTGTAGACTAATTCTTGCAGTATACGGTCTCGACACAACGATGTGTCTTACCTCCATACCCGATCCCAAACTGAGGAAGAAGGCCTAGTCCGAGGTAGAGATATGAGTAGATGAGCAGTAATATCTGCCGCTGTTGGTTCCCGACATCATGTTGCTATGAAATTCGAGAAAGATTCCAGGCAAGTATCGGTCCTTCCAATACGAGATCACACAAGCGCGGAAGGTCGTGCATCTCGCTAGGGGTGATCTCTCAGCCTCCTCCCACCGCACCACGCCAAGGTATAAGGGCTACTTTTGTTCGCCGTTCAAGGTGGGCCTGAAATGGCGGTATGAAACATATCTGACCAACTTGATAGAGTATGACTGAATCTCAAGCTTCACCGAGCCATACTTCAACTCAAAGTATCTCAGGTATAGGACGAAGAAAGGGAATGATGAATTTCCGCACAATTATGTACTGCTGGGGCAGTGGCCGGTGATTGTAGAGAGAACCCCGGAGAAATTGTAGCCTTAGTCCGGTCCACGGCTAAGATTTGCCGCCGGTGTCTGAAACTACTAAAGACAACCCCCTCCACCTTCGCCATAGGAGAAATAGTACCAGATAATCGGCATTATTCCCATCTGACATCCGCGGAGCTAATTGGATTCTTGATGGCCGGCTTGGCTAGTTTTTTTCTGTTTTGAATGGTCAATCAAGATGGACTTTGAGAGAAAGAGGAAGGGATGGGATGGAGAAGTCTGTTGGTTTGATGAATTCAGGTCAGAGATAGTACCTGTCGATGGTTCATAGGCTTTCCTAGGTAAGAATAAAGCACTGTTAGAGATATTCGAGTCACGATCAAGATCTTCCAAGACTTGAACGCCCTTATACCACGACTGATGTCTCGGCAAGCCAATCAACCCCACCCCTTGCAAATTGCGAAATGACCGCTAATAGCCCATTCGAAAGACTCCGGATTCGGATCGCAGCTGTATGGTGCCCTGAATGTGGCATTTGTCATTCGACTATTGTAGAGCTAACCTTGTGCATTTGCCTTCCTCTCAGCCATGAAGGTCCTGACGCCCTCAATCCGGTTGACGAAAAACATTCCCTTCTTGTCATCCTTCCACACTAACACGCCTATTTCGTCGGCGTAGCGACATGGGGCTTCGTACTCTGCGTGATTCGTAAAGTTCTTCAGCAGAAACCCATAAGTCGTTGTCATCCTATCTCGTTCAAGCTGCCAGAGATGGATCTGGTCTAGGATGGTAGGTGGAAGAACCGGTATAACACGACTTTGATCAGTGCTGCGAGCCTGCAATTGTGCTTGTTCTGCTTGAGCCCTCCGTCGCATCTGAGGATGGGCGTGTGATGTGAGATATGAGATGATTTGTTCGGCTGTGATGCCTGCTTGAACAGCACGCTGAACGGACGCCTTGCTCATCTTGCCTGTGACAAGGTTTGGATGCCGGGAACGTAGGTTGACGAATAGCTGGAGAAGTGCTATCTGAAGAGGCGATGATGTATATGCGTAGACTCTATAGTTCGTCTCTACGATGATGAAACCTCTTGTTGCGTTGCCACCAGAAGATGATAACGATGACCCTACCGCTGAGTTTGCGGCTGAAAGTGTTGGATTTGAATCTGATGTCAGCGTGGCAGCCAGTCGCGTTGGATAGAAATAGTCCACCGGAGTGCCATCGGCACCAAGTGGTTGATAAACAATTCCAAGTGATATGAGATCGGAAAGACACCGTTGTTGAGTCTCGTCTAGTGTGGTAGTTGAATAGGCGAGACCCAATTCGAGTGAAGAAATGAGAAATAAGAAAGACAGTACGTCAACTTTGTCCATCTCGAATACCTCGGCATTATCGACATAAAGGAAAAGAAGAGCCCAGATTTGCGTATTAATATCTTGGAGGACAAACGCGAAGCCTTCCTTGGTGATGCTAGCAACCTGGCCACGACTGTATGTTCCGTTGGTCTCGATGAGATGGCCAGCCCGTAACAATTCGATGACCCCCGGCGATGGATCGATGGCCACTTGTTCAGATTCAACGGCAGTGGAAGATGAGCCAACCATGTAGCCCAAGATGCCTTCCCACCGTTGTCGAGAGTATTCGTCTAGATCGGCAACGGTGACTTTCTTTTTCTCCGAGAGCCGGGCAGGTTGTCCGAATGATCTGAGTTCTCCAGCTCCAGTCAAAGCTGTCCGCAATGATCTTGCGAATTCAGGAGTCAACAAATAAGCTCTTGAAGAGCTGTAGGTGACTTCTTTGAGAATGTGATAACGGCGCAGTAATTCGACCGCGTACTCACGTTCCCCTCGACTGGTCTCTTTTACAAGAAGCTCCAAGTCCTTGACTAGCATTGGCTTCGGCATGTACAATAGCATCATGACGAAAGACTTCGCGAGACTAGACAGTCGCTTTCGAAAGATGGCCAGCGCGGAAGAAGGGCTTTTATACAATCGGTAGAATTGAACTCCAGGGAGAGTCTCCAGGTACTCCCAGGAGTGAAGGCTTATATTTGCCATTTGTGACTGCTGCTGGAAGACTTGGAAGGTTTTCCAACATGCACTTATCTTTCAATAATCGGGGTGCAAAGGAGCGAAGGTATTGGCACCAGGCACCAGGCACCAGCGTCAACTGAAGTGCAAGTTCAATTGTACATTCCAGCTCAAACAAAAACTGAAAGAGACACGTGACGCGCCAAGAGCAACCGGCTCATCCCCCTTCGGGGCAAGTGTGATGCCGCCCTGTGCTCACCCTGGCCCCTTGCTCACACAAATGGGGGCTAATTATATGACCTCTCCCAAAGTAGCGTCGTTACATCTTGACTTTAGGGCTGGCGTCTTGGCGAATGTCCTCTTATCGATCTATACTGGCAACTTAAGCGAGTCAATGCGGATGACGATTGAGATCTCTGGCTCTTGCCACTCTGTGGTCTCTGTTCTATTGTATATAGAAATCTACCAAGCAATAATCGCCAGGGACCCCTTTTCCATGCTTTCTAAGCTTTGCAAATACTGAGGTAGTGGTGTTTTCATCGATCGGTAAAGGAGACATTTTAGCCAATGCTATAGAGAGTTAGTATCTAATGAGTGTTAGCGCATCACGTGCATATCGAGTTAGTACACGCTAGCTCAGTCGTGGCGCTAATGGTAGTCTTGCCGAACATACATATTTTAGCTCCGATAATCCTGAGATTCCTTATCACTATTATATCTCCGCTCCTACCTTCTTCTATTCACCCTTTATTAAAGGTGATACTTCTATGTACCCCAGCTAGAGAACAACATAAACCTAGTGCAGCTCTGACTAATCTTCGGTTTCTGTATATGAATTCCTCTCCGGTTGATAAGCGTGCTACCTCTTTTATTTTCATTAAGGCCTGTCCTCTACCCTCTGCTGTGGCTCTACTGGCTTTCCTTAGTGTTATGGCGAGGGTTTCTATGGCTATCTCAATTACACCGCTATTGTGCTCGTGCCGACGGATAGACTAATCCAGTATTTAACTCTTTATATAGTTCTAGAGCCGTGTGGCTCTGATATTGTATTATATTACTTAGTTACATAAAGCGTCTATGGTATAGTGAATTAGATTTGGCCGAGAAAGCGTTAGTTCTAACGAATGAAAGTATATTTTCTATTTTTATCTACTCTAAGCCTATAGTGTTAGGAATGCCCTGGGCAGCTTCCTAGTAAGCATATAACTAATAGGTCCGAGAATACCTCGTACTTCGTGCGAGATTCTAGTTCTTTTGAGCGATCCTCAAGGGCTTACGGACCTATTGCCTGACATATAGTAAGTCTAGCACTAGTATAGTGTAGATAAAGTATAAGGGACTACTTCCCTAGGACCGTTGCATAGGTTAAGCAAATCACCTAGCTAATTATTAATGTAATTAAAGAATAGAAATCCTTCTCTAAGGTATCTATATTTAAATAAGCTAGTAGGGTAGTTCGATAATCATACGTTCTCCCAAGTCTCTCATCACAAGGTCACTAGCATTCGTTATCGAGTTTCCCGAATCTCGCAACTGCTACTCCCCTACATAGTACTAACGCAAATTGGACGAAAAGCTCAGATTTTAGGTCGAGGTAGCAGGAAAGGTTGACCCTTTCGATGTCTGAAATGGATCCGAGGGAGAGGGTTTGTGAGACCGGCGATGTAGAAAAGGCTTTAAAGATACTGGATTCGGAAAGATTAAAGCTCAGGAAGACATACTCAGTATGTAATAGACAACTACCGATTAATTAGTTCATGGACACGAGTCAAGAAACTAAACCTGTACCAGTGATCAGCACAGCCACAAGGAAAACCGAGCTGTTATTTATTGGTGCGCAGCTTCAGCTCTCTCGTCTGATCTACCGGAGGTCTATTTTCGCTCTATTTCATCAGGGGAAATAGTTGACCGTATTTACAGTACGAAAGCCGTCTCCTAATCCGCTAGCTACAGTCCCTTACAGAACTTCTACCACTCCTCATACCGCACCTTGTTGACCAATGTACCAATTCTTTCGATCCAGACTCTGATGTCATCTCCATGCTCGAGTACTACTTTAGGATTGCGACAGAAGCCGATACCCGCGGGTGTACCTGTGAGAAAGACTGTACCAGCCTCGATGGTCGTGCCCTGCGAGAGATAGCTAATTTGCTTGGCGATATTGAATATCATATCTCTTGTAATATTTGTCAGTACCAAACTCGAAGATCGATCAAGCTCTAGGTTAAAGCTCGGCGGCGACATACTTGGTGTTCCCATCCTGAACAGTACGGCCATTGTAAATGGCCTTGATGCCCAGATTTTGAGGATCAGGAATGGCGTCCTTAGTAACTAATACCGGGCCGAGAGGACAGCTGCCGTCCAGACCTTTAGAGAACGACCATTGCGTCGTCACCGATTGGAACGTCCGTGCGGAGACATCGTTACTGCATGTATAACCAAGAACATAATCTAGCGCCTTAGTTTCTGGAATATTCTTGCCCGTCTTGCCAATGACTACGCACAACTCGGCCTCGTAGTCACTAGTTCCGTCCTGTGCCGCTTTAGGTATTGGGATGACGGCCGGAAAGGGGTCCGCGAGGGCCAGACGAGGCTTGCTAAAGAGAATGGGTGCCTTTGGAAGAGCCATCTTTCCTTCCTATAACCATCTAGTAATTAGCTACACTTTTTTTAGAAGTAAAGCTATAGGAGCAGAGAGTGCTAACAATTGCGTGGTCAACATAGTTTAGACCTAAACATCGAATATAATTACAGTCTTCCATGGAAACGGGGGAGAGTAATTGCTGGACAGTGTAGATGTACTGAGTGATTTCGGGGCAAAATATCGAGCCGTTGATCAGGTATGCTTTGATCTGCTTCCCCTTCACACTGTCGACACCAACATCACAGTTGGTGTCGACCAATTGACCTAGGTGGATGCGACCATCCTCCTTCGCAACGAAGCGGATGATATGGGTAGCTTTCGACATGGTCACCAAGATAGCCACCACTTTGCAAGAAGGGCAGACAAGAGGTTAGAACAAGTCGAGAGCGACAGAAAGGAGAATAGGGAGCAGCACTGCACAGGCTTAACCAAATCCCTCACAGGGGCCTCGCCTAAAGCCTAGCGGCATATGACGGAGCTAAGTTCGGAGTTCGTTTACCTTTGAGACGCGGGAAACATAAACATAGAGTAAGGATGACGATCAGTTGTTGTTCGTTAGTGGTGACCCATTTGAGCAGCTGTGGATAGCTCCAAGGAGGGCTGTTATGAAGGCATAACCCCAACAGGATAGTCGAGGAGGAAGAGGCGTTATCCCGACACCGGACTTGGTGGAAAACCGGTATTTAAAGAAAGTGCCGACGGCGCTCCAGCAGCGCTGCAAGAACTACGCAAAGGCAGAGACTCGATGGTAGAGAAAGGAGTGACAAGACGGTAGAGATCGATGTGAGTAGCAGCTGTCTGAAATCTCTAGCAGGGGGTTCTTTGGTACCAATGGACGAACATTGACGGTGGAAATTGGCAATCCGACATCACGAAATTCTTACTTTAGTGAGCCAGCGCGGCCTTCCTGGTCCCAGATTAGGCTCGAACGAAATCACATCATCTAGCCCCAGCTCCATTCTACTGATAACCCTGAACAAGCTATGGGTACATGCTCTGGCTTCGTACAATTCTTCATGGTATTTCTGCTCTACTTCAATCAACACTTTGCCGCGAGCGGCCAAAGCCTCGTTAATTCTGTAGACACGGCTGGACGTCGATGACTGGGCAGCAAATGCATTTGTCGGGGCATGCCAGAGTCACGTTGCTCATCTTCCAACCATGCTTTTTGGCAATCTCCTGTTTAGTTCAACGATCTCCTTGTCCACCTAGCTGTAAACCTTCCAATTGCAACACTTGGCCGATCGAGCAGTTGAGCCGGACTTAGAAGGCCGTGCGACAATGCCTCGACCCAAGAGAGCCTCTTGTGAAACCAGTCATCGACTTCCAAGCCGGTGCATTTCATGAGAGGAGGTCTGTGCCACCATTCCCAAAGTATGATGTGCTCTCCAAGGTCGTCCCTCTAGTGATCACTTGGTACTCTAGTTCGTTTCTTGCCGATATTCCTTCGTAGAATGGCTCCTTCTTTCATCCTTTTTGCTCGTTCTATGGTCACAAGCCGATATGCTGACGGAAACAACTGTTAAAAGGCCTTCAAGACTTTGGATATCACTGCGCTCTAATTGACTGCCTAATCTATGAAACGACAGCGGGCATTCCCTGGACGACATCGGGGGGCACCACCGTCTCCCTTTCGACTTCGTTTGCGAGGAGCCCCAACGGAAGGTTCGGCCCCCATACATAAAGTGACTCGAGCGCTGCGGGTTCTCGACTAGCTGGAGTATCTTCATTCACCAGGTCGCCGTCACAGTAGTGCTCTACTATATTCCTGGAGCTATCGAACCTGCAACAGCGATGTCAATGAATGCTAGCGAAGGCCAGCTAGGGCATGACCAACCAATAGTCGAAGATTTGGCTTCCGAGGAGGTGCCGCCCGATCCCCCAACAATTGGTCCATTGTTTGCTCCGGAGCCAGTCGTGCCCTAGAGTCTGTGTGTCGAAGTCGTTGACCTCATAACTCGAATGGTGGACGTGAGCCGATACGGCACCCGGTTCGCTCGACAGGAAGAAGCTCTATTCGATTGTCAGTACGGGGTTATTCATCACGATTTGTCACATCTACGTGGTGATCAGTGTACTCGGGACCTAGGTCTATGTGAAAGAAGCAGCTCTCGTCCTTGCCAGTGACCTTGTCAAAGATCGTATCACTGAGCTTCAGGTTCAGGACACTCATATACCAGGAGTATGTGCTCTCAAACTTGCTCGCAGGGACACCGTAACCATAATGACCAAGTTTATGAATGGGACTCGGCGCTTTCTTGAATCGTCGAAAAGAGCCTTTCCTTGGCTTCTCATCCACCGTGTTCAGTGCCGATTCGTTAACCTGAAGGGTAGTGGCCGGCCCACATCTCTCCTGGAGCTTCTGGCCGTAGACGAAGCCGCAGTCGAAGCCGTTAGGGTCCTTTATCACCACAACTTTACCGCCACCAGGAGCATCGCTATCTTCGATAGGCATCGCGCCCGTGTATGAAGCTGCTTTTTTCAATTCTTCCATGCTATCCACAACCCAGTACCCGCCACCAAAATGTTTCTCCCCGTCGGGAGATCTTTCTAGCACATAGAGAAACGGCTGTTCCCCGTAGCCGCCAAGGTAGATTCGGGCACCCTTGCGTTCCACCTCCACAAACCCAAAATCGATAAGAAATGCAAGAGCTTTGTCAATGTCCACATGCTGGTAGACGACGTGTGCAAGTCGAGTTGCTCGGACCTGAACCCCTGCCATGTTGTCTCAATGTCGACTTTTGTGGCTCAGGACTGTCATACCAGCTAATACCAGTGCATACCAGCGCAGACAAGCTTATAAAGCGCCTTCTATTATGAGATTTGCACCACCAAGGCATTTTCCATCTAACATCAGTCACCATCGGAGCGATTCTCTTGAATTTTGCCCTTCGTTCCGCTAACCCCGACATCTCAAATTGCGCTTTCGGCATTTCGGCATTATATAGAAGGCCGTATTTGTCGGGGAGATAGAGGCCAATGAGTGCACGAGAATGGAAGGACCCCGCATCACCGCGTTCTTGGAGCCTTGTGGAATGCCGGGGTTGGCGCTTGAGGGCGATCCGACTTTGTAATGTCCTGTGTTCTCAAATCTGGGGAGACCAGGAGTATCACAAGGGATGCCAACTCAAAAGGCGGGGAATCTCGCTAACTCCGAGGTCGCGTAAATACGATATTTTTGAGAGAGAGAAAGCTCCAGGTCCAGGTAAGGGCGCTCGTCTGGATGAGCGACCAATTCAAGCGTGTGAAGAAACAACCCGATATGATGGAATATAAGGAAACGCTACTGTCATCAACATTCTCAATCAAGTGGGAAATTTCATTCCAGCTCTTGTGAACGGGCACGATGGCTGTTGAGCACATTGACACGGAGGTTTCTAAGATAGAGAGAGCTACTCGAATGGACATGGAGAGGAAAGAGTCTGACAAGTATGAGCTTGAGAATGCAGAAATTGATTCCAATAGCTTCCGCAACCTGAGCTTCGATGGAGAAGTCGAGCCTGGGCTCCATGCGCGCACATACATTGCCTTGGCCGCCATGGTCTTGTTGAACTACGTCCAAATTCTGGCCCTTCAGGGCCCTCCTGTCGTGGTATGTGAATCTGATGAAATAGCGTTGACATTCTGACCCCGTCTATCCGGGATACATTACTGCTGACTATTGCTGACTATTTCAGCTCACGTTCATCGGAACTGACCTTGGCAACACAGCAGTCCAGACATGGGTCCCGAATGCCTTGGTGCTCGTTCAGGCAGTATTGGGACCCATCATATCCAGTGCCTCAGATATATTTCAGGTGCGCAAGCCGCTGATGGTTGGCTCTTGCGTCCTTGCCTTTATTGGTGCAGCCATCGCACCGGGTTCCAGCAACATCTACCGGCTGATCGGTGCCAACATCTTGATCGGGTTCGGTTTTGCGACTGTCCCTTTGGCATATAGCGTTCCGAGCGAGATTCTGCCTCGACGGTGGCGTCCAAGTATGTGTCTGAGCCATTTATCTTCATCGCATATTTGCTGGACCTCTAAGCTGACAGTCTTCACCTCCAGTCGCCCAAGCGATGACCAATGCTGCGGCTCTCCTGGCCTGTGTGTCTGGGCCTCTCGTCATAGGTACACTGACACAACGCAATGCGCATACAGGATGGCGCATCTACTATGTCCGTTCTAGGTGTCTCTTTTCCTATTACACGAACAAAGTCACTGATCAAGGTACTGCAGTGGATCCAAACTGGAATTTGGGGTCTTACAGCGCTCGGGCTTGTGAGTCTTTTCTTGAACTGTTAACGACCAGACCCTCTTAAAGAGCGATTCAATGTCATGCATGCCCCGACAAGACGTTTCGATGCTGACTGAGTCTCGCAGTTTGTGGGCTATCATCCTCCCAAGAGACATGCCGCGTTGGACAACATCTCCAACAGGCGGAAGTTAGGCCATCTTGACCTCATTGGATGCGGCCTTCTTGCTCTTGGTCTCACACTTTTTCTCACCGGCACCAGCCTTGGGGGTAGCATATATTCGTGGACTAATGCTCGCGTCCTGGCGACCTTGATACCAGGAGTTCTCGGTCTTGTGGCTTTCGGGCTTTATGAATGGAAAGGAACACAGACCGGTATTTTGCATCATGATCTCTTCCGCGGTGGTCGACATAGGGGGGGCACATTCGCTCTCTGTGTTGCCTTGATCTTCATTGAGGGCATCATGACCTTTGCCTTCTCCATCTTCTATCCTGTCATGTGAGGACTAGACGTATTCATTCGGCAAGAACATTATACTGACAAATTTCTCTCTTCTAGGTCTGGCTTGTTCACGACAGATGCATTCGAGGTCGTTACGCGCTCACAGCCATATTTTGTTGCTGCACTCATCTCCACTGTGGTCTGGGGATATTTCAGCTCTCGCTTGCGAACTATCCGTTCGCCTATGGTTGTCGGCTTCATTATTATGACCGGAGGTCTGGTGGGATGGACTACAATTCAACCTGGCGACTCTATCAGTGCGATGGCGTTCGCTGGCCTCTCTGGCATCGGGTTTGGTGGCCCGCTCATCCTGGCCGTGACAGGTGCCCAGCTGGCGACACCTCACAGGCTCATCGCCACGGCTACAGCCTGCACGACCTCTTCACGGGCGGTGGCTGCCGGAATCTTTACCGCGATTTTCGCCGCAACCTTCAATAGTCGGATGAGCTCTAACTTGCCAAAGTACATTGCACGCACTGCCGAAGCTGCTGGCTTGCCTACCGACTCCATTCCGGAGTTCACGCAGGCGTTGATTTCGAACAATTCCACCGCGTTAAGGGGGATTCCGGGCGTTGGACCTGAAGTTGTTGCCCTGGCTACACAGGCTATCAAACAAGCAACCGCCGATTCTGTTCGAATTGTCTTCATCATCGCGGTCCCTTTTGGAGTATTGGGTACAATAGTATCCTTGTTCTTGGGCGACTTGAAGAAGACAATGAACTATCGAGTTGACGCCCCGGTTGAAGAATTGCATGCCAAGCATGCATACCCAAATGAAACTGCAGAGCGTGTGTGAATTGACAAAACCAGGATGAAAGAGACGATAGGAGATGTCACAACGTGGGTAATCTTTGAACCGAAGAATTCACGCTCGCCTGAGTTTAATTGAACTCTTCGTGCTTTTGCCAAATTTCTTAGATCAGAGCTCATGACCACCCGAGCGAACAAAGGTGTGACGACTTTTGTTGCCTTCTTAGGGGAGTGCCTCTATGGTACAGGTCCTCTGCAAAAGCCTCCGTCCAGCCACCTTCAGCAATCCTCCTTTGGAATAGACATCTGTAGCTTACAAGCAATTCTACAATGCGAGCATAGGAGTAAATTGTATGTAATTGGTATCATTGTGTATCCCTTCTGCTGTAGATTCCTGTAATATTGATCTCTCTCAATATCTTGCGCAGTGGTCCTTTGCTTCAATAACTACGTTGACCTTGTTATCCAAACTCTTTATTAGCGCCTTATGCCTACTAGTAGGAACAAATATGGACTCAATTACATTGAACTGGTCCTCCTAAGTTTAGTCTCTATATTTATTAGCTAAATTCTAATCGTTTGTAAAACAAGTTAGCTACTGGTCGAGAGCGTTTCTTCGGTAGCAATTTTCTATGTAGTCTCGTTTAATAGTCGATGAATAGTATTAGTCGAATAACCAATATCGCGTCTTTTCTAAAGTTTCGCGTCTAAAATCTTCGGTGAAGCTTTAACAATACGTAGTATATATGTTGCAGCACGGTTTTTAAGAGTCTTAGGACTTATATTTCGCTCGTTGGTGCGTAGTCTAGTAGTACATACTACGTAGCAATGCTTAGTGTGTGCACTGCACCGAAGTTGGAGGTATTTAAGTAAGATTTAAATTTCGCTTTATTTTTGATCGGCTAAAAGATCGGCTAATGTTGTGCCACGCTCATGCTCAGAGTGCTTACGCCTTTCAGTCATTATAGAGATTCAATTGATCATACATATAAATTTAGTATGTATCTACACAATTAAGAGTTGAGTTGATGTATCTAGGGTGGTCCAGTGCAAGGCTTGAACGGAGATTTTTGCGGAGGTACTGTACCTGAGAGTGTTAGCAGGGGTTCTACTTTCGACTCCAACCACAAAAGAGTACCGAGGGTCGATCAATTCTATAATCTTCTGTATTCCGACAAGTCGACTCATCTGATGCAGTACTTATTGTCTATCTGCCATGCTTTTAGGCTATTCAATCATCAGGGCCTACAATCTGTCCACGACACTCGCCGAGGCCAAAGACTCGACGTCCACTGCCGTCTTCACACCAAGCGGACAAAGTCACATAGTCTTTGTCCGCCAGGTAGCCCAATTCGACGCCATCCTCCAGTTTTACAGTTCGCGTACCCATCTCCGTCGCTTCCAGCAAGCTTCCAAGCTCGACTCTGTTTCCTGCCATATTTTTGCCGCCTCCAGACACGGTGCCTGTAGCAATGAGGTCTCCCGACCTGAATCCGCAACCAGCGGACGCGTGCTGTGTGATCTGCTGGAATGGCGTCCAATATAGGTATGAGAGGTTGCTTAGACCCAGCTGGTATTTTCCCCCCTCTCTTTCGAGATGAACCGCCAGTTTGATATCGAAAGTGCCCTTTTCCAGGTCTGCGTAGCGCAGGTACTCGAACGGATCTGGGCGTGACCTTGGCTTGCAACGGAACGGACTGAGTGCATCCAGTGTCGTGACCCAAGAGGATATCGTGGTGCCAAAAGACTTGGAATTGAACGCCCCCGTCGGGCGCATCTCATGAGCTTGTATATCTCGGCTCGACCAGTCGTTCAACAGGACAAAGCCAAAGATGTAGTCCGCCGCATTATTGATGTCTATTGTCTGCCCATGTGGAACTGTTTTGGACACGAGGTAAGCCATCTCCAGCTCAAAGTCAATCATCTTTGAGACACCGTACTCGGCCCGCCTTGCTCCATCTGTTGGTTGTTGGCTGTAGAACACACCTCGAGGGCGTCGAAAGACAGATGGTGAAGGCACGACGCTTGAAGCTCTGCCATTGTAGGCAAGTGGAATGTCGTAGAAGTTTAGTGGCATTTCGCCCCCGATCATGTTGACACACTGATAGATAGTAAGCTTGGCTGAATGAAGGGGTTTTGCTCAGGCTGAAGACTACATTTTGGCAATGCTCAAGAGAGCACAGAAAGTCGGTAAACTCATGAATGTGCATTGGCAGGTGCATCTGGACTGTGGACAATTCGTGCACACAAGCAGGAGGAATAGATTCATCCTTGCATGCCGTGATGATACATTCCCGGGTTGCCGTTCTCACCGATGCGGGCAACTCGGCAAAAGCGTTCAAGGACGTCTGTGGCAAAGTGTGAGCCAAATGTCAGAAGCACCAGCCTAAGCGTGTCGATTGGCACACTAGGCGTTATGGAAATACCTGTGAAAGAGCCCGCGTCACGCTACTATCCGCGAAGAACCCACGGTGACACAAGCCATATAGATCTATGGCATGGTCACCGACCGCCGTGGCACACCTTGGGGTTGCGTCTTCCCCAGTCGATATTACTCCAAAGGGGATGTTATGTAAGGTGAAAGGCGAGGTATCTGATATCGATGGTGTGAAGCCCATCCTCGAGCACTGCTTAGTCGCACCTTATCGATAACTCAGCAATATATGTAACTCTGATCGAGCGGTGACCACGGCTTAAAAGATTTCAACAGCGCGTGAGTATGTGCGAGCATGGTAGACATTCTTTGTGGTCCACAGAGCATAGCAGCCGGCCTACAGCCCACCCTCCTTCAACGGGATTTCAGAGATGATGCAGTATGCCGTGCTCCGAGTAGATAACTCCACGCGCGCTATCACAGCGGGCGACAGAAGAGTGTTGTCTCTCTGGCAAGTCCCGGCAGTGACTGATTCAATCAGCCCTTGTACTAATTCAGGGCATCGCCATCTCCGCATAAATACATATTCAGAAGCTTTTCGATGTGTCCATAGCTGCTCCCGGGCTTAGATCTTGTTGTACTAGAGCGGAAGCGCACGGCTGTGTCCTCGTCGATGCACCATTATATCCGGGACGTGCGCGGGATTATCAGACGGACCGACAGATTCCACATTTCCCCGAAGGAAACCCTGTCTTTCTCAGGCCACAGGCGCCATACTCGTACGGAGTACGGCATCACTGAGCATTTGACCAAATTTCTCCTCACCGCGATGTTTGAAATTCCGAGTGCCCGCTCCGAGTGAATTCCAACTCGCCGAATAGCTTGCTGAGACACCGACAAACTATTCCCCTTGCGCCCCTTCCAGGAAAAATACCAGTAGATCCAGATTAGGTAGATGGTAGAGCGAATCCATAAGATGCAGGAGCACAATCAGACGCCTTGACCTGTGCCCGTGTCCATCAAAAATTTGTGATTCACGTCTCATGGGTTGGTTCGATCGGGCTGAGCCTGGCCATGTGATTTAGAAAGGTAGGCGCTCCACTTCTACAAAAAGATTGTCGCTTCGTGATGCCCATTGCGGCAACAAGTGGGGATGCGTGGCGCCGTAGATGTTACAGCTAAGTAGATTACCAAGGCCAGGCCCCATATACATAGGGGGCTCTGTGCCGGGCCCCAGCATGCCGAGGTTGTGCATGCCCCGCCCTAATAGTTCTTGAGATCTGGGGCGGCTGTGAGCCTGTGACCTCTCCCCACAATTCTCTTTTGCGATTGATGGATCATCGATACATTCCCTCAGACACTTTGACTTGACGTGTTTCTACTGTGTCACAATTCACCTAGTATGGCAACGACGGACCAGGCCAACTCGCAGGCACCAGGGAATCGAGCTTGTGACGCTTGCAGCCGCAGGAAATCACGATGCGATAAAGCGCGTCCAACTTGCAGCCTTTGCCTGAAAATCGATAGGGTGTGCCAGTATCCCTTGAGGAGGAAATCACGGGTTTCCAGGAAACAGCAAGGGGACCAACAGCTTGATAGGACTCATTCTGTCCCACGTCTGTCCGTTCGAACCCTCGAGGCCGCGGCCGTGACGGCTAGTGGTCAGGACAACGACATAGGACAAGATTTGCCCGCCGGCCACGCTTCTATCGACTGCTTCAATACTGGAGACATCAACTCCTGGCGGAGCGAATGCGCATCGGACCGCGGCCATCCCATGTCACCACCAGACAGATTCCCTCTCAGTTCGGCCAAGTGGCAATATGACAACCAGATTCGCAGTAGCACTCCTCCCACACTGGGCAGCGAGGGTGTTGGATCAGCAATGTCATATGTGCCGGACGATCCAGCCTCCATGGATGACGGAGTCAGCAGTAATTTGGCCGTTGAGTTAGTTAATCTCTTTTTTGAAAAGATTCAACCTTGGCTCCCACTGCTTCACCGACCGCGATTTCAGAAGAAGTACAGTGCAAAGCTATTGGCCAAGGGCAACGTCATGAAGGGGTTGACCAGCGGCGAATCTCTACTCATGTACGGCATGTTCGCCCTCTCGGCGAGATTCTCCGATCATAGCAGGTTCGAAGGGATTCCCGACAGCGATAAGGGAAACGTGTTCGCCGAAAGAGCCACGGATATTTACATTCAAAGTCACCTGGTACAACAGCCCTTACTGCTTCAACTACAAGGCTATCTCGTACTTGCATATAACCAGCACGCCTCAGGTCCCACGACTTTGGGTCGGGTCCTCGTAGGACAGTGTTTGCAAGTCGCTTACGCCCTCGGCTTACATGATATTGACCATCCGGTCCGAGCAAGGCACCGGCCAGCCGTTGATCACGTCGACCGGGAAGAGATGAGACGGGCTTGGTGGCTCCTCTGGGAGCTTGACACCTTTGCGTCTTGTGCATCGGGCAAACCATTCTTGATTGATCGCCGGAGGATGTCCGTCATGCTACCCATCTCAGACGAGGCTTGGTTTGCCGAGAGGGAGGTTCATTCGGCAGAGCTGATCTTGGGCCCCGGCCAGTCGTGGAAGTGTCTCGAAAACAGTCCCAACCAGGACGAAAGAGCTTGGTGCCTGGCCACTGTTCACCTTATGGCCTCGAACCTCGACCGGTTGCAGCAGCCCAAAGCGCTGGCTATGGACGAAAAACTGGCCATGCAGAATGAGATTGCCTGCTTCAAGCTTGCCCTGCCCCTGTCGGCGAATCTCGACTCGGAAGCCCTGAAGTTGACGCCAACCACCATTTCCAGACATAACTGGGTTATTGCTATACATCTGATATTGATGACAACGTCATTCATGGTAGATGGCGTGGCTGCGTTCGAGCATGGCCAGCGGGGTGACCCCAAGACTGCTATGGCAGTGGCTGTCCGCAAACGCGCCATCACACTAGGGGGGATCATCCGGCTTTGGGATCCAAGTTGCATTGTTCTTGCACTACCTTTCCTCATGTGTGGAATGATTCCGGCCCTCGCGATGCACGAAGACACAGACAGTATTCAGCCATTAATCTCCTCCACAAACGACATGGCCGTGCTGGTTTTGAAGCGATTTCGCTCAAAGTGGAAACTGGCTGCCATTATGCTGGGTAAGGCACACCGTATCTTATCTAAGTCTTTGCCTCACAAGTGTTACAGAAGTTGCGCAACTGCGGAAAAACCCGGACGTGGTAAACATCGCGAAAGGTCAATTGTACCAAAGATACACGATCTTTTTCCGGCGGCCGCGAACCGAGAAGGGTATTTTGAAAACCTCGTCCATCGAGGCTCAAACCCAGTGGCCGGAACAGACAGGCAACAATCTAAATGCTTCACATCAGGCGCACTCACAGCCAGCGCGGGATTCGCTAGGAAGCAATCCCGACGACATTCCCAGCTCTACGCTCAGGCCAGACGCACTCGGACTAGACTGGGCTGGATGGCCGAACCTGGCCGTCGATCCACTGGGTTTTCCAGCAATACAACCTGATCTTTACGACTTGGGGTTCGACTTTGAGCCGCCAGATCAAACTCAGAATCTCGACAGCTCGAACCTCATGCAGGTCTAGATGCTCCAACATATGGTGAAGATGAGGCAGGTATCTACGTTACTGGAGGCATATAATCATCGTCAGATAAGATATCAGATAGTAATGTTCAGACGACGCCCGGCCCAACCCAGTCTGTACCCATCAGAGACATACTGATGGACAACTTATAGCGCACGGGGCCACACGCCAAATAAAGGCCGCTTACCATCAGCGACAGACAAGCTCAGCGACCAGGATCAGCTTCCCCGCAAACACGCCTGCTTCCAGCAATTTTTACATATCCTAACCTTCCGCTTCTTGGGCTCGAGCTTTGTCATTTCCATGTGTATCTCACATCGTCTTTCCTCGAACCTTGAATCGTACGATCAGGCCCCACTGTAGCCAAAGCCAAGCCGCATCTGTCTTCCACTCAGGTTCGTCCGAAGCCCACTCGATGTCGAATTGGCGCAGAATCTGAGGCAAGAACTTGCCCATTTCCAGAATGGAGATGTTCTTGCCAATGCACGTTCTCGCACCCTGCCCGAACTGTGGAAAAATCAGTTTTTTCTCCGCGAGATCATCGATAATAACGGGATGTGAGGGAGGTGGCGCGAGTCATTCTTACAGCCAGAAAACATCGGTCCATTTCTCGAATCTGGTCCGGCGGCGATTCGATCCACCGTTCCGGGCGGAACCGGTCAGCATCGGCGCCGTAGATGTCTTTGTCGAAATGGATGGTCGGAGCACTCATACTGATGTTGGTTCCAGCGGGCAGGTGGACACCACACACAGTCGCGCCGCCTTCGGGCACGTATCGCTCCAGGGGAAAGCAGATGCCCGGGTGGATACGCAGCGCCTCCTTCATGACCGCTTGACTTTTTGCCCTAGTCAGTAAGCCGTTCTTGGTAATTGGGAGTAGACGGAGGTCCCCGGAAACAAGTGGAGGGATCCAGAAATCAGACGTATTGACTCCACTCACAGGTATGGCAGACGCAGGCACTCCTCGTAAGTGATATAGGGCGACAATTCACCACGCGCCTCAGCCTCGTCGAGTTCGACCTGAAGTTTGTAGTACGCAGCGGGTGTCTTGATCAGGTAGTAAAAGCATGAGCGCAATGCAATGGCCGTGGTGTCGCTGCCAGCCAGACTAAGGGATTTTTTTCTCAGTATCCCGCCCCGCGAGAGTTGTGGAATGAATGAATCTGCGCCAAGGGCATCTGGCGCACTCACATGTTGTTGGACAGATGGTTCACCAGATCCATGTAGGTAATCTTGTCGCTGATCTGTTGCTTTGATCTGATCTGGGCCAGGAAATCTGTTCGCTCCACCCCTTCCTTTTTCTCTTCTCGGTCATACCGTTCTATCTCTTGCTCGGTGACCTGCAGGAATAGAGCCACCTTTCAGCGAATGGTCGCCTGCCCCAGGACAGAAAAAGGCCTTACCTGCAGAAACCGGCTCAAGGCGTCTGGCATGTTGGGCATGAAGGTCTTGAGAAGGGTCACGAACCTTCGATTGCCCATGCCCCAGGAATGCAGCGCGGGATACTGGCCCACGACCTTGAAGTAGGCCAGGGCCGCACGGGTGTCGCGCATCATGTCATCCACATCGCGGCGCTGCTCCATGAACCCGAAGCGGCGCTGGAACGTAATGCAGGCGATGACGTCGAACGCATACCATTGTAGCCAGTCTGACAGGTCGATGTTCTGCCCCTCGAGTTCCCGCATCGTCTGGGTAAATATTGCTGAGCACTCGTTAGCGTAGGGCTCGTAGTTGCGCATGTTGGACATGGAAAAGAGCTGGGCGACGGGCCGTTTGAGGCTTTTGTGGTGCTCGGGATCTCGAGTGGAGAAGATGCTGTCCAGTTGCTGGTCTCTGTAATAGGGTACCATGGTAGAATAGAATGTCGTCTACGCCGTCGTTAGCTTCTCTTCATCCCACGGCCGGTCACGATTCGTCGGAGGGCTATTGCTCACCTTCATGTATTTGCTGCCGGCGCCGTAAATTATGGGGATCATGGTCGGGTCGGACACCGAAACGTGGTTCCAGCCGACGCGCACTAACTTGCCATGCTTCTCATGCAGCGAGCGATAGATGCGCGGCCCTTCGCCAGAACATGACATGTAGAGCCTGTACAGGCCGGAGAAGCGCGCCAGAAACGGTCCAGGCACCAACCTCAACCCCGGCTGCAAGGCTCTTCTGATGTATACGATAACACAGTATAGAAAAAAGCTCCCCAGCACGTACACAGTAATGCTGTTAGCCATGATTAGCCAAAACCAAGTCAGCAAGCAAAATGGAACTCTGGAATGAGCAATGTCCAAATGAAACCGGCAGCTTTTGAAGCCCGTGCCACAAAACTCTAGCTTGCCTTATCGGGCAGAGCCAACGCTGTGTCTCGATTCCCAAACACTAAGTGAAGATGGGGAATGCACGGCATCCAGAGAGCCCGCTGGCCCTGAGTCCATCCTCCGGTGGCCCTGAAGATGCGGGCTTGTAGCGGAGTTTTGCAGCCAACGAGTCGAAAATGCCGCAATGCACACGGCCCGAGTTCTACCACCGACGGCTTTAGCCGACGTGCTGATTTCGGAGCTCCTACCTCACTTGCTGTCCAGCTCTGGATGTGCAGAGATGTCTTGCTCTACCTGCCAAATATCCTAGGTAAAACAGACAATGTACTCCGTAAAATCATTTTGCTTGGAGAGCCGCAGGACTTAGGGTCACTAGCATTTTAGGGTGCCGACCTTCCCTTTCGCGTGGCCTTACAGCCATATGGAGGTGCGGTGGCCGATGCCAGCTCGTTTCTCCCATTATATGGCTGTCGAGCGCTGTGCATTGGTATTAACCCTAACAGGCTTTCATCACCTGTGAACCTCTTGTATGCTCCAGACCTCCATACCGAGGGGTTTCAGCCAAAAGAAAGTCTTAGGATCCAGCTGCAGACAGATGTACTCCCTGTTGGCTCTGATTCCAGACCTCGTGGGACGTTTCTTGAATCATCTTGCATTACTCATTCTTGCAGACACAACGCACATGATGCCTTGAACGCAATATTGACCGCCTTACTATCCATGCTGTCCGAAGAATTGTAGAGGGGCAAGATATTACCATTTGGTGACTTACTAGCACGCATGAGTACGCCGAGCGGCAAGGTTCTCTTAAGAAAAGTTTTGAAGTTCGACCCCACATGCGACCTGTTATCACTGCCACCGCTCCAGCAGAAGAGAGCGACATGTGACTCAGGGAGCTCCATGCCATAGATAACGCGATTGGAACGTTCTTCTTGTCTGGCGAAAGCTTGGAGCCAGGACCTGGGCCCGATCTCCTAGACACGATGTTTGGTTTTTTTGATGAAGAAGGCATCTGGGATGCGAGATTTTACAGATTCGCACGTAGAGTCCCGAAGCTTTACCATCACTCTTTTCTGTACCTGGCTCAATCGCCAGAAGGCGGCCCCATGAGCCAGTATTATATCAGCAGAGAACTAGCTAAAGGCTCCCCTACGGATGATCGCTAGGACTGGTCGACAAGTCTAGCGACCTACCTTCGGTGCTTCGAGGCCTAAGGTATTACTCAACCAAGGTGGATGAAAACAAGCCTTGTCAAGCAAAAGGTGCATGCAGCCTACCTGATAATCATGATTCATTTGTTCTCTGAGCCTCACATAACTTTTAAACGGAACCTCGGCCCTGACCGCTTAACTCCGTGCAATGTCCAGAAACGCGGACATACGGTACAGCAGCTTGCTTAGATGACACTTTTCAGGCAGAACTTTTCAAAATCAGGGTAAGAGCTCTTCGATTCCCAAATACAGCGTTTTAGTTTTACGGCGTCGTTAAGAACCACCACATTATTCAGGTTACTCCGGGGGTTCCTAAGGATCTAACTTCGGGCTGTTTATTTTGCGCTATGGGCGCAACGAGCGTAATGGCTTTAAGCGCAGTCCAGCCAAACAGTTCTCGAAAACGACGCAGCCATCGCAAATCCCGAAGTGGTTGCCGCAATTGTAGGTTGAGACGCATCAAGTGCGATGAGAGGAGACCACTTTGCGACAAATGTTCAGACTACGGCGTCTCATGCAATTACGACCCTAGCGTACCTGACCTCCAGCCTCTCCAGGGCAGTACACATGTACCGACAACAACGACAAATTTAACCACATCTCCTATTTCAAACCGACAAATCGCTATCAGTATGATCGCGAGCTCACTCCACGAAGATAATCGCGGCCACCTGAAGCACATCAAAACGCTACAATTCCAGCAAGCGAACCTGACGTTATTAGAGAAATTCCAAAGCAGAACCATTTTTTGCCTGGGCACGGCGGCAGCCACGCAGATATTCCAACAAGCGGCTGTCCAGCTGGCTTGCTCACACCGCTTTCTAATGCATCTCATCCAAGCAGTCACGGCATGCCACGATAGATATCTGGACGGGCTGGCTGCCACGGAACCGAGTGCCATGGAGGCTTACCATCTCAACCAGGGGCTTATCTTGTTCCAGCGTAAGCTAACTGAAACGCTCCGTCCCACTGATCGAGATGCTCTGTTTGTCGCTGCAAGTCTGACAGGTATTGCAAGCTTCGCATCGAGTCCAACAACGACTGTCGAAGAGTCCTGGCCATTGAAGGGCTCTGATTTGAACTGGCTACACCTGAGTAGTGGTAAGCACACTGTGGTGAAGCTAGCAGACCCCTTAGGAGAGCATAGCATGTGGAAGTCGTTTGCCCAACAAATTGAGCGAGTGCTGTTGCTGGAGAGGGAGGAGGAGCCTCGATGTACGGTTTTTGACCATCTTTGCGAGTCCCCCGTCTCGCTGAACTCGCTCGGTTTCAATCCTTACCACGAGTCCGTCCAGAAGCTGGCGCCTCTCCTCAAGCTAGAATGCATTGAAAACAATTGGCTAAGGCTCCTCTGCTTCTTAATGCGTGTAACACCTGCATTTACGGGGCTACTTCAACAGAAGGACCCATGGGCAATGCTCATGTTCGCATATTGGTGTGCCAAGGTCTGTGAAAGTCGATGGTGGTTAACGCGACGAGCTATCTTGGACGGCTTAGCAGTATGTCTCTACATCGAGAGAAACTGTCCATGGGACGAGAGGCTCCAAGAAGCAGTCATCTGGCCAAAAACAAGATTGGATGGACTGATGGCCCGTGAGGGACTCACTTATAGTTAGGGCTGAGTTGCAAAGATAATTCAAAATCATGATCTTACAGCTTTCGATAACGCATTGATTCTTCGAGGGGGTTTCAGATCATGTATGGAGTTAATGCCATTTAGCAGACTACTATCAGTACGCCTCGGCAAACTTGCTTCACAGGGAGATTGAGATTTCCTGCCTCCAGTTTCACACCCCTGTGGGTGCTCTCCCCCCAAGGTCCCTACCATCAATATTAGCTTGAATAAAAGAGAGTGCATGTCCTAAGCCGTAAAGGTCTCCCAGGCGTCGAATATCTGCGCACAATATTAAGCCCTCAAAGTCCATCGCGCTGGTTGCTTGACTCTCCTTTACATTTCAACGAAGAACTGGCTTCGACCGTCCTTGCAAGCTTAGAAACCATGTCAGCACTTAGATTCGTGCGCTCCGTATGTTATTGCTAGTGGGGTCATTAAGAGGGCCGAAAAACTGAACATCTTTGATCAGGTCTGGGAGTCATTTAGGGCAACCTCAGGGGTTGAGCCGAGGTAAGCTAACCTTGCACGTTGCGAGGGCGGATCTAACTTGAGGCAGGCTAATCGACAGTGTACGTGGCGGAATACCAGAAGCTCCAAGCCTGCTCCTGTATGAGATTCTGGAGTGCTTTGAATAACCGTCCAGTCTACAGATGCGGATAACGGCAGCCGAGCCTGGCAAGGTCAACTTCGAGCTACCGATTGAGAAGCATCACACAAATCGACTGGGAATATTGCACGGTGCTACACTCGCTACAATGGTTGATACCAGCGGCTCGCTTGCCCTTGCTTCTCGTGGTCTCTATTCAACCGGTGTCTCGACGGATCTCAACGTCACGTATCTGAATGCAGGTGGGAAGATTGGGGATCTCGTCAAAGGAGAGGTAATATGCGACAAGTGTAGGTGTCTAAGCTTCGTTGGATTTATGGGATATTCCAAATACTGACAGACAGGGAGTTGGCAAAACACTCGCATACACGTCGGTGAAGTTTATGAACAAGAACAACGAGATTGTGGCCCGAGGTAGCCATACTAAATTTGTCGCTCTGGCGTGGAAGGATGAGAAGAACATTGTCGATGAATTAAAGCCGGTTGTCAATGAGTCGAAAACCAGAGAGACTGCTCGCACGAATTTGAAATAGCGGCCGTTCGCAGTTATCTTTTCATATATCTATCCATAGACTGTACAGACAATTGCAGCGAAATATCAGACACCCTGCTGCCCCCTGGGTTTGAATTCCTAGTGGTCTCTGCCGATTAGGCATCTTTCAAGTGCTCCAAGTTTGACTCGCTTTTGGAAGGCCGTTGAACACCCTGGATAGGAGACTCGAGGTTTACATCGATCGAGCAAAGGATTTTAAGCACCCTGGTTGATAAGATCCTTACCGGCAAGTTGCCCCTCATGCTGAGCCAATAAGATCACCCTTGAAGGGAGAATGAAGGACTGCTGAGCTCCTATGTCTCGATTGGAGTAAATGGGGGCATTTCAAGACGCTCCTTAACTGACCCATGTAGGCGCAAGGCTGACGAAGCTCTCGCCCCGGCCTTGGACTTGGCTTTAGAATGCCAACACAGTGAAGCCTGCAACTTGAGCAGAGCTCGCATCCAAATGATTGTGGGGCAAGGATCTAGTACTCTCACTTAGAAGAAGCGCGTTGGAAGGATTGAGAAACTGGAGCAATATGAATGGTGTGATTCTGGACGGGCTCGCCCTAGTACCCGAGAGCTGGTGACGTAGCCCATACTGGTAACTTGCCTTAAAGTTCAGTTAACACGAACCCATGTCGATGGCCAAAACAAATGCACGCCCAGCCAGTTGTTACGTCGCCATTCCAACTTGGCAAGCCACGTTTGAAGGTGCCCAGTGCGGCCCATGCCTTTAGTTATCCCTGCCCTACCTAAATTCCCAGCCTTGGCAGCCTTGGATACTTAGGTAGCCTCCTCGGCGTTTGTTGGCGACCTTTGATGGAAACACTCGCCGTGCCATGATCTCATGGGAAAACTCTTGGTTTAAGTCGGCCCAAAGTATTTGCTCGCCAAAATGCGGACGGATGCAAACCAATCTTCACCCATCGTTGTTTTTCGGCTACTCCAGGGCCGCAGCCCTTCAAGTGATCAGAGCAGACATCCTCTCAACGCCATAAACAAATCATGGCCAAAGATGAGACCACTTACTTGACGCAAAAGGAAATCGATGAATTTGTGGCAGAACTCGACAAGGATCGCGATGGAAACATCTCATACCAGGAGCTCGAACACAAGTTAGACGTGGTCTACCAGGAACTGCAGCCGAAAGCAAAGTCCCATAACTTACATCACGAGTCGAGGCAAGATGAACGACATGAGTTCCTGCGGGGAGTTATGGGCACCGAAAAGGACACCATTCCGGTGGAAGATTTCAAGAAAGTGGTGGCTTCTTGGAAAATAGCGTCGCTCGAGCAGGACAAACAAGCCGCCAAGGATGAAGCTGATTATATGAAGGGCATCTCCTGGCCACGGCGGTTGAGAGCAATTTGGGAAGTCGATGGACCGGAGTATTTGTTCCTCTTCATCGTTGTCGCTTTGCAGGTTGGCCTCGGCGTGTGGCAATGCGTCACATACTCCACAGGGCCACAGTATCAAGCCGCACTGGGTTGGGGTGTAGGTATGGCCAAGACCTGCGCAGGAGCTCTCTACCCGACACTGTTTTTTATGCTGCTCAGCATGTCGAGGTTGTTCTCCACCATCATGCGGAAATCATACTATATCTCCCGGGCCATCAATTGGGATCTCAGTCAATCATTCCATGTCAAGATCTCGTGTGTAGCGATTGCTCTCGCGACATTGCATGCCATTGGCCATCTTTCTGGATCTTTCGTCTATGGGAGCCGCGAAAACCGACAGGAGGCTGTTGCGGAAATTCTAGGTCCAGACGCAGTGCCACGACCTTATGCTGCCTTTGTTCGTTCGACTCCGGGCTGGACGGGGCTCGCTGCTTTGAGCCTGTTTTATGTTCTGGCTCTCCTCAGCATGCCATATATTCGCAAATGGTCTTATGAGATCTTCCAGATGGGACACTTGTTGATGTTTCCCATCATTGGCCTCCTTATGGCGCATGGAACAGCCGCTTTGTTGCAATTTCCTGTGCTTGGATTGGTACTTGCCTTTCCAACGCTATTTGTTCTCGCAGAACGAGTCACGCGTATGTTCAATGGCTTGTACAAACTCCCTGCATCCCTCGAGGTCCTTGATGAAGACACGGTGCGAATCAGCTGCACAATTCCGAGTCGGCGTATTTGGAGGTATAGAGCAGGGCAATACGTCTTTCTGCAAGTACCACAGATCTCAATGTTTCAATGGCATCCATTCACGATCTCAACCTGCATTGGGCGGCAGATGGAGCTTCACATCAAGACCGGTGGAGACTGGACGGGAAAGCTGCGAGAGATGAAGGAATTAAAATTTGTTGGAATTGACGGCCCTTTTGGAGCCCCGGCACAGAGGTTTTATGACTTTGATCAGACTGTGATCGTCGGTGCAGGAATCGGCGTCACACCTTTCTCTGGAATCCTGAATGATCTGCAAACAAGGGAGGATCATCATTGGAATCGCCGTCGAGACTCAACCTCTACAAACGAGTCCAACGAGATTGGAGACACAAGCAATCTTCCAGTTCAAAATATGCATTCTGACGGCCCGATCGTTCAGTTTGGAAACAAGTCATTCGATCTGGAAAAGTATCGTCGGGTCGACTTTCACTGGGTGGTGCGAGACAAGAATTACCTGCTCTGGTTTTCGGATCTTCTCAACAAGATTTCGTCTGAATCGCCCACCCGCAACCCCAACCTTGATATTCGGATCCACAACCATTTGACAAAGAGGCGAAAAGATATTTCGACGCATGTCTATCGGTGTTTGTTGGAAAAGCATCGGACTGAAGGACAGCCCATTTCACCCTTGACAGGTCTGATAGCACCCACGCATTTTGGAAGGCCAGACTTTCCGAAAATCATGAGCGATCATTACGAAGAGATGGTCAAGTTGTTCGCCAGAGACAGGATGAGGAAGAGAAAGGTGGGGGTCTTCTTTTGCGGAGCGCCAGTTATTGGGCATGCATTGGCGGATCTGTGTCATCAAATGACATTAAGAGGCAGAGAAGATGGGACTGAAGTCGAGTATCATTTCATGATCGAAGTTTTTGGATAGAACTAGACTTGCATATGAAATTGAGTGTTTCAAGGTGACAGCGGGAGGCCAAACAATCACACTTGATTACGATGGAGTAATTCTTACCAATAGATGTTGTGGGTCCTCATCTGTGAAGGGAGGTAATAAACACTCCTTGATGATGTTCTCATCGATAGGTCGATCAGGCTCCCTATTCAAGTATTTAGAAAGCTGGCCCCCTCGTCAGAGTGGCAGAAATTAACTATGATGGGGACGTAAAGAGAAGGTTTCCCGAATTCATAGCGCTCCTGTACTACTACCAGATAGGAATAAACCATCGAACTAGTCTGATGCTAACCCTCTGGTAAATAAATTATGTTGGACTTTCGTACCGAAGTTTGAGCCACACCCACCTGCTCTCCCACATTAATCCAACTGTCTCTGACCTCCGTACCATAGAGAGCGTCTACCTATTATCGGTACTGGTATAGTGTCCGCCATGATAATATCTTCCAAGCAATATCAAGAACATGCCTCGAACCTCAAAGGCCTCCGCTCGTGCTCCTCCGGTGCTCCCTCTCAAGATCTTTGTCCTCGACAACGGTGGCTACAGCATAAAGGCAGGATTCGCACCTTCCAAGTCTCTCTCAGACACTGAGGTTCTTTCCAGTTGTCACAACATCCCGAACGCACTAGTCCGCACTCGCGACAGGAAAACCTACGTTGGCGCGCAGTCAGAGGAAATAGCACAGTGGAGCGAAGCGCTGTTTCGGCGTCCGGTTGAGAACGGCCAGGTTGTCAGCTGGGAGGCACAGAAAGAGATATGGGATCAGTCATTCTTTGACGAGCGTATGGCGACGAAAGATCTTCTGATTAAGAACCCAGAGGAGACTACTTTACTTTTTGCGGAGCCCCCCAATTCAATGCCGACCTTGCAGAAAAACGCAGACGAGATCGTCATGGAAGAATGGGGGTTTGGCGGGTATTCCAGGGTAATTGGTATGTAAGGCCACTTGTCTCTGCTGCCCCGTGAGGTCTGATTGCTCATACACTTCAGGTCCATCCCTTAACGCATATAATAACCTTCATCCTGTTTTTGAAGACAACCCGAGTCTAGCACTGAACTCCATTGACCAACTCCCTGTGGAATGCCTCCTGGTCATTGACAGTGGCTATAGCCATACCACCGTCACGCCGCTGTTCAATGGCCGGCCGCTGCATCGCGCTATTCGACGTCTTGACTTCGGTGGCAAACATCTTACGAATCTTCTGAAAGAAGTGATCTCTGTGCGTCATTTCGATCTCCATCAGGACACCAAGATAGTCAATGACATTAAAGAAGACGTTTGTTGTGTCAGCAACGATTTCCAGGGAGATCTCGAGAAGACTTGGAAGGGCAATAAAGGTCGACAGAAAATCAATCCAGCAAAAGACAAGGACGGAGATCTGGACATGAACGATAAACTAGGCGATCAAGAAGTCCGTATCGATTACATCCTGCCAGACGGTGTTCATCTTCTGCGAGGTTTCTCCCGGCCACATGATACAACGATTGCTGCGAAAAAGCGTAAACAAGCCGCGCTCTCCAACGTGGCTATGCACGACTCCGAAATTTCCATGACCCTCGGCAATGAACGCTTCTCGGTTCCCGAGATTCTATTCTCACCGTCTGACATTGGCTCGAAACAACCAGGACTTCCAGATATTGTATTGCAGTCCCTCAGTGTCCTCCCCCCTCTCGTGCAGGCTACGATGCTGAGCAATATGCTTGTAGTTGGCGGAAATGCCAAGATACCAGGTCTAGCTCAGCGTCTCGAGGCTGAATTACGCAGTCGAATAAAAACAGAATGGCAAGTTTGTGTGAGGACCATGGAGGACCCAATCACGTCGACATGGCTAGGTGGCGCCAGATTGGCAAACAAATTCCCAAGCGTGGTCAGAGAATATGGCGTCACCAGAGAGGAATATCTCGAGCATGGAAGCGCTTGGACTGCGCGACGATTCTTGAATGGTGGCTCTGGAAAAGGGCCATGAAATTCACATTATTTCAACTAGCACCAAAAACCACAGTACCGGAGGCACACACAGCCACGGTTCACCAGGCTGATCTGTACACTCCAAGGCTTCGACTTTTTCGTCCCATCGCTCGAGCCTGCGAGGCATTCCGATTCGTCACCTCTCATTCCTCTGAAATCTAGAAACTACCAGGTTATTGGTGATCTACGCCTCCCTTGCACTGCAATTCTCTCATGACACCAAAAGATCATGACTGCGTTCCGTTGATAATTTCGGGGACCTTATCATCCAAGTTGGTCATGGTTCCTTGTGTTGAGCCTGACCATAATTTCTGGGCGGCGGTGAGTAGGTTGGCACTGCTTTGCGGGATATTGGAGAACGCAAGCGCATTTCATGATCTTCCACTTTCTGCAACCTTGCCAGTCGAGGCTCGGGGTATTGATGACCTGAAGCTGACTTGAGAAGTCTCTCTGCTCGATGACCCCAGAGACCGACGTGTGCCATTGCCATCACTGATTGTCGAGGTGTCACATCAGCCTCCTCTTCTGCTCGATCATCCCAAAGAGCAATCTGTACCATTGTCATCATTGACTGTTGAGATTTAACATCAGCCGTCCGCTCTGCGTGAGTACATCCGGAATTACCCTGTTCGGGTTCTTTTTGATCATAGCTCCTTACGGGTGCAACCATACTGGACACAGTCAGTACTGAATCACGTGGGTGGTCGTCTAGTGATGTCCGTGCTTCCACACATGATTCGTCCGCAACACTAACCTGTCTTGAGGTTTGATCCTGCTGTGATTGATATGCAGGAGCAGTTCGTGAAGTTCGTTCGAAAGCAGATGTTTCGGCATCATCTCCGCCAGTTCTCGAAACCCGGTCATTTTGTGGATAAACGGGTGAGTTCTTGGATCGCTCCGATCTTTTGATGCTTGGTCCTCCACGGGGCTGCGGGGCGCTTGGCACGCGGCGAGGCTCCACGTCTCTGCCTCTGGGGTGTGCTGGCGGAGGTGACCGAGGCAAACGTCCGTCATTTTTGTATTGGGCTGAAGGACTCGGGGGCTGCTCTGAACATCTAGGTCTTGATTTGTTTATGGAAAACCCTGGGTACAGTGGAGGTTCGTACAACGAGTCAATATCAGTGTTTATCGAACCTTGTACAAACTCAGGAGGCTCTCGTCTATTTCGAGGAGGTTCTTGTTGATGTACAGGAGAACGGGTGGGGCCATTTCTGGAAGGTTGGTGAGATCTTGCATCTTGGATCCGAACTTGCGGACCCGTCTGGGAAGACGATTTCGCTCGTGCATACTCTGATTTCGAGGAGGCAGATGATATACCCTTTAGAATATATTTGTCTCGTGAGGGCTGCTATCATGTCATTGCTTAGTACATGACAGGACACTCAGAATATTTGAGGCCTTTTCAAACCTCTGCAAACTCCTTGCCGGGCCGTCCTCCTCCAGCCACAGCCTTGCGACTTGGATAGCATGCCTCCCCCTGCTTTGCGCGTCTTGTCTTTTTTCTGCAACAGCAGCACCAGCACACCAAAAGGAGGAAAAAACCCCAGGATGTACCCAACATAATACCGAGAATGTGGGCAACACTGAGCATTTCAGATCGGCGATCGACTAATTTGGCAAATCGATTGATGTGGATAGACAAGATAGTTTTACGAGGTTGGGACAAAAGTAACCATTAATGAGTGAGCAATATGCTTGCTATTGAGAAATCGACGTGGCATAGCTACAGTCACAGATTAACAAGTGGACGACGGAGTCAGATTGTGCGTTGAGTCGCAGGAGAGCTCTCTACGGCGCGCACCATTCATTGCGGAGCCTGACCGCATGGCTCGAGTCACCACGGGCGCACCATTCCAGCACTTCCTAGTAGAAAGATATGAGTCCACATCATGTTCGATGCTTCGCGATGTATCTATCCAGAGATGTCGGTACATGCACTGAGACCTATAACCCACTCCCCTCCAGGCTTGCGCTGTGAGCGTCAGCTGTACATCATCCTCTGGACACCATGGGTCCTCTCGAACATGTCGACGGAAAGCCAGAGCACTTAGCTCCCGAGGAAGCAAATCTCGAGCCGATCCATCTGTCCAAGGGCACCGTGGACATCTGATAAATACTGAGCAGCCTCGCTTGTATGCGTACTGCATGCCTGCGTCTACAATATGCAATCTCTCGAGTCTCACGGTCAAAATTACGATCGGTGTTCACTCCAGGTAGAATGTTTGGCTAGCATTTAGATGGCTCGAGGGTCACTTCTGCTCATCCTAGATTCCTGGCAACGTCACGTCTCTGATTACCATGATCTATCTGGATCCTGGTTAAAGATTCTCAAGACTCGGGCAAAGAGGATTTCTGAGGTGGTTCCGCTTTTGACTTTGGTGTCAATGTGCCCACCATCAAGAGAAGTCTCTTCATTCAAGCATTAGGACCAGCGCAAAATGATTTTCCCGCCAGCCCGCGTAAGCCGACGAGGCGATGATTCTAGGTAGCTGTTGGGTCTCGAGTCCATCCCATCAACGTCTCTTCAAAACTCACGTAGAGCGCCCAAACAAGATTCCTTGCTTTGCATCATCAGCACGCCGACTTTTCCAAGTCTGTCCACATCCCAGCTGCTAGCATCTAGCATCAGAGCGTTCTACCAGGGTATGGAGGCATATCCATGCCCTCATATGGATCGTATGCAGAGGCCGGCCTGCTCGAGGATCCACCATACCCGTATGGAGATCGCGCATTACCACTCCGACAGAACTGACCACCATTATCATAGTTTCGAGGATCGTCTCCGGATGAGGATGCACTCTCACATCTCTGCTTGAGGCATGGTACCGCTCGTTTGCGGCAGGTCCGTAGACAACAAAGGAAACAAATCAGGATCGCTCTCCCAAAGACTCCTCCCAGTATGGGACCTGTTTGTTTCATGTCTTCTCTCTTGACCAGGTGCGAGATGTATGACTTGGCGGCATTTGTCGGAGCGAAACTAGGACCATGTAACGCGGTCGTCGGGGGAGAGAGCGGACCGAGACTGGCGTTTTCATCTGCTGTGTGAGTTCGAGCTAGGGCGTTTGAGGACATGTGAGATACCAACACATACCGGCACCAACCCTACGGTAAACAGGATGCCGATGATTGCCATATTGGATATCCATTTGGACCCTTGTATCTCGGACGATACTGCTTAGTATCCGAGTACCAATGTGGTTGAATTAGTCTGTATCGTGTGAGAAGTTCTGGTGGGTCGGTATCAATTGCCAGAATGAGGTCGCACTCCCACCTTTCAGGAACTACTCTCCATTGATTAGATCTAAGATCAGCGGAGCTCAGTGTCTGGTGCCTGTCAAACACAGCACAGAAAAAGCTGTTATAATCGGCCCTTGTCACCACAGAGTTTCAGAGCACTACTTAAGATGATCCCTATGAAGATTCAATGCCTCTCCATTGGCCAGTGACGATGATTTCGTTTCCCGTCCCCATGTCTTTCCTTGAGTTCTTATTTATTGTTCAGGCTCTGAAACAATTACCGATAGCATTACTCGGCGCAGGGAATGCTGGAGCAGCTCCTAGGACGTGAATCCGAGTGACAAGGTGACAGTGCAGAGATATTTCTCTTTTCGGCCTCTTACTCTTTCCTTGTCATCACAATCAAATCACCGGGCCATTGACTCATCAAAGTGGCAAAACCGGTGACGTTATAGACCGGTTTTCCACCAAAAATCTCTGTCTCAACAACCTGACCCCGGAACGGCGGTATACTCTTGATGGCCAGAGACAATATATGAGGCCGCCCAGCATGCAGCCGACGATGAAACCGGCGACGATAAACGCGACGACGAGCCCCACACTATTGGCACGAGACTCTTGTACGGGGGTCGGGAGGGATGTCGACGGTGTAGTGGATGTATTTGTGTCAAGTTCAGGGGAGATAATTGACATTGCGACGTGGTTGCTGCTCGTTGGGGCTCGCGGTTGCTGCGTTCTTAATGTGTAACTTGTGGTAGAGTTTGAAAGGTGAAGCTAAGACGCTACTTTGTAAGTGGTGTTCAAATTATTTGAATCCGTTGATGTCGACAGTGAGCTCAACACAGTGTGAGCATGTTGACGGTAACATGTGATAGAGAAGTGAGGAAAGTATAATAATGGTTGACTGTGGCAGATGTACCTGCCGCTCACACCTTCCCTCTGACAATCCAGAGCGCAGGGGGAAGGTGCGCCTGCTGGCCATAACCTCCCTTTGGAACAGCAATCAAAAAACAACAATTGTCTTCAGTGAGAGTATAACCCACAATGGAAACTTAGTTGGCGCATTCATCGGAAGACGTGGGAACGGTTCAGACCGGCCTGTCAGTTTCCATACATTTCGTTGATTTCTCAGTACAGGTTTTCAAGTTCTTCACTGAGACCAACTTGGATAACGCAAATAGAGCTTTCCTTCTCTCTAGAATCCTCTCATCTCCCCAGTCCTGCTGTCTTCAGTCGAGAATCCTAATTCGCGTCCAGTCACCGAGATCTTCCATGATCGACACACAACGCATCCACATCATCATCATCATCAAACAGGCAGATGGGTTCGACGTCCAGCTCTTAAACTGTTCCAAGTGCTCATGACGACAGCGCACGATAGATAGACCAAGGGTCCTAACAGGCATCCTGCGACAAATCCACCGATGACAATTACAACTGTCCTGCCGGGTTCTGATGGTGAGTGTCGAAATACAGGCGGATTATTGGAAGATGAGAATTGAAGCATAGGCTGCATAGCGTATGGAGTTGTAAGGGGCGGGCGGAGGGCGAGTGGTCTAGATTTAGACCTTGTTATGAAATCCATGACTTGTAATTCGATGGGAAGACCATGAAGGAATTGAGGTGGTGGGTTTAGCACCAAGCTGGAGTTTGTATCAAGATCAGCGCGGTTAGGCATGGGCAGGCAGTGGGAATGGCACTTGATATTATGAGCTCGGCGTGACAATTGAGAAGCGTAAGACAATAAGATGGGTGAGTAGAATAAGGACAGTGACAACTGCTGACAGTCTCACAAATATCTTTTGTGTTATTGTCGCGTGCGTTCCCCAAGCAGGTATGATGGTATCTGCTGAGAGTGATTCCTGTTCCACATCGTCGACAACAACCTAGAAAATTCACCATTCTGGACTGCTCCTGATGAGCCCCTCCGCCATACTGTATGCTTCTTGTGACCGGCTCTTTAACCGATTTCAATAATAGGTGTTCTTGAGAGTAACCGCCTACACCCACTGTACCAACTTCACAAGAGATTATCGCAACAAAATAAACGTCGAACCAACAAGCGAAACAACGGTAAATGGGGTCTCGTAGTCACCGCAGCCCCGATGGCGGTATATGTGGTGATATTGGTGCCACTCGGGTTCGTAGAGCTGCCTCCGGGGCACTCTACCCATTGATGCTTGGTCTGGTGAATCCAAGACAATACCATCACCAGTTGTGAGGTCAGATGTATCCATGCGGGTGATGGGAAGTTGATGAGGGTGGGCGAGCGAGAGTAAAAGTGTGTGTTTGAGGTAAGAGCAGGCGCTGAATTTCAGTGAGTGGTTTAGTTTGTTGTTTTCGTTGCGTTTGTATCGATGTTTGGTTTAAAATGACTCGGGCAGCTGTTGAGAACACATCGTGGTTGGTTTGCTTCTTCCGTTCAATTCTGTGTCCGTGGTGGATCATTCATACTCGAGTGTCCTATTGAGCCAAGAGAAAGGAATAGATAGAGGCGCGTTGACGCTGGAACGGCACTTGTTGGATTGAGACGATCTTGCATAAGAGGAGGAGACAAAATTTGCAAGCTTTTGTGTTAAAGCGCAGATGGCTTAGACAATCTTGGTGGAATCAGGATGTTCGTCACACACGTGATACCGTTTGCTCTTCGCTTGGAAATCTCTGCTAAGAACAAAGACACGCATACGTCATGTATCCGTCCCCAAAGTCACATAGATCACTCACCGTCGAAGCATCCATCTGGCCCTGGAGTTACCCAATCTGGATGGTATGTAGGGACTGCTGGGCCTCTGATAACGTCCTCGTAATGCGCAAAGGCTCACCAGGCATAAATGGATCCTAGTCAGGGGAGCCAAAGCACAGTCTACACTTGGGAATTTTGCGGATGATCCAGCAACGTATGGCTTATTCAACGTCAGGGCTTGAGCGAAGGTCTGCACCTCCCGGACTTTGAGCCTCTTCAAGTTTGACAAAGCACCCGCCCCATAGTGAACAAATTCGGAGATCAGATTTTCTTCGTGACTCATGGATGATAATTTCTCCAAATTGCCTCAGTCGCTTGAACGCAGGATGTTCCTGATGGGTTGGAGCGTACAAGATTACAACAGGCCAGGCATCCGCTGGGCAAAAATGAAAGATGTGACTCAGGCAGACATCGCATTCGCATTTACATTTGGGTATACGAGGCTATTTGGACCCACATGAGAGGATAGAGAGCAGCGATAGGCTGAAGGAGCAAGTTAAGCCTTTCAAGCATGCTTTCGCCGCAGCAGCTAAGCGAGCTTATTCGGCTCCTCTGACTTCTTCTCAAGCTGTCATATATGACATGATATGACATCCTCCGCAATTTGACCGGCGACTCCACGGAGGGTAAGATGTTGAATGTGAAAATATCTTCATTCTCATAAGCCATATTTCAAGGTTGCGGCCGGAGACTCCGCCTATGTATACAAAAGCCACGGGCGCTCATTCTGTGAAAGCGTACCGGGGATGACGCATTCCGGGAGACGCATTATGTATTTAAGGTGCTTCGACCGTACTAGTGTCGGACAATTCCTCTCCCAGTTACCCAGATCGTAACTAGGTATGCGAAGTTCCCGAATCACCGCCAACTCTGTTCATGTTGCGGGTTTCGAATAAGACTTTACTATGAGTCAGACTAGCCACCATACCCACGAATGGAGGAGATATGAACGAATGCAACTGGTGTCCCACTGGGTACCTACGTACCCAACTCCTCACTTGGCCCCACGAATAAACCTGGTGCCTGGGATGCTTCACTCATCTAGTGCGTAGTCCTGTGGCCCAGTATGAAACTATATAAACCGCTCGCCTGCCTGCCCCTTCAGGCTCTCAACGTCTTTCATCTTATACTATACTCGTGAAATTGCTGAGAACCTGTCAGTAGTTCAACATTCATCAAGCATCCACAGTACCACCGGTCAATACATTGAAGTCTTCCGTTATCTCAATGGCACCTGAATCGAAAAGGGTGGCTTCCTTTGATGCTGCTTCCATTTCCACGTCATCCGACTCTATCAGAGATGAAAAAGAACGCGCCCACAAAGCAGATCGGCCGAAAGAGTCACTGACGCGGAAGGTTATAAACGGTAAGCCTCAACCAAACTCGCTAAAGGGTTGATTCCAAGTGTGGTGGTCTCATTGCTAAGGACATTGCCCAATATAGCAATCAAAAAGATCGAGCCTCCCGAGCCACGAATTCCTGAGGGAAGGCATCAATACCTGCCTGCTTGGAGTTCTTAGATTGAGCTCACTATTGCATCCGGGCGCCTGGATATGGAGGAATATGTACGGAACCAACGGTGCAGCCATTCTGCACAAATTTGGGATAGTCATGCAAATTTTATGAGCGCTGTAGCAGGAACATTGCTGGAAAAGGCCATGCTCAGCCATGGATTCTTGAGGGAAGGATCGGGAGCGACGCCCCCGGTTCCCTAGATACTAGGTAATCAAGATTAGGATAGCAAAAAGTGGCTCGGATTATACCTGTACGCAGGGTTGCGCTAGAAAAGAAGTTAAATACATGAGTGAGAAGTTCACGCTCTCGTCCAAGGATTTTCCAGAGACCCGTTTGAGCATGAGCCGTTTCCCATCTCTGTATGATGGGATGAGACTTTCATGAGGCGCCCGCTTCCACTCTAGGAACGGATGAGCAATGGACAGGCAGACGTATAAAGCAATCGCTCAGCACAGTGTACACAACATTTAGGTTTTGCTGGTATTGTTTAGTAGTGATGAGCACCTGTCGGCGTTGATATCAGGGTTCTGCGGCTAACTCGGACATGGATTATTAGTCTAATTGTGGTGACACGTGGGTGCACGTGAAAGGCAACCACGTTAGCAGTTCCCTAGGAGGAGGCCATTAGGCGCTAGGATTTGGACGGATACTCCGTGGGCCTCTCGAAATTAGGAGGGAACCCAAGCATTGAAATAACGGAATTGCCGAGTGGGCGCTCCGTGTCCGACCCCTGGGTCTTGACTCCAGAGAGACGCTTGGGGGCGAGCGCAGGGAAATAAAGCCGAATCGCCGCCCTGTCATCTGGCTGTTCATGAGAGAAGGCAGCAGGATCAATCGCGCTGAATCTTTCCGGCGCTTACATGCCGTTTTAGATATTGAATATGATAGAGGGCGGTGACTCGTGTGGCTGTGGCTGAATGTATTCCTTGACAGTGGTGGGTGATAGTGGGATAGCAGTTGATGTAATACATGTAGCTTGCTGGATGCTAGTCAGAGTAGACTTCCTTCCAGCCTCGACTTAGTAAGTATGGGCCGTTGGGCATCTGTAAGACCCTCAATTTGAACCGAAGGGTATTGTGATAAGTCCAGGGTATTGTAATGAAGCATGGGAAGGTATCAGGCCATCTCCATGGGACGAAAGTTCTGCCGAGTCCTCTACCCGTGCGAAGGACAGGTTGTACTAGATAAGGAGGTTGGAGCACTGCTGATAAGGCACGAAGGCCCCTGATGTGGGCGGTGCCAGGGGGTGCCAGGAATTCCGTTCGCATCCCGAGGTGTAAAGAGATTGTGGGTGGCCAGTTATGGGCGTGGGTTCCCCTGGTATCATGCCGATAACGCGAATGGGGGCAGCCCGGGCAAGCACCAAGCCCGAGGGGCCTTCTTCCCTTTTTGGCCGTGGTTCCATGCCGAACCACATGGGCAATATTCCGTCCAGCTCGCCAGAGTCTCCCAGAGTCTCAGTACGAAGGACTCTTCTACGTGCCTTCCAAGCTCGGCTGGTGGCTAAATATCCCGAAACTGGGCGCTTGGCTTCCCACTCCACCGCGGCATTTGACCGAAGATCACCTGTAACTACTTTACCGGCCTGACATCCATCATCTTTCCCTGCGGTGAGGTTCCAATCCGTCGACCGCTTCGGTTGCACAAACATGAACCCAACACCTCCAGCCTCGGCACGGTCGCAAGCCCCAGCCGTCGATCCTGTCAAGAAAAGCGATGTCGCTGTAAGCAAAGAAGTTGAGGCTGACATTGAAGGTGAGGAAGACGATGAGATTACCCAAGAAGACGATGAGGATGCCGACGCCGACGCCGACGCCGACGCCCAAGACGATGATCTAGACGATGACGATGATGTCGAAAAGTAAGCCCCCGTGTGCTCCTCTCTTGCTCTATCACCCGTTACTCATATGGAATTTTCCAGCTTCACCACCTCCGAAATCGTCACCGTCTTCGTTGGCCCGAAGCGCAAGCGATTCTTCTTGCACCGAGAACTCATCTGCGAACGCTCTCCCTTTATGGAAAAATGCTTGAAGAAAGGCCACTTTGACGAAGGCTACAAAAACGAACTATACCTACCCGAGGATGACCCAAAGGCTTTTTCCATCATCGTCGATTGGATTTACCGGAGTCGCATCCCACAGCGGACAGATCCACACTTCGATGTCTCCGACATGTCCGCAGCTTACTGCATGGCCGATAAGTTCGTGATGGAGGAACTTCAGAACAGCATCATGGATGGCATCCGTGCAAGCCTCAGCAGGAAGGAGGGAGAATTGTGCAAGACGCCTCACTTTTCCGCACTGGCTCTCACACATCTCACCGGCCCTCCTAAGTCTCCACTCAAACGGTTCCTGGTTGAACACATGGTGCATCATATGATGAAGCATCCGAGGTGGTACCATGAATTGAAACGCAACGAGCCCTCCCGCGTGGATGTGGAAGAGCTGTTCAAGATTCCCGATCTGGTCTTCTACATTATGAAGAAGATCTGGCAATTCCAGGCCGAGCCATGGAAAGATCCAGCTACCTGGGATAAATGCTGCTACCATGTCCACGCCACTACAGTATGCCAGGTTAAAGTTCCTCCAGCTCCTATGAAACCGACCCTCAAGCACGGTGTCGGTATGGCCTCATCAGGCTTGCATGGTCATAACTTGCGACCTGGTCACGGCCCTTGGCCTGGAAGCGCCCTGGGTGGTGTCTGGAATCCTGGTGTCGGCTGGTAGAATCAGTCCGACCTTTACTTTGTGGACTTCCTACTGCACCCCGGATGACCTTCTCGCTGGCATGAGTGTTATCAACGCAGCAAGCTGGCCATCACCACAGCATGGGCCTATTTTAATGATCCACCACATCCAAACCGGGTTCGACCCTTTACGATACCAGCATTTCCATTATTTCGGCAATGACTTTTTCTTGGTTTTCTCTTTCCGCATCTTGTTCACTTTCTCAGACCAGAAGTGGCTTCAGCACACGGCGCAATAGAACTGGGTTGATGAATTACGGGAATTTTTGCATTGGCTCGAGCGGAGAATTGCAAGAGAATAGGCGTTTGATTGTTCACATGGCCCCCAACGAGCACTCTTGGATGACTTTGCATTTCATACCTCCCTCTGCTAGAGCTACGTAGGTATTTTTCGAAATATTCGATTCGTGGTATGGGGAAGTCGAGAAGTCGCGAGCAATATCCAAATATGATACGAAACCTACATTTGAAAATCGCCTGATGCGTGCGGGTTCTTCTCATGCTGATGTGGGTTCCCTCAACATCTACCCCTCCGTGAAAGAATCAGGAAAAGCCTTCCAACGTAGATCATGCACCCTGACAGCCAGAATTCTCTTGGCAATCGACCATAGGATCTGGAGAACAAGCCCTCCCGTTCGCTCAGCCGTACTTAAGCCAGATGCCGGTTAGGTGACACTCTCACAGTATCGCCGTTTGGGTTTGGTGAGCAGAAATCGGCTCCCAGCGGTTGCAGCTGCTACTCGATCACGTGATGAAGCTGAGTGGTAAAGAACCGTGTAGAACCGTCTCTGGTCGACGCCAATATTTCACCAAAAAGTTGGTCGCATTCTCACCTCGGAATTCCGTCAGGTTTGCATGCTTGCGCCCTCTGTGGCTGTGAAAAGAGCTGCGCTAATACTCAAACCACGTTCCGCTGCAGGATTAACAAGTATCGCAGCCTGAAGATGCTGGTGCGCCAAACCTCTCACCGTAAGATGCTTATCCTAATAGGTACTTTGAGCCATCTTTGGGTGGGAGCTGGGAGATTTTCTGACTTGCTTATGTAACCATATTGTGTCACGTGACGAAGAATCAAGCACCCCTTCCTCTCATCCTTCCCGAGCCGTTTGTCGAGGATCACACAAACACAGAGTTTTGATCCCAGTCTGTAAGCTATCAAATTCCCATAGTAGATTCTCTCGTCACGCGCTCCTCCCTTTTATCTAATCCTGCAAACCTTAGATCCTCCCTTCCACCACGACCGAGGCATTACCCGGGCGTACAACAATACATCCGGATTGGGTGAGAAGCCTATGTAATCAGCCGCAGACCATATTCGAAGGGGGAACCTAGGGATTCTGTGGGCCGCCTTAGGCCGATGTTGCCCCTCTGCTCAACGCTCGAAAGGCCCAAGCGGCCCTAACTAGGCCCTATAAGCCTTCGCCAGGGAGCTCGTACGGGCCATTGCGGAGACGCCCGTGACTCTAAGAAGGACTCAGGACATATCCAAGGCACATACTGCATTGTATGTGCATACTTAGTGCAGCAACCAGAACTTCATCCTGGGCCAATTCCACCACCAGACTTGCAACTGCGACATGGCCACAATGATCAAACCCTTTCACTGCGGCCAATGCTTGCGCACTTTTAGTCGCAAGGAGCATTTGACAAGACACCTTTCATTACGTATGGCTGCCGCTCAAAACGTCGCTCCCGAGGAGGCTTACTAGCGCTAACTGTTGTGCTGCTTGTAGACTCAGGCGAGAAGAGTTACTCATGCCCTTGTGGCCGGGCATTTTCACGGAGGTACGTCGAAAACCTGCGGGAGAAGTCGCAGAGCTCTAAGAATGCTGCATCTCAAGCGATGTGCTCTCACGCCATCTTGCGCGATGTGCCTTCGCAAGCACTCAGCCGTCGCCGACGCCGGGAAGCGGCCAAGTTCGCCGACCTCGTACCAGAAAGGCATGCGATCGATGCGTTCAGCACAAGACAAGATGCGACAATAGCCAGCCCTGTCACCGATGCGCCAGCAGAAGCCTGCGCTGCATCTATACTAGAGAGGACCCTCCTGCCCTTGATCCGTTTGGTGACTTCGCTACCGCCAAATATCTCTATGACATCAACGAACCCTCTCACGGCCAACACCCTCCTGGCTGTCAGTCTATGCATCCCGAGTGTGTGCAGCCCGTGGAACTGCTGGACGCACGATCCGACTCCGCACAATTCGCAAACACAAACGCAATGATCGCCGAGAGCAGAAACTATGATGATTTTCAGAACATAGCAGCATCTTCCATGTGGCCAGGCTTCCTGGGCATGAGCTTGGGTCTGAACCTTGACGACGCCGCTTTGCAAAGCGAGCCATTCAACTGGCAAAATACCGCCACGGACGAAGCGGGGGCGGACTGCTGGATAAACGAGGGCGCACATGTTGAGCAGATCCATCGGATATCAGGTCAGTCATCACCGCCCAATTAGTGAGAAGTGGGAAAGGAACTCATTTTGACGGGATTAGGTCTGGAGGTTCACAATGACACAACCAACATTCCCAGCCTTGCACCCGACTGCTTTTCTCTGGCACAAATTGACCCAGTCGAATCCAAGTGTAAAGAGCTGAATGCGCTGTTGCACACCAAGGGCAGGCGAATCATGGATGATTTGCTCGGCCACTTCATCACACGTGAGAAGCTGATGCTTTCAATCGAATTGTTCGGCCGCCACTTTCAACGCAACCTTCCAATCATTCACAGCGCCTCTTTCAACCTGGTTCAGGCACCGCGCGGCCTTTTACTGGCCATGTACTGTGTTGGAGCTTGCTATGACAGTACAATTATGAAGACGCAATGTGTCCTCAAGGCTGCCATGCAAGTCTTGATAGACATTGAAAATCAACCTGGAGGTTGAAGCTGTACCGAATCACGGCTCCTCCAACTCATATGAATTGATCTAGCATGAACAAAACCTAGAAGAACCTCCTCTGTCTGCGATCCAGGCTGCAATCCTGGCGTCCTCGGTACTAGCGACCTCTCAGGATGACTTTTCCCAGCAATTCGTTTCCGTCTCCTTTGCACGAAATATATCGGTACAGTGACTTCTCATCACCACGCTTCCATTGTCTGAACCACATAACAGATGGCCAAACGCGCACGGATTTTGCAGTCTGTCAACAGCCAAGACTACCATAACCTAAGCCCAAGTTCATTCGATTGGTTCTCCTGGATTGACTTGGAGTCGCGCATACGGTAAGCCCTGTGGGATGCCTTCTATGAGCCAATAGAGCTTCCTTCACTGACAAGTATATCACGAATTCAGAGTTGCTAATGTTTTGTTCACTCAAAATGTGGCGAGTTGTATCTTCCATGGAAGCTCTCCTACATTTTCACCGTTCGAGATGGAATTTTCTCTTCCAGCCTATGAAGCAAGCTGGGAGGCGAGGTCCTCTTTGGATTGTCTGCAAATCCTCCAGTCTACTCCGCGACCAGAGCTTTTCTCTTCCGCGATGCAGAGGTTGCGTCTCGCACATAACAGAACCGAAGAGTCGGAACCATTAGAAGGCTCGGCCCTTGGAATGTTCACATTGATCAACGGCCTCCACTGTTTCGTGTGGAATGCTACCCAGTTGCACACTGGCAGACATCTGGACATGTCCAAACCAAACAATGCCCCCGCGTCTTCAAAAGCCCTAGAAGCCTCCCAAATACTAGACACCCTCCAAAAGGATTTTTCGGCGCATACCCTCGAATCACTCGCTGCAGAGGTTCGCCCGCTTTCCGAAGCCGGAATTTTTGGCGACGAGAACGACGCGCTGAATCGGTGGATGCATTGGTGGAACGCACGACAGTACCGGGACCACAAACACCTGAGCTTTGCTCTCAATCCCACCTTGTTTTGGTTCTTGGCCAAGCTGTTTTTGTTACTGTGTACGAGCGGTGACTCGGATAGCCTGGTCCGCAGCGAGTTTGCTGCGGTTGTGGCGAAGAGCCATAACCTCAAAGACAGAATGCACCGGCAGCTCAAGGTTCTGGAGCTGATGTCGCGCTTGCGACGCCCGCGGCGAGTCGAGGTCTTACACACATCCCGCGAGAGTGTGGCCAGTTTTATGGAGCCTTTGGAAGAAGAGTGATTGGAGGGGGAGTGGAAGAATTGTCTGCTTGTTTCAAGACCGGAATGTTTTGACTATGTTTCCTCCACCAGCCTTCTGATTAATAAATCTTCGTTTGTTATAGTAAATAAAAAGTCTCTATCTTTTGGACGGCATAATAACCATTCCTGCTCAAACAGCACGTTATTGAACGAAGTCGATGCCGATACTGCCAAAGGCCTTCCAATTCCAGCATAGTCCAGCAGACTAAATCAACGAAGATAACAGGATTTTCCAGGACAATGAGTCAGTAATTATATCTTCTCCATCCTTATGTTGCGGCAAGATTGAGTCTTCATCTTGCCCTACCACTCCAGCTCTCTAAGCAAAATGATTCCTATGTGTTCGATTACCACCACCCTACAAGAGTCGATTGGTCATGGCCCTCAACCTTGGCCCGAAGAAAAAGATTGGAATGGCGAGGATAGAGATTCCCCACACCGTACCTGCGAGTACCGAATACGCGGTTTCGGGACCGACTTTGACCATGTAGTTTGGCATGAAATCCGCGAAACCGAATGAAATCAAAGCACGTATGGTGTTGTTGAAGACCATGGCCTCACCAGAGCGGATCAGATATGCGTCGACCGTGTAGCTATAAGTGATGCCAGCCAGGACGGTAAAGCCGAACGAATGGACGGCGTATCCCACCGCAGGGGCAATCCAGGCCATCCCTTTCTCAATGGTAAAGCCGTACATAATCAGACCCGTGCTGACGGTGACAAAGGGCATGACCATCATTACCAGCCTCTCTTCGGGCTTGTGGTCCTGGTTTTGTCGGAATCGTCGCTTCTCCATGTGTCCATTGAACAGGTCGACCAGCTTAGCACCCACGGTTCCGCCGAGGATGGCCCCCACGAGGCCCGACATGCCGAACAGACCCTGCGCTCCGGGCCCAAAGTTGTACGGCGGACCGGCGGTTAGTTGTGGAATGCAGACTCCGAGAGCCGTGAAGGCCCCAGCAGCAACACCGTAGGTTAGGCTCGACCAGATGACTGGAACCGAGACGAAGAATTGAAATGGCCGAATGAAGCTGAGAAACCAGTTTTGTCGATATTGGACATGAGGATGACGGAGAAACCAGATACTCTGAGACACAGACTTGAGTTCTGGAGCAGTGGACGCCAGAGTCAAGGTGATGCCATCTTGTTGTTCTCTAACAAGGTTGACACCAGTCTCGGTCTCGCCACTTCTTGTCTTGTCCTCTTTAACTATCTCGCTCCTTTCCACGTCACCAGCCGTTGTTCCGACCTCGAGGCCACGTTGAAAGGTGGTTTCGGGCAGCCAGATCAACATGGTGAGAAAGTTGACTCCACAGGCGATGAAGGTAACCCAGAAGGCCCATCGCCATCCGGCACCTTGCGTGACGTACCCCAGGCAGAGCTGACCCAGGCCAGCTCCCGCGAGGATACAAAGGGCAAAAAATCCCAACGCCGTGGTGAGGTTGTGTTCGAACCATATTTCACCGATGATGACGGGCGCAAAGGACTCCGAGGCCCCCGAAGCAAAGCCTGAAAGGATTCGAGCAGCCAGAAGACTCTCATAGCTCTTGGCAGACGCGGCCCAGGCGATGCAGGGCAACAGTAGAACCATGGTGCCGAGAATGGTCCAGCGTTTCCCGAAGGTCAACATGGTCGGCACCCAAACCATGTTGCCAAGTCCTTGTGCAAGGACGTTGTAGGCCATGAACCCAGCCGCTTTGGTGATGGGGATGTCGAGCTCAGCGGAAATAGGAGACAGCGTGGGCACCAGGCCTGCGGCAGAGATGTTGTTGAGAAACGCGTTCGCGCACACGTTGAGCGTGATGCCCATCTTGATCCAAAAAGGCCATGTCTAGATCATTTCCTAGTCAGACTGTGAAACGGGTAGCTACCTAGGAAACAAAACTTACAAATGGATCCTCCGTCACGACTGTTGAGGTAGGATGCCGGAACTGCATCCTTTCGACCTCACTGTGCTCAGCGGCTTCTCCAATAGTTTCTACTGAGCCCTTTTGGCGTGCTATAGAGTGCGACATGACGATTTGACCCTGTTGGCGCCTTCTGTTAGATTGAGCTCAAGGAAAAGGATGATTTTAGATCTGGCTTTTGGTTTTGGACACGACGGCCAGGGTTTCATATAGGCAACTCGATGCATCCCTTGACTCCCAACGAAGGCCCGGTTCCCTCTTCCAGGACCAGATCCGTGAGATCTCCACATCTCCTGGCCGCCGACAAAGCCGGCCCCGGCAGTAAATCTGGGGTTGCATAAGAAGAGCGGGTTAGCCTCTTAACAAGCCGTTGCGAATCGCGAACTAGAAGGTGAACGCGAACGGAGTAGTCGGAGGAGCCCCAACGCTAAGCAGTCGGAGGTAATCGTGGAGGCTAGCCACTGTCTCTGGTCGACATTTTCCACGCGTTGCTTGATCTTAAACGCTCGAAGCTCTCCCGACTTACACGCGACCTTGGGCTTCATTGAATGGTCTATCCGTTCATCTAGAGAGTCAATGGCTTCAAAAGCCGTAAACGCTCCAAGAAACCACCATTGATAACTTGGTTGAAGGGACTAGTTGTCGGCTGTCAGCCCGAACATTTTGCAGGGACCATGGCTACCAACATCCGAACTAACAATGCGAAGTCGGTCTATGAAAGGATCGATGCGGCTGGAGCCATGCAAGGCAGTGCAAGTGGTAAGGTTGTTCTGGTCACAGGTGCCGGACGAGGTATATTTCCCTCCCTGGCCTCATCCCAGTTCTGCCGGATTAGCCACTGACGTGGAAGCGAATCAATACAGGCATAGGACAAGCGATATCCAAAGCATTTACACAAGCCGGCGCGGATGCGTTGATTCTGACCGCCTTGGAAGATTCCGAACTCGAGGAGACGAAGCAGCAGATCCGAGCCATCAACCCACAATGCCGTGTGTTTATGCGAGCGCTGGATGTGAGGGACACCACGGCGGTCTCAAGCTTTATCGAAGATGCTGCTAAATGGTCAGAGAACCGGGTGGATGTCCTGTGCTGCAATGCAGGCATTAGTCCGCCTCTGCAACCGATATCCGAGAGCGACCCTCGTCGATGGTGGATGGGCCTCGAGGTCAATCTCAAAGGACCCTATCTGTTTGCTCGCTTCGTATTACCGCTGATGCAGAAGCAAAAATCGGGACACATCATTATCACAGCCTCGCGGGCGGCGGTCTCCAATGACCCCGAAATGTCCAGCTACCAGATCTCCAAGCTGGCGGTGACGCGGCTGGCCGAACTTATTGATGTTGAAAACAGCCATCTAGGCATCAAATCCTTCGCCATCCACCCGGGAGGCATCATCACACGACTCTTGACGGACTTGGAAACCAAGGAGACCGAGCCGTGGGCAGCGAAAGCGGCGCCTTTCATCCGCTCCAAGTTGGTAGAGGATATCTCCCTGCCCGGGAATTCTTGTGTGTTCCTGGCCTCTGGGAAAGCGGACTACTTGAGTGGTCGCTTTGTAGACACCACTATTCACTTTGACGATCTTGGACGGGGAGAGGCGGCGATCTTGGAGCATGATCTGCTCAAGATTCGGGTACCCTTAAACTGGAATCCAGAGGGTGGTGTCTCTTGCTTCTCCACCAAGGCCTGAACCAGGCTCTCTAATAGATCTAGTAGATCTTTTGTCTCTACTTGTGACTGCAGCAAATTTGTGACAGGCTAGACAAGCCTGTCAAATCTTTGTACAAATCTGTCAGGCACTCTTTATCAGAAAAACTTTATTCCAATCCATGATCTCCCTCACAGACAAGTGACCCTAGACGGTGAATCTCACATAGTCTGGAAAACGATGCGAGTCCCGGGAAAGCTAGGAGTCGCCCATTTAAAAATTCTTGTGTCTTGCTTGTAGGCACATCGAAGGGACTGCCTAGGTTGTATTGTTCATCCTTTTGATTTGTCTGAGCCTCATCCCGATGATTCCCCCATGGGCGGGAGGTAAGCTTATCGAGTCGACTCTAAATGAATGTACATCCACCAGCCAGTGAACCTCCATCTCCTCCACCTTTTTTTTCTGCTGCTGTCACCATTATACTAAGCCATTCTACCGAGATTTCAAAAGTTTGGCTCATCGGAATCGCATGCCTCGGGATCGGAGATATCCCCACCTCCACCGCCATTACCCGACAACAAACTCTACTCGGAGTATGGCCCCCAGCTAAACAACCCAAAGAAAGATTGATGGTCTACACTGAGTTTATGTACGGACTCTGTTTCCCAGGGCCAGACCGGACAGTAACTGCGAAAGCCCGCTAAAGTAAAAGGTGGGTGGCGCAGTATGGTGCTCCTTACACGACGCCCGTCCCACAATTCTCGGTTTCCCGTAATGCTCGCACGAGTTCTGATTAGGATTGCTTTTATTCCAAAGTAATTCTCTTTCAGTCTTCGTCCACAACATAATCTCTTGGTCCTACGCGACACGACCATGGCTATCCTCTCTGAACCCCGAAATGGTGGAGAAGCTCCTGCAACAAAAGGTCATTATGCCAATGGCAGTCCTGAGAATGCTCTCGCTGGGATCGTGGGCACAGCATTCCGCTCCAGGACATTGAGAGTCGTTATGCTAGGTGCTGGGTAAGACTCTTCTCCCTCCTCGTCGGGCTCGGTCGGTGCAGAAACATTTCCCTAACAGATGGGCCAGTGTGTCTGGCATCCAGTTCACCCATGATATCACGACCAAGATGAAAGACGTTGAACTGGACATTTACGAAAAGAATGCCGGAATCGGTGGAGCTTGGTACGAGAACCGATATCCAGGGTACGTCAGACATGCCCCGAAGTCACTGTGTCATCTCATTGAGAGTGTCTCCGAAGCTGTGCTTGCGACGTTCCCGCCCACACATATCAGTTTTCTTGGGAACCGAATCCGTACTGGACCAAGTTTTACGCGCCAGCACCCGAAATCTGTGCATATCTGAACAAAGTGGTCGACAAGCACGATCTACGTAAACATATGCACTTCCGCCATCGCGCTATACATGCCGAATGGCAAGAACGGTCGGCGACCTGGCAGCTCAAGTTCGAAGTAACGGATGCAGCCGGACAAACTTCATATCTGGACCGGGAGTGTGACGTGCTTGTCTCAGGAGTTGGGACACTCAACAACTGGAAGTACCCTGACATTGAGGGCTTATCTCAGTTCAAAGGATCCTTAATGCATACGGCCACCTGGGATGACTCGGTTGATCTGAAAGGAAAGACAGTGGCTGTGATTGGCAACGGCGCCAGTGCTGTCCAGTTAGTGCCTGCACTCCAACCAGGTAGAGTGTTTGGTGGTTGAATCGTTCCTGATAGGTACTGACCGGATTCTCGCAGTGACTGGCAAGATTTATAATTATGTGCGCACGGCGTCATGGATGCTTCCGCATCTCTTCTCCGATGGTGCTGTTCAGAAGGACTGTAAGCTCCCTCCGCTCTACCCTTGACGAGGTCTACCCATTTACTGAGCAGCTCTTTTCCTATTCTCCTAGATTCTGCAGAACTCCAAGCTCGCTTCGAGAGCGATCCTCATTTTTACTTCGAGTACCGGCGCGAACTGGAACAAAACATGGCGCGCGGCTTCGAGGGTCTTTGGCGAGGCACTCAAGCCCAGGCAGACCTGCGACGGGCAACCACCCTTCACATGGAAAAAATGATCGCCGATGCGCGAATTCTCCATTTCCTGACCCCGGAATTTGAGATTGGCTGCCGTCGCTTTACCCCCGGAGACCACTACCTACATGCGCTGCAGCAAGACAACGTACACATGTTGACGGACCATATCACTCGGGTCACCGAGACCGGTATCTCTGATACAACAGGCGTCACTCGCGACGTCGACGCCATCGTTTGCGCGACGGGATTCGAAACATCCTACGAGCCACGATTTCCCATCCTGGGTCGAAACGGATACTCTCTCGCTGAGGACTGGGGAAAGGACAAGACCACTGAGAGCTACATGGGCGCTATGGTAGCCCGGTTACCAAATTTCTTCGGTGGGTTTGAACTTTGGCAGTTTCCTTTTTGCATAACCCTGCTCCAACCTTTCAGCACAGCTAACCAGAAATCTCTTTGGAAACTAGTTTTCAACCCTCCCATATGTCCTGTCATTGGGTCTGCTTTCCCAGGCATTGAGGCGGCGAGTTCTTACATGATCCGTGTCATGGAACGCCTACAACACGACTCGATCAGATCATTGAGCGTGAAAAGCGAGGCCCAGGCCGGATTCAATGAGTGGGCCCAGTCACGAATGGCGGAAATGGTCTTTACCGGCAACTGCAAGAGTTGGTGTGAGTTTGCTCTTCGTCTCTCTGTCTTGACTGACATTGACTAACGTATCTCGCAAATGACGTGCAGACAAAAACTCCAAAGGAAAAGTCTTCATTCCTTGGCCGGGGACCATTGCGCACTACATCCAGTGCATCGATACGATCCGTTGGGAAGACTTTCACTTTGTCTGGGCCAACCCGGGCAACAAATATTCCAGCTTTGGCAACGGAGTCCCTTTGGGAGGTGTCGCGCCCGAGGTTCCGCCATGGTTAACGAAACCGGAGACTGTGGCCGCAAAAGTTGGAGCAAAAGGTGCCCAGTAGTCGAGGATTGAATCGAGCTTCAGACTCCATTTATAGAGAGTGTTTTGTACCTATAGAAACAGATCGAGGGGACGAAGTGAGACTTGTGATGTTCCGTTTTCCGTCCATCTTCTTCCATTCAAGGACAATTCAACTCTGTCTGGACTGGGTAGAAGTCGGCGGGAAATGATGAAGGGAAACAGCAGGAAGTTTTCTGCTGAGCACCAATGTTCCCTGGCCGGTAGCTGTGGATGATGGCCGACTGTCCTTGGTGCTCACGTAGTTGCCTCAGGACGGCCCAAATAGATAGCCTGCCGTAGCAGCCCCATTGCCCATACCACAAAAACCTCTTCTGTCAATTCGTGTAACCATACATAGGAGGCACCCTTCCCTGCCATCCCTATCTATTTCCCCTCAAGCGAAAACCAGCGCTCGGACCGATGTTAACGCGCCCCAAGGAGGGAGATTTCTGCCTTTCCGGTAACAGACATCGGAACCGGAAGGGATGCGTGCGTTTGAAAGTCAGTATCTGTACACTCGGAATGGCTGGTCGAACGGATAGAGAATCGCGTCGCATCTATTATTGACGCCTCGAGGAAATACGGAGCTTTGCCTGTTGGATTCTGGAGACCTTGTGGTAAATGGTAACGCGGAGAGAGGGCCGTGGGCGGCCTCGCGTGGACGAAGTCGGATTTCGCTGGCTACATGCAGCAGAAATGCGATCTTAGTCTAAATGATAATGGCCAAGAGGGTCCTTTACATGTGGATAGTTAGATAAACATCACCTTGCTTGAGCATGCGTTAACACACCAGGCGTATATCTAAATCGCTGCCATTCATTTGCATTGACTATCCGCTTGAACCCACGGTCTTCCAGATACATATTATCAGGGTGCCTCGTTATTCACAAGGGAGTAGCTGTCGCTATAGGCCAAGTTGCCCAAGGGGTTGAAGAAGTTTACTTTGAGATTCTTAGCTTCTCCCTACTTGAACGCTGTCTTGAATCTTGTCGTGTCTCTCAATTCAATTTGCCCCATTGTCTCCGCGCTCTATCAGAATACCATCGAGCCACTCCGTCATTATGTGCGCTAAACCAGGCCCATCTTCCTGTCCGACCCAGTGACCGCACGTCATGATGGCCAACTCTCCATCCGGCAGTAGTGGTTTCGAAGCCTCTGCACTCTCGACCGGAACTGCCGGATCATTGTCAGCGAGGACGGTCAGAAACGGAAGCTGGATACGCGGGTCCGCGAGGAAATGTTTCTCATCGTCATGGTTCCGGAGGAAGGCGCGGTACCAGTTCATGGGCCCCTCCCAGCCACCGCGCAGATAGGTGTGCTGATAGTGGATAAAGGATTCCTCGTCCCACAGGCTCGGGCGAGCCTTCCAGTCCTCAGGCGTCGAGGCGTTGTCGGTGGAGAGACGGTGCTCGACCTCCGACATGGGCACCGCGGTCTCGCGGCCGGTGCGGACGACCGCGTTCCAAAAGATGGGCATGCGAGTGCGAAGAAGGGCGTGGCTTCGCTCCGAAGCGAAAAATTGCCAGTACGAGAAGTTGGGAAACAGGTTGGTGAAGGCTTCGAGGGTCATTGGCTGAGGCAAGGGCGGTAGATATGGCGCCGAGATGCTGATACAGCCAGCGACCAGGGAAGGATGGTGCAGTGTGAGCCGCGAAGCGAGCTGGGACCCCCAGTCATGGCCAACGGCTGTGATCTTAGAACACGAAAGACCAGCATTAGCATTATATCTCTCCGCGGAAGGAATAGGATCATGGCCGAGACCTTTCTACCATCGATGCCTGCATGCTTTAATAGCTCCGCCAAGTCATCAGACATGACTTTCAGTTTGTAAGCGTCGACATCGACCGGTTTACTTGTCTGCCCAAATCCAAGCATATCTGGCACTATGCAGCGGATGTTATGCGCCAACAGCTTCGGGATGACAGTGCGCCAGCCATAAGAATAGTCACCATGGCCATGCAAGAGCAGAAAGGTGTGGCTGATGTGCCCTGGGACAAGTGAGATGTCGTAGTAGTTGTAAAGAAAGCCCCGGGTGACGACACACGTCCGCGCTGGGCAATCGTCGAAGTCGAAAGCCATTTCTAGTGTCTCTTCTGAGGACTTGCTCTAGGTGCAATCAAGAAAGATCTGTGTTGGACTATAATTCCTGATTTGTGATCCTTCCACACCTCTCCAGACCCGTCTCCGGAAGAGAGGCGATCAGGAAGAAACTGGGCGTTTTCCAGCGTCTCGATGTGTATATACTTCCGCGATGTAATTCTCCCACCACTCGCGTGACCGAGTGGATTCGAAGAAGTGGGACGGATGCGGGACGACCAAATATGTGGAGGAACACCTGCTTATGAAGACATTATAGGCATTACCTCAGAAGTTACTGGTGGTTGGCGGTTGGGGAAAATATCCCCGGAGGCATTTGTCATTGTTCGTTGGACCTCATCCGAGCGGGTTCCCGAGAGCGCAATGAACGCCGGGCAGGCTCCCAACCTTCGTACTGAGCCACACCCAACATAGCATGCCAGGCCAAGAGAAAGGGAAATTCAAGAGTGCCTGTGACCACAAAAGCCGTGAGACCTGTGATGAAGAAGATTTATCTGGGAAAAGAATACGCGAATCAGTAAAAGATGCCAGACTTGTTCTCCCAGATATGAGGTCTCCAGTCAGTATATATGGGCTCTCCCAAAGCCCACCAGTAATTTGATAGCGGCCATGCGTTGGTCCGCCGAAGGCAGGCTTGTTGGATGATAGGCTTTGCAGAGAGCTTTGGATGAGTATGTACAATTCTGTCCCTTTGTAATCTTTCTCAGACCTTGTTGGATTTATGTCCACGCTGGCTGAGTCTCTGGCACTCCCAGAAAGCCGTCCAAGCCACGCCAAAGGACCAGCGAAGTGCTGCAGAAAGATCGACAAATTGAAATTCGAACGCTGACCGAAGGGTTGCTATTATTGCGCGACGAAGCCACAAATTAAATCGAAAGGATCGAAAGACCGGACGACTTCGAGAGGAAATACAGAAGTTGATGTCAACAGGAGATTATTCTCAATCCAATTTGCGGAGATGTTTACACAACAAGTCCAAAACGCATCGACGTTGCTCGACATGTTAAGTCGCGAAATGAGATGCGAGATCCTCTTCATTCTAAGTTAATCTAACTACGGCTTACCTAGCTCTCGAGGATGGAGCCCGTATTGAAGTCTAAGCCATCAACCTAGCTTCCCTTGAGACACTCATTGAAGACCTGGATGACAGCGATGTTTACGTTTTGGGAGACGGGACGGACTCCAACATGTATGATTGGACCGGGAAGCAGGTGGCTTTTGCATTGTCGGGACGTCTCCAAGAGATCAAGAGTTCACACAATACAGGACAAGCATTCAGAAGAAGGGAGAGAGTTTCGAGTCGACAATATCTAGACGTTGAGATGAGGCTAGGCATGAGTGCTACACCACCCTACTAGCCCACACCGAGCAACTGCCGAAGCGCAGGCCGCTGGAAGAAGCAGCATGGAATCCTATTGGGATGTCAGCTTTGAATACAGGTTCAAGAGTATCGCTGAGTGTCTTGACAAAGACACAGTCTCTTCATAACTGCAAGTATGAGTGAGTATTCAGCTAGCTTGTCAAAGCAACAAGGAGTTATCGAAAAGGGTTGTGACTAACCATCTCACCTTTACAGAAGACGAAGAAAAGATTATAGTAAGTTTTTGAAGGATCAGGCAGCTTTGCCGACTGCCGGGTCATCTAGCCCCGAGTCCGAGTCTTCGTCAACCTAAGGACTCGGACTCATGAGTCGTGACTTGGGACTCGACGACCGGCAGTTGGCAACGGTCCGACCAGGGCCGTATCAAGTGGCCAATTGTTATCAGTGCCTTGACGTACAAGACCCACGTTGCATACACTCGTTGCAGTGTCAATAGCGAAGAGCGTCACGAACCCCTGACACAGAGGCTATTCCAAGCAAGGTAACCATGTCAGGTAGTTGCAATGAATTCCTCCCATCTGACTTACGCACTAGTCAAGCCACAGAGAATCTCCACCTGGTCCAGATCGTCCCACGGCCATTACTTTACCAGGTAGTGGCAACAGTGATATTTCTACACTTTGTTTGTCAGAACCCGAGGACGACCCCCTGACAGACGCGGCTGCTCAGCTTTCTGAGGACAACGAGGGAAGTAAGAGACCAAAGAACGAGGTAGCGCATTATGGCTCGTGAACCAGTACCGAGCCAACTGGGTGGACCTAGCACAGTTGTTGAAGACGTCTCGTTCATTCGCCCCTGACGTGGTTGCGTGGAATTTGGTATGCATTGTATGAGCCTTTCCTCTTTTCTATGAAAACCTATAGCAAACGTCATGGACGCAATTCTACAGGCACCAACCAAGTGTGAAAATGGCCATCAACTCGCTCAACTTTTGTTTGAGCTGACAGAGCCCGAGAGTTACATGGCCAATCGAACAGGTCTAAAGCTGCTAAACGGAATTGAAGTGGAGTGCTCGAATTAGGAAATTCTTGGCCTCAGCAATTGAAGCGAGCCTGGCGGATTTAGTTGAAGTATGGTAAGAGTCGAGTTCAGAGAGCTTCGGATGCTAGGAGGCATTTTCAGAGACTTCACCAAGGTCAGGGTGCTTGAAACCTTACGTTGAGACAGTTATGAGGGACAGAGGAACCAGAATGTAGATCCGAGATCCGATTTCTGATCACGGTATCTGTTTCCCACGTACCAAAGTCTGTCCACGCAAGCTTGTAGAATTCTCAAGGATAACTTATTTAAAGAGTTAAGCACCAGTGCATTATTCATCTATCCTTCTTCCATCCGGCTTACAATTTCTGAGATATTGCCTCTAGATCACCCCGCGCGTCGTGGAGATGGCCTGGTTACTGTGGCTGGCTGCAATCATGTTTACGCAGTGTCAATAGACAATGCTGCGAAGGAAATCATAAGACCATGTTATGTTGGAAGGTCTTTGTCTTGGATGCGTCGAGTTAGAGAGTATTGGTCTATTCAATGGTTACTTGATGTCAATTATGATTCGCTTGTCGAGCTTCTTCTGTTCGAGCGCTCTACCTCTTAGAAATAGCAGTTTTGCGCGACGCAGCTACTGAGTACAGTCAAAAATTCAAAAACCGCAGGCGTTATGCGGACGACTTCTATGCATCCACCGATTCTACAGCTGCCTGGTACGCCATGAAGGGTGGCTGGCACCGGAGTTCTCGGGACACAGCCCAACCCACCCGCGACCGGTCGGGCCGGTCGGGCGAGTCCAGGACACAGGCAGGTGAGCCGGGATGCCGGCGTCCACCTGAATGGGTGAGGCAGGACGGCGTGGCTCACCCTCCCGGTGCGGAAGGGGAGCACGCCCAAACGGCCGTCCAATTGGTACTAAAGTGGGTGGCCATTTGGTAATGCTACTGTAGCTGTTGATTGTTCTCTGTATTTTCTCAAGTTTTGAGCTACTGATTTTGATTGTGGGCTGACGATGACAGTTCTATTGATGAAGGCTGTTGGAGTTGGAAATTGTCTCCTTGTTCACCGTCAATGTGGGGCCCACCCAAGGTGAGGGAGGTTCGGAAAATGGGCTTCTGCCCCCGGCAAAAGGTAGAAGGGGTGCCACGTATCGTACACCCACATTTTTCTACTCGGAATTAGGTACTTCATGCGACCTGCAACCTCTTCCTGGTCATCCATCGCCAGTTCAATGGCGCCTACTGAAAACATTACTTCTGTACAATCTCGACGTTCTTCACGCTCCTCGGCCTCTTCCGCGCAGAAAAACGAAGATGAAGATCAGGTCTCCTTATCTATGCCGATACGAGCTTCGGTTCGTTCCGAGTAGGGCCCAGATGAATAATCTCAACGCCGAGGGGTCATCAGTGTTAACCATCCCTATCCCGGCATAGTTATTCATTTCGGGGAAGCCACCTAACCATTTTCTCCATTGGTACACCCACTAACAAGATATTCGCTAAACCGCGTTCTGTCGACAAACATGAGCTGCCGAAGCTCGACCTCTTCAGCTGAAGCTTGCTGTCCTTGTGTTTTGCGGTGAGCGTTACGTGCTGTTAGCATTGATATTATTGTTGTAGTTCCGAGTCGTGAGCTTCCACGCGGAACCGGAAGAGCAGCTTTGAAGCAGCTGACGCGTTTTAGACAGCTCGTGTCTTTGACCTTTCAGCCTTGCATACCATTCTACCCTGAGTATCAAGCGGCTGATTGAGCCAGCTTGCCCCTCAATCGCAAGACGCTTCTCGTTAGTGACTAGACGAGTACCGTGAGTCGAATCGTTCTCCTGGGACGAATTCTATCTTTTGGGCGAACCAGCCTTCTGCCAAACCAGGGGCGTGGGAGGACACACGAGTTGTCAGACAGCAACCCATAATTTGTGTTTTCAAAATGACAAGCGAACGTACGCCCTTGTTGTGGGACTACGCCAACTCAAGCAGCAGCACAAACGTAATCAGCAAGTCAAAGGAGACCAAACCTGTTGACTTCCATGCACAATTCTGCATGCTTGTTGGTGTACCCAGCACCAGCGCTGACCTGCCCAAGGGCGAGCGCACAAAGTCACCACCACCCAAATCTCTCTACGGACGCGCCATTCGCCAGCTCAATTCTCAACGCTTCACTTACTATGCGACCGCATCGCTCTCAAACACGCTGCTGCTGACCCAGGTAGTGCTGGGTGCGGCTCTCACCGGCCTTGGAGCGTCCGAAAGCTCGCACATTCTGATCACCGTGTTTGGAGCACTCAACACCATCATAGCCGGGGTAGTGGCCTACCTGAAGTCTCGAGGACAACCGATGCGTGCAAGAATGTACAGGGATGACCTCGAGAGGGTAGTCGATGAGATCGAGAATTCGGAGATTATGTGGCTCGGCATTACACGTGGCGTGCACGGATACGATGAAATTGACACAGACGAACATCAAGTCACGGTTAGGTCCGAAGTCGCAAGGCTCACTCGCCTTTTCGATCGTGCAGTCAGGAATAATTCGCTGAATAACCCTGATATGTATATGGCTGGCGCAGGATTTGATGGGAACAATACGGCGCTGAAGTCGAGGCCCCCTAATCAGCCTCTTCCTCTCCCCCTTCCCATTGTCGCGGGACCTGCTCCTGCTGCTGCACCTGTGATTGACACTCCGAGCGTACCTCCCGCGGTCGGTGCGGTGCCTGTGGCTACAATCCAGGATCCCGACGAGAGTCCTGCAAGTGCACCGCCTAAGCCGAAAAGGGAGGCAGAAGCAAAGAAGGAGGACGTGAAGAAAGAGGAGGAACCGAAGAATGAAGAAGCGAAGGACTTGACCAAAGATGGCGGCACTAGTAAAGACGACCCTGCACTTGAAGACAACAAGTCGGCCACTAGCAGTGGTAAGGAGAAGGAGAAGGCACAAGAGGCAGCAACCAAGAATGACTCAGAAGCTTCCGCTGTACCTGCATCAAGTGCTGCTTCAGGGAGTATCAACGATGCTCCTGCTCCTGCTCCTGCAAGACCAATCTCGACCTTTGATCCGGATGCTTCGCCTGCCTCGTCTGCCGATGTGCCAAAGAAAAATAAAAGGGCCACAGACTGATGATCGACGTGTTTTCCAGCGCCAGCATTTCCAGCAACCAGGCAAGCAAGCGAGACGCCTCATTTCCTTACTCCGACACCATTTCCTTCTATATATTTTATCTACGTCGTGCATCAGGTTAGTTTTTGAAACAGCAAAAACCCAGCATCTGCAAGACCGCGAATGTCGGTCTGTGTGGCATGTACAGCAAGCCAGCACAGTTATCATTTTCTCACATTTAGTTGATTTTCCAAGATAATGCTTAATTTACGACAATATGATACATACATTACACATCACAGAATCTGAAAGAAACAAGAATGTTCCCGGGTTCATTTCGATTCATTATGCATCCCTAAGATGGATTGATGCTCTCAACCTCCGAGGGCGGAAGTCCACTCGAATCGCTAACTAGCCTGCTAGCTGCGACGGGCAAACTCGTGAACCACTGAACCACAGCACTATCCGACTAATGAGCTTCCACCTACCAGCCGGCCACTCCCTTCAGAAAGCCGATTAACCTGCCATTGCACGTGTCATGGATTCCACGCTCGCGTTTCTTTCATAGGCACACAACAAAGAACGTCTTCACCTGTAAATGGAGTATAATGGGATGTTTCTTTTCGAGGAATGAAAACTACGCGGGCCTCGATGGTGAGCGAATGCCTCATTTCAAGGAGACCATTTCTTATGGAGATGAGGATGCTGTTGACATCCGAAAATGAGGCTGCTTGAGGGGTTGGCCGTCATTCGTGCTATTTCAAGCTATCATAATCTCAAAATCATGAGGAAGGAGGCCGAGAATCTGTGGACTACTGCCGGAGATCGGAAGAACTAGGTATTCACTTGCTGCTGCTACCTAAGGAGTCTCATATATAGGTATGATACCTCTCCCCCTCTATCAGTGGAGGGGCCAACAAAATTCATTCGACCCATCGAAGAACGATTGTACCCAAGCTTTCTGATTTGCCTTCAGAACGGACAGAGTTGCAACTCAGCAGGTAGACGGAACTCTGATAGACTCGCTGGAAGTTCTGAATTCAAAAGTTGCTAGGTACTCTTTTTAATCAGCAGTGGCTTGCTGCCCGTGTGTGAGGTTCATTCCAAGAACCTTTCGGCCTCGTCAGCTATAAGTGGTTCGATGCTGAGATTTGGATAAGGGCCAAGGCCGACCAGACTGCCAAAGGTGGTGTGCAGTGGTTGAACTTTAGGCAAGTAATTTCTTCCTGTCGGAGTGGGGAATGTTGCTCAGTTCCAGCCGTTATGCACAGTTCTCAGTCAGGGCATGTTTTCTTGTTACGCCGAAGGAGGAATTGAGAACACACTCATTCAATTCGCTGAATTAATAATTCTATGGAAATGATTTTGAAATTGCAAGTCGTAGAGGGACAAATACCTTCCAAAGGATGTGCTGGGCACCAGTTGCATCCCTGGGTATCTGAACTCCCTCTCATATGCTCATATTTCGGTCTGTAAATGTTACAGTAATTTCTTCCCCTTGAGAATGTAGTCTACTTTTACCTCTGGGTGGCATAATGCAATTTGCAAATGCGGCGTGCCACCCATCCCGCGTATTTCAAATATCCCCGTGAGTGCCTCGATCTGGCAGTCGAACGGAAAGTGCGCTGACATATCAGGGAGGTCCCTCGGTACACTTCAATCGTCCTCATTATCCCACGCTCGGCCCAACGGTAGAGGGTACGTCATCGAGCGTCTTGCCTTTCTCAAGCTAGATCTTGACGGACTCCCAGCACTCAGCGATGGGGACGATGGATCACCGAACTCGTGGTTGTTGCTGAACTGCTCGCCCTGCCCTTGTAGGAGACCGTTGGTCCTCTCGAATGAAATCCTTGGGTCGTGGGTTGTTCTACCTGGGTGCAATGGCTCCGGCGTACGAGGGGGTGAGGATGCGGGTGAATGCGTGGGTTCGGATGGAGGCAGGAGGCTCGGAGTTTGCAAAGATGATTCTGGACGGTTGAATATGCTCTGTGTCATTTTCATGTCCCCCGTCGACCCAGCGGCTGCGGATACATCAAAGGAGCTTGAGAGTTGGGCTTGTGCTACGTCACCGATGGCTGTCTCAAACCCTTGAGGCTCCGATGCAGCCTGGCGGCCAACATACACGTCGGCGAGGGCAATAGCAGCTCTTTCGAGGCTCTGTCGGACCTCAGGCTTCTCAAGATAAGCCTTAGTCTTGACCTCAACGATACTCGGTCGGTTTGTGCTTGTCGCTGCTTGCCAATCATCAAGCTTGATCGTGTCAATTCCAGTATCAACGCTGAAACGCTCAATCAGGAGCTGCTCGGGACTGGTGTCCGCAATATACCACAGTCTGGAAGCAGGAGCTTCTGCATCTGTGGCCATTTTGGCGAGATCGGCCATCAAGCCCTGAGCAGCTACAATGCCATTTGGTATTAACTTCGTCCAGAGCGGCCGCTGCTGCGCCTGTGGCTCGCTGTCGGTTCTGGCGCAAGTTCCAGTTCCAATGTTGATCATTACTAGTGTCTGATCACTGGATAGATTGTGATTCTGCTTATAATGCCACCATGCGGCCCATGAAGGATTGTTGGTCTCGCCGTAACCGCCATCGACAAACTGACGTCCCTGGATCCTCATCGGCTTAAAGTATGATGGGGCGGCTGATGTGGCACGGGCTGCGTGCCGCAGCTGCAGATCGCAATTCATCATATTCAAGTGATACGGTCCAGAGCACTCATGGGTGCAGAAAAATCTTGTCTCAAGGCTTGGCAGCTCGTGGGAGAGAACCGACCTGGTTGTGTCAACATGTTTCTGATGTAGATCAGGTAAGGTTGAGGAGATACCCTATCATTTTATTTTTTTGCGAGCTACAGCGCATGCTCATGTCAGCTGGGAGGCCTTTCCGTGACAGTAATCCTTCTACTGCTGTCTGAAGTCGAGATGCTGAATACTTGGAAATATCCGATCCGAATATTCTTCGCCAAAGTGGACGGTCTTTACGAAAGATCTGTTTTGATAAAATCTGATATTGTTCCAGGCATTCATTAATTGTCATGTCAAGTTTGACCAGCATCAAAGCAATCAGCCTGAATTGATCAGCCCAAAACTTAAGATATTGGGGGAGATTAGCTTACCCTCCAGTGCTTGTCCCAACTGCAAAATCAAAGACCTCCTGTGGGTCGAGGATTGAGTGTTCATCTGGTAAGACACCCCTTCTCTTTAATTCTTGCGTGATAAGGTCAAGAAGGAACTCTAGGATCAACAGGGATGAAATGCCACGAATACCCCCTCCATCTACAAGAAGTTAGTACCCAAGGTCCAAGTGAGGGCGGCGACATCAAGAGCATACCAAGCGAGACCATCGCAACGGGGCGTGACCGGGTTTGCATATTCAAACCCTAATACTGTACCTCTTGTGACTGCTGGGGCTTGAGTTTCAGTAAGGCTGAGATCTCGCTATATTTCAGCTAGAAGGAGTGATATCTCGTCATGCTCACAAGCGAATACTATTCTTAAAAGTACAGCAGAGAGTACTGACCAAACTCACCGATGTGTCATGGGCAATTGTGGGGCGCCTTCTCCACGTTTACTGACAGAATTGAATACTGCTGATGGCAGGCGCATTTTTCCAAATATTCCCCTTTGCAGTAGAATTTGGAACGCAGAAGTTCCGCAATGCCTCGAGAAGAGCTGGACGCATGACATATTGTCGAGGCTTTGCCAGGCGACCTCGAGATGATATGTTTGCCTAGATGGAAGACGGGCAGACCAGAAACCTCGACTGTTCATGAAACAAACAAGGTGCTGGATGATGCAAATACGAGATATTGTCGCCAAAATACATGAGGCTGAACACCGAGGGGGCCTATGCTGCCGCAGAAGCAATTTTACCGAAGACATGCCGAATGGCCCGGGTGTTGTCTGTAGGCACCCCTGGACGAGGCGGTGCACGGGAACGCACAACTGAGCAATACTGACGTGAAGAGCCCAGTAAGGCAAAGTCCTTGGACAAGGAAATGGTGTCACCTGTTCATATTGCCACAGATTCATGACTGTGAGAGGTTATCCGGTGATTGGGGCTCAAGTTACTCAGCCTGATTTTGGTTTCAGAGTCATAAGGTCCTAATTGCGCATTTCTGAAGGGGCTAGAAATGGTCATGAGTTCATCCCTCTCCATAGTAAAAACATCGAGGGCGGACGGCGCATTTTGCGAGCGGATAGACAAATCAAGAACGAAAGCAAGACTGATGGAGGATCAACGGCCGTTGAGGATACTGACCCTTGGTGAGAAATCATTAACTACATGCCAGTGGGCTCCCAGAGTCGTTTTCCTTTCTGCTGATGCCTTTTAGATGGCGGTGGCCTCCAAGCTTTGGCGACATTGACCGTTCTCAAAGAAACTTGCAAGGCCATCGCAAAGCAAAACGGGGCTGTTAGACCGCCGGCGCCCCACGAATTGTTTGATATTATAGGTGGTGTTGGTACGGGCGGGTAAGTTGATATCTGTAAGTTGGGATTTTGGAATCGCTAGTCCTGACAGCTGCCCTAGATGGATTGCATTGTTGCTTGGTCGGTATCGCCTGGATATCGCCACCTGCATGGCAGTGTATATGGAAATAGCCAGAGATGTCGAGATGGCAACAAATGCAACGAGTTTTTCTTCACAAAGAAAACGGCTCTTTAAGCTTGACCAAGACGGGCTTACCACTGTCGTGCAGGGAGTTCTAGAACGATATGATCTGGATCCATCATTGCTTGGCTCCAATAACGAGCAGGAGACGGATATTCAACATACCTCGAGTCGATGCAAATATGCGTAAGGTGCTTTCCTAATACCGGATTCCAATTGCTGACAGAAACAGATTTGCCGTTGGCGTAGTACAACGGACAAATAATCAAAAAATGGGGTTTCAATTGTTCCGGTCATATACGCTTCATGGCTCAGGCCAAGCAGGTCTTCGGGCTGGACCGGCACACGAGCGTTGGAAGCTCCCAGAGGTGTTTGCAGCCACAGGGGCGGCCAAGTTCTTTTTGGATCCTTACAAAGTCGGCAATACGGTTTTCTTCGACGATACGTTTCCGCAGTCTCACCCCATTACGTTGATAGGCCTTGATGAGGCGTTTGCAATCTATGGGAAAGACGTCCCGATATCCGTCCTCTTGAACATTGGACCGGGTATCCCTTCGGAAAGGGATAGGCTGGAGCTTGAAGAGATGTCAACCAGCTCAATGACACGGTTAGCCAGGAAATTCTCCTGGCCACCAAAGGGACGACATCTCTCCAGGATCGGAAGACTCCTGAGTAATACGTCAGATGGCCAAGGCACAACTCCTCCTGCCAGAGACGAAGAGTCCACTCACAGCAGATCAAGCCTCACGGTACTGAAACTGGAAGGCCAGAGGCGTGATGACATTAAACAGCGGTTGAAGGAGCTGTATGGAGAGTCAGGGCCCGACAGGTATCATCATCTGGGTCCCGAGTACTCAGATGATAAGGCGTCGCTAAATGATGTGCATGCATTGTGCAGGGCCTGGAGAAGCAACAGCAACAGACAGCCTGAGTTGAATGAGCTTCGACTGGCAATACAGGCTGAGGCTGAGTCCATGGTGGAGCAGCACTGGGTAGGAGCAGCAGCGGCGTGAGAGAAGTGAAGTGATGCTGGAGGAGGCAATATAAACAGTCATTCCACTAGGGTATCATGGGCCAGGCTTGAACTGTCGTAGCTTCAAATAGTCGAGGATGGCTCAAGGACCAAGGTGTTGGAGGGCGTTTGAATGTGTCAAGGTCCGAATCACAGTTGCATGAGGGTTACCTAGCTACCGAAGTAAATGTGCCTCAATGAGTCGGACGCTACCCACCTTGAAGCCCAGGGCAGCCGAAGGGGCCTCGGGCCTTGGGCCATGCCTAAGAAGCCCATAAGTAGGACTTCTAGGCGGCTCCCCTGCGCGCCAGGCACCAAACTCAGGCAAGACCAAGCAAATACCAAGCATATTAGGGCCCGTGGGCCGCGCACTGGCTGGGAGTTGATCCCTGCACGGCGTGGTTTCCCCCGCAGCCACCGCCAATGACAATCCCTCCTGCCCCTCGGCGCCACTAACTCGCCTGGCGCAGGCCAGTCGCAGGACGCACAGCTTTGTTGGCTCACGTTGTTGCTTCATCATCACCTCACCAGTTACCCATTCGATCTTCCGAACGTTCCTAAATCGAGCGTCGTCATTCCTCCTCAATCAAGTGGTCACCGTCACCCAATCAACCTGCGTTACTCTCACATGAAATCCTGTTGCTACTGTACCAAGCTGTTGTTGCAGAAGGAAAAAAAACAGCGCAGCTTGCGTCGAGCTTTGCCTTTGGCTTCTGCCGACTTGCAACTCTTGCTCGGCACCGCCCACTTGTCTGCTGAAGTATAAGTTCGGGCCAGTTTCCCATCGCTCGTGGTGTTTTCGTTGCTTGTGTCCATTCCTGCCTCCTCCATCGTGTGACATAGCCTTAGTCCACGTCCTGCTCATTGCTCACTCTCCCACAGCCAAGATGGTCCACCTAGCTAGTGTCTCGGAAGACCCCAACGCAGGCAAACCCTTCGACCATCCACAACGTCGTTCGTCCATCGTTCCTGGTCTTGAGCATATCTCACTTGAGGCTCCTGGTGATGATGAGTTCTCTACCTCGGTTTATGGCTCTCGCTTCGCCGCACAGGATCTCCCTTCCAAGGAAATGCCAGAGAGAGAAATGCCTAAAGAGATTGCCTACCGAATGATCAAGGATGAGCTCAGCCTAGACGGAAACCCAATGCTTAAGTGAGTGGACGAGAGCCAACCTCAGCCTTTCGACTAATGCTAATTGACCTTTCGTCCAGTCTGGCAAGTTTCGTGACAACTTTCATGGTAGGACAGACTTGACCTTTCACGCCAACTCAAGCTAATATATGCAACAGGAGGACGAAGCCGAGCAACTCATGACGGATGCATTCTCCAAGAACTTCATCGATTATGAAGAGTATCCTCAATCTGCCGAAATCCAGAACCGTTGCGTCAACATGATTGCCCGCCTTTTCAATGCTCCGGTCGGGAAAGATGGGGAGAATGCCATGGGAACCTCCACAATTGGGTCCAGTGAGGCCATCATGCTAGCTGTGCTCGCAATGAAGAAGAGGTGGGCCAATAAACGCAAAGCTGAAGGCAAAGATTGTTCCAATCCCAACATTGTCATGAACAGTGCCGTGCAAGTGTGTTGGGAGAAGGCAGCTCGCTACTTCGACGTGGAGGAAAAGTATGTCTACTGCACAGAGGACCGTTATGTCATTGATCCAGAAGAGGCCGTCAACTTGGTGGACGAGAATACCATTGGTATCTGTACCATCCTGGGTTTGACCTATACCGGTGAGTACGAAGATACGGCCAAGATCAATGAGCTTTTGATCGAGAGGAACATTGACTGTCCAATTCACGTCGATGCTGCGTCCGGTGGCTTCGTTGCTCCATTTGTCCACCCGAATCTCAAGTGGGACTTTAAACTCGAAAAGGTCGTCAGCATCAATGTTTCTGGCCATAAATATGGGCTGGTCTACCCTGGCGTCGGCTGGGTGGTATGGCGATCTCCAGAATACCTCCCCAAGGAACTCGTTTTCAACATCAACTATCTTGGTGCTGATCAAGCCTCGTTCACCTTGAATTTCAGCAAGGGTGCCAGTCATGTTATTGGCCAATATTACCAGATGATTCGTCTGGGAAAACGTGGCTATCGAAGTATCATGCTCAATCTCACCCGCACATCAGACTACCTCGCAGCACAGCTACGTGCCTTAGGCTTCATCATCATGTCACCAGGAGGTGGCCGTTCCCTACCCGTTGTTGCATTCAGGCTTGACCCGGATGATGGGCACCTCTATGATGAATTTGCTATTGCCCATCAACTGCGAGAACGTGGATGGGTTGTCCCGGCATACACCATGGCTCCTCACAGCGAATATCTGAAGCTGATGCGCGTTGTGGTTCGTGAAGACTTCAGCAAACAGAGATGTGACAGCCTAGTTACAGACATCAAGATGGCCTTGCAGACTTTGGGTGAGATGGATCGCAAGACGATGGAGCGATATCAAGAGTAAGTTCTCCCCTATCCCAATACTGCTCTTCGGAGTCGAGATGGTTAGCAACATTTACCAACCTACATATGGATTTGACAGACATGTGCGAAAGCACACTAAGCTTGGTAAAGTGGCGCGCAATGCTGCTAAAAAACATGAAGCCCATTACAAGGACGAAAAACATTCTCTCCAAGGAAAGCATGGTAAAACCCATCCCATCTGCTAAGGTAGGGATTTTACGACTCTTGCTTGGGCTAATACAGAATGGTTGGAGTTCTGAGGAGACGGCCAGGATCGGACAAGGTGAGTTGTTGGG